CCCATCCTTTTTCCCCTTCTCCTTTTACACACCTAAGTTCTGCCCCTCTTCTAAGACTTGGTGACTCTTTCCATGCTCTCTCTGTACTTCAAGACAGCAAGTAGTATAATTAACTGCAGCTAATAACTATGATCCCATTCCATAGTGGCCCTGCTGGTGGAAACACTGCAATAGCCATAGGGATCAGCTGTTCTGTAGCAACAGAAAGTACCCTTGTGTAATTGAGGCCAGTGGAGCATTTTTTAAATCATTTAGAGAAACAATGTCAAAGAAAGGAGTAGAAAGAAGTTCTGAATATGTCTGGTGGTCCAAACAGTAGCATGGATTAACACCAGTCTGTGTGGTGCTCTCAGCCCATCCTAGCACTGATCTGTCCCAGGCCTTCCCGGCAGCGTAGTGCTGCTCCTGCTCTACCCGTCCTCTGCTGCTGCAGATGGAAGAGCCCTGCCCGGCTGTCTCCACAAAGCAAGGCAGATTCGTAGGCATTGTGAAATGCTGCCTTGGAGTTACACGAGTCGTGAACGTTTGAACCAGGCCAGCTCGTAGCTGAGATGACTCACGTTGTAGGAGTTCTCCTGGGGGCCTGAGCCTCCCCCGCAGCCAGGATAAGGCTGGGTTCTGTTTGCTTACCTTGGGGGGCTGGTACAGCCGGGAAAGATAGCAGTCAGGTTACACAGCTTTGGAGGGCTGTTGTCATATTACTGGCCTTCTTGCTCACTTTTTTTAAAAAAGCGAAGTATTTGTCAACTTATTATTTCTGTAAGTTCCTGTATTTTTGTAAGTTCTGCTTCAGTAGTTGGTGTTTCCTCCTCAGCATGCTTTCTGTTCACTCATGTAATAGATCCGAGGGCCAGAAGAGATGATTGCTCAGCCTGGTCTCTGTGTGACACAGGAATCGCTGTGACCTGGGGCACTGTCTGGCAGTGAGGGTTTCCAGCAGCTACCCCGTTGTTCAGCCTGTACAACCCCGTGGTCCAGCTGCCAGATTTGACCTTCCCAGGCCGTAGTTTGTGTCTTACGGACGCAGAGACAAATTGTGATGTGGAAAGTCCCAGGTTTTTGCAAGTGCATTAGAAATTGTTTGGTGTCACAGGCTGTCCTGGGGACATTGCCAACACCTTCTCTCTTCATGCCTGCCTGGACGGGCTGTTGTCTCATGTCTGAGGCCAGGTAGCAGAGGTGGAAGGCTGGGTTCTGTCTGTACGCTGCCGACCGAACCATTCTGGCTGGAAAACGGATCTTTTTAAAAATCAGTCAAACCTCAGAGAGAGAAAGAACCCACGCTTTGCTTCTCAGAGCCCTTGCCATACTTATTGTCCTTGTAAGTGCAGCAAACTGGATGATTTTTTGGATGGTTTTCGCTGCGGGTTCCTGGTGAGGCATAGCTGTGGAATCAGGGGTGGCACCAGGCCGCATACCCCACACAGTCACATGTTGCAAGGGCCTGTAAGACCGTGCGATGACTCAGGGCTGATTTATGTGTTTTCCATTATCCTCCATTGCAGATGCAGCTGCCAAGTCTGCACAGCACTGTTCAGCTGGGGGGCTAATAAGCTCAGTGCCATCTTTCTCCATCAAGACTTTACACACTGCTATAAGCTTTCACAAATGAAAGAGGACTTTTGTTGTCTGCCTGTCTTAAATACTTTCAAAGATCCAGGCTACGGGGCTTTTCCTCAGGCTGCTGAAACACCAGAATCTGCTTATTCCACATTCCTGTGTACTGCCACGGTGAATCTGGTTACACAAATTGCATTTGTTTTTTCTTTGAATTTTTTAACTGATTTATGATCCGTGTTTTTAATCAGCTTTGTGGAAGTCTTTTTGACTCATTCAGTTACCAGGCTGGACGAGGCAATCCATCTGAAATCGGGGTGCATTCCAACTAAGGGACTGTGCTGCCCGTATAGAACGGGGCTGTATGCATTTGTCGTTCTATCTGGAGTTGTAAAACTGTGGAGGTGTCCGCGTCACGCGTCTCTGCCTTCTGGGCACGTGCAGGACTCTCAGCAGGGCGCTTGCGGTGCTTCATTTCCATTGCTGTGGCTTTCTGCTGGAAGGTTTCCGCCATGGAGAGGCCGTTCCATTCGTTCCAGTTAATGAATCCTAGTATGGATCGGCAGAGAATATTGATCACAGTTTCCACCCATGCTCTGCCCACTGTGCAGATCCCTGTTGGGTTTGTGCAGGCTGTCCCAGCGAGGGTTCCTGTTCGGGGACCACCGGGCTGCATTTCTGTTGTGGTGGTTTGGATCGTACACAGACCTCTGGAAGCCAGCTCAGCCCAGGGAGTGTCAAATACATGGCAAAGGACTAGAAGAGCCCATGGTGCTTTTCAGGCCCAGGGCTTCTGCCCCTCTTCTCCACAGCTGCCCTTCTGCGGAGTACCCATGGCAAATGGCAGGTGAGGGGACACTGCAAGGCAGTGACATCAGGCCCAGCAGCTGATCTGTGCAGTAGTGCGTGCATCCCGGTGGTCCGGCTGTCATTAAAAATGCACTATTTATAGTCTACACTGTTAATAATTCACAAGCTCCTGTTTGTTTTGAGCCTCCTTGAGTTGGAGAAAGTTCAGCGTGAGTTTGTGGAAGCAGAAGAGAAGGTGAAAGGGAAAAGCAGAATGGAGACAGAGGGCAGCAAGGGTTGAAGAAAAAAAGGGGCTGCAGCAAGCAGAGAGCCGCAGAGAAGTTGTGCTGCTGGGGGGATGAAGGTGCCGTCAGCAGCCCCGAACAGCCCAGCTGCCCTCAGCGCTGCAGCACACGCTGCAAAACCCATCACTGGTACCCGAGCGGTTAATCTGTAAGGGCCGGCTAAAAGGGAGTTCTGGGGAGGAGCTGCGCAGATGGAATACCAGAGAGAGACAGGATTGATTTTTTCTCTGCATTCTTACGGTCTCTTAGGGTTTTTTTCATTTTTGGACCACATCTTTGTGGTATAGTAAATAGAGCAGATGGCTTACTGTGCGTGGCGAGTTCAGGACTTCCACTGGGAGTAGCTGCTCTGCAGTGAGGGAGGCAGAGGTTCGGGTTTGTTCTCTTGGTTCAAAACCATTCCTTGTTGGAAACTGCCCATGGGTGTTGTGCCTCATCAGGGGGCCTGTCAGGAACATCTGCGCTAAATTTACCCGCTGAAGCTACCAGAGCTGTTATCTCGGATGGCTGAAGGTCACGATGAGCGTGTTGAACTTGAGCTGTCCTAAACAGCAATAGCAGAGAAGGGTCTCTGGACCACAGGGAGAGCAGGGCAGCCTCAGCCGCTGCACTGTGCCCACACCCTGGTACATGCTGGGCTGAGCTCCCAGCTCCCAGCACCGCAGTGCTGGCAGGGGAGGTGCTCGTTCCTCTTTGAAATGGAGCAGGAGGATGTGTACAGCTGACGTTTTGGTCTGCAAGAAGCCTTGTCTGCCACGTTTGAAAGGACCTTTCTTGGACGGCTTGTTCTGTCCTGCGTTTTGTTCCCTGCTCCTGATAGCACGGCACAGTTAAATGTCTCGGCCGGAGCCTGCTGATTAGGGGAAGCTGGGGCTGGGCAGGCGAGGAGGAACCAGAACCCGTCCCTGGCATCCTCACTTCAGCACTTGCTTGCACGTGGGCTGGAACCACAGACCTTATGTCTGCAGCAGCGACCGTCTGCCCCGCTGCTCCATGCGGCCGTGCATTAGCTTGAAAGGGCTGGGATTAGGAAGTTGATGTGAGACCAGAGGAATGTGAAAGCAGTCACATAACAAGTCAAAATAAGGGCTACGTGCTGGCCGACAGTGACTGGAACAGATGATAAAATGACAGGGAATATTCTGAACTGCTCCAGTCCCATATGCTTTTTGTAGATACAAAAATATGTCCTGATTTTTTTAATACGATATCTGGCCGGGGACAGAAGCATACAGTGATTTATGCTAACCTGAACTGTAGTCAGTAATAAACTGCTGGATGTGTTTACAGTAGGAGGAATATTTTTTTGCTTTTTATGAGGTCTGTGTTTTGGCATTCGACTCGCCAGATTATGCACACAGAGGAAAAATCGATTGCATGAAATGAAGGGTGTCCTTGTCGAATTCAAGAGTTTTTCTACAAATTAAATTTATAGAGAAGCAAGTTGAGTTTAATAGGAAAAATGAAATGATCGAATACCTACATTCTGCAAAGCAGATCAATAAATTAATAAGAGCAGAAAGTCAGCATTTTGGAGAACTACAGGGCTGTGTCTGACAGCTGCTGCCTGGAAATGGACAAGGCTGCATTCCTGCTGTGGCAGGGCTGGGAAAGGGCAGGTTGCTTATAGATAAAGCGTGTTTGCTTACGGATCAGAGGTGGGCCCGGGCTGCTGTAGAGTTGAGCCTGGAAATCTTTGTGTGCTTTGTATCCAGGCCTGTTGCTGCAGGAAAAATACGCAGAGGGTTACAGAAAAGGTGAAGAGTTTGAGAGAAATGGAGGCTCTCTGCAGCTGGAGGCTGGACGAGATAATTTCTGAAGATCTTTCCTAGCTCCCATGTTTGATGGCTTGTTAAACTGCTGGGAAATAGCTATCAGAGCAATATTGCTTATTTGCAGTGCAGCCTCTCACAGCATACCCAAAATGTGCACCTGTGTTTACCCAGTGTACATGGAGTAAGAGTGGCGTAAAGGAGCCTTAAAGTAAATATCAGAATATGAACTCGAGTAAATAGTAGTATAAGGAGAGAGATTAGGGCAAAAAAAAGCAGTGCCCCAGGACCACATGTGTTTCTTAGGAAATGTGTACACCTCACAGCTTTTAAGGAAATTCCCATAAGCACATCTGTCAGAGTGCAGAATATCTCAGGCAGGCACATTCAGAATAAAATACGGGGTGGGATGGTAGTGCTAACTGGTGACAGAGTCATCTCTGTTACCTCACTGGCTCAGAACTCCTACCAGTAATAGATGCTGATAATCGTGGATCAAGTAATGGCAGAGGAAGAAGAAAGAAAAACGGGTTAGGGGAACAGGAATTGGACAAGATTAGAGACATAAGATTTTGTATAAAATCTGGCAATTATTTGGGAGATTTTATTTACATGACCCTGGCATTGCATTGTAAATTTTGCAAGAGGTTTTTACTTGTTTTCGCAGTTGCACAAATGTCCAGGAGTGCAATCTCTCAGCGTTTTTGCAGTCTGAAAAGGAAGCAGTAAGGAAAGGCATATTGAAGAGCAGGCGTAACACTTAACAGCTGAAGAAAATTGAAGGGAAGAGAAATAAGCAATAAAGATTTTGAGCAAAGCAGCAAAGGTCCATTAATAACGAGAGGTAAAAACAGTGTTCAGAAGAAGGTTGTTTAGTTCCTTTCATAGGAATGAGTTAATGGAGCTTCCTTCCCACTGTGAGTTTTATCCTTTCTCACAAACCCTGCGGGCTACCTAAGGAGCTCTTGGTCTAGAAAAGTCAGGGTGTTGTAATGCCCTCATCTGATAATGTAACTTTAAGAAAAGCCGACCATGTCACGCCTGTCAGTAAAATCTTCAGTTCTGGCTTCTCTGTCAGTCGCTGTTTGCTTTATCCAAATTCCTGTAGAGTGGCAGCTGAGCAGTGCCCGGGTGGTGCTGGGGAGCTCTGGGCAGGTCTGGCTGCGAGGCTGCAGTGGCTGGAAGGAAACCAGCCTGGGAAGAAGTAGTGGTGGCGCCGCACACCCCTCCTGCACCTCCAGCTGTAACCAGACATGGCCTCTGCGAGCACCGCTCATGCCTGTAAAGTAAAGGAATAAGCGAGAGCAATACAGGCACATTTATGCTGGGCAGTGCCTCCACACTGAGGGCTTTGTTTCATCACGTCTAGTTCTAACCAGACCTGGATGCGGAGGCAGCAGAACTGCCATGGCTGTAATCTGCTTCCTGCATTGCTTTTTTCTCTGCTGAAGCGTCATGTCTGGCTCTGTGATCAGCCAGACACAGGCACTTCAGTGAATTTGATCGCTTTTAAGGGAAGGACCTGCTCTCCACATTAATATAATTGCAGGTTATTTGTCCAATTCCTCCCACGTCTTACTTCCTGAAGGCCTGGCACAGAAATCTGGTTTTGTAATCTGAGCACTAAAGCACGGCTGGATGTAATTATGTGCTCCATTATTCCAGCAGCTCTGCAGCACGAAAAGTAAAAGCTCAGTGCTGCCATTAGTACTGAAAATACACAAGTTAGCATGTGTCAAGTATCTCCTGTAAGAAGTGTAGTGGGCAGTCTGTACACGGGTGTGACTTCAAGTTCACCTAGCATCTATTTTGCATTGTCATTAAATTGTCTTTCCAAAAGAGACAGATGAGATGTCGAGTCGTACATTCATTGTATCTCTGGAAGTCACAGACTGTATAGAAAATATTGGTAAATAAGTCTTGGCAATAGCAATAGGTTCCCCGCTAAAGCAAAGCAGGGTGTGGGGAAGTGTAACCTACCTTTCTGCCAGATGTCATTTGGATGATCAGCCCCGGGGAGATGGGATGTACGTGCTCAGACCCACAGATGGATTTATTGGCTGCAGAACAACTGTAATTGTGGCTGAGCATTTCGTCTCACAGCAGCTGTACGCTGCCTCCTTGGTTCTGCAGATGGTCTGATCACTGGGTTTTTGAGTGGGTAAATGCTGCTGTTAAATAAAGAAACACAGAAGAGAGATTTTTTTTGCAAGACCTGAAATTTAAGCCTATATCCTGACATGACCAGGAAATACATACATATCCTAACTTAGTTACACCCTGTACTTTAAAAATATGCTTGGTAGAGTTTGGGCTGTATATTCTGCTCTTCGGTCAGGCATCTTTGTGCTCCCATGACCAGATGAGGATTTAATGCAGTGAGGATTTAAAGCAGCGAGGATTTGATGCTGTGGCATCATGTGATAAGCCTTTGTCACGAACCAGCATAACGTCGAGCCCTATAAACATCCTGTGTCACCAGGCTCGGGTTACAGTGCAATTAGGAGGCTGATAGCAGTGCTGGTAGGCAAACACGGGGCAGTTTTATTCCAGGGCACTTGGCCTCCAGTGGCAGTGCAGCAAAGTCAGCGCTGGTGGGAAGCGCTGGTGGGACGGCAGCGCGCTGCTCGGGCACCTCGTGCTCAGTGCCACTCGCCCTGCCCGGCAGTACTGAGGGCATCTCGTGCTTCATCGGTACGGCTGCAGTACTGCCTGCAGCTTCCCTCCACTTACACCCTCAGTTGCAATGAAGGTGTGTAAAGCAGGCGAGCCCTGTAACCATGGCAGAACCCCAAGCAGGCTCAAAAATCGGAGCTGTCGCCTCAGTTCATGCCCGTGGGGCTTTGGCCGTTGTGTGCTCTCACGTCACCGTTCTGCAACCCAGCAGCTTGCGTTGCTTTGTGGGATGCTGACTGGAAAAGCCAAGGCTGGTGGTGTTGTCAAGCAATGCTGTAACATGAGGGTAGCTCTCAGTGGTACAGTACCTGCCAGTGCAGCAGTAAATAAAAATGGGAAAAGCCACTTTTGATGCTATTTTAAGCAAATTAGAAACTACGAATTAGTGTTTATCCTTACTTATACTGCTGAGCTCCAAACCGGTATCCTTCTAGAGATGATCAAGCTGTACTCTGAGGATCTGGGGACGAGATGGAGCCTTCTGACAGGATCCAACAGGACAGCACTGAAGGAGGAGCCAGGAGGCTGACGCTGTGCTCGTGGCAGCGCTGCTGCCTTGCTGCATGACCGCGCAGTTACTCATACCAGCTCTCTGGGCTTCTGCTCACCCTTTCAACTTTTGCCTGTGTTGTCTGCTGAGGTTTCAAGAGAGGGATCTCTCTTCAATCTGCATTGTACAGCACCTTATGTAAAGGGGTCGAGGTTTCAGGGGAGTCTTTACTACATGCTGCAATGCAAAGAGCAGGCTGTGTAGTGAAGAGCTGTGTCACACAACTTGGCTGGGAACGGGATAAAACTGCCGCGTGGAGGCTGGGCGGACAGACACTCGTGCCCAGCTTATGCCTGTGCAGCTTCCAGGCTTGAAAGTGCCACGGGACTCTCCTCACTCTGCTCAGCAGGACAGCAGTCCCCCTTCGGTCTGTGTCTGCAGCTTGTGCTAGCGTGGCTGGGTCAAGAAAGGGGATCTTTTTTTTTTTTTTTACTTCAATCAATGTGCCATTGAAAGCTCTGATAAAGATAACAGCTACACTGCTGTAAAAGTGCACAGCACTGTGCAATACTTTTGCTTTCCAGAACAGAAATAAACTTTTCTACCCATGTAACTGTTTCTGTGTATGGGAGGACGAGATGCACTGACCACTTCTGTTCTTCCAGCCTAATGCAGCAAAATATCGGAAGTGTCATTCCACTAGAGAACAAATCTGGGGGAAGCTCGCATGCTTGACAGGTGTAACAGAAGAAAACATTTGAGACTTTGTCTTTTCCCTTCTTGCTGAGCTAGGAAGTATTTTTTCCTCTTGCCTACTCTCTCTTTTTTTTTTTTTTTTTTTTTTTTTTTTTTCAGCTGGCTTTTCCTGTCATACTACATACTCTAGAAAGAGCTTGGCATTTTTCCCTGCCCTTTGCAGCTTTGGAATGTTTTCTTGTTTCTCAATCCCTGTTAGGATAGAAAGCAAGGCAGAGGTGATGTCTTTGTTTCACTGTTGCTTTCAACTCATATGATGATATTTAGGAAATCCGTGGACCTTCAGTACTGCCAGACTACCCTCATAATGAGAAAAATACATCTGCACAAAGGGGTTAATGAGTGCCCATCTTAAAGGGTCAGGACCAAGCTGAGGGCAACAATAAGTCCTGGTGGCCAGCAGTTTGGCTCTGCAATAGTTTCATTGGCCATGTGGCCAGTTAACCATAACAATAATAAAGAAGAAAGACTGGATCCATGGTTGGGCACCGGCCAAGAGTTTATCAGGAAACTGCAAATGCAAACATCGTGTTCCCACGGGGGCAATGGCTTGGGGGCCTTTCACAGTGCCAAGTATGCTGTTGCTTTCAGGATTAAAAATAATGAGATGCCCGGTGTTCTCAGCAACAGGAAGCAGCCCTCGGCACATCCACCAGATCATTCCTACTGTTTTTTTCTCTGTGGGTTTATCTGTCCAAAAGAAGAACTGATGGAAAGTGTTGCCGTAAGCCTGTGCTTTGCTTCCCAGAGCCCACAAAAGGAAGGCTTTGCTGTGAGGCAGCAGACAGTCAGTTAATTATTACTTTAGACTGAGGTCTTGACATTTAGTCGCAGTCAGGTCACCATTTGTCACTGATAACAGCATTGCACGGTGCCAAACATAGCGACGCCTTCCAAGACACTAGCAAAAATAGAACCCCAGTTGTTTTGCAAATACCTGGAAATGTAGCAAGAGCCCATTTATCTATCTGTCTGTCTATCTATCGATCGATCGATCTATCTATCTATCTATCTATTAGTCAGGGAAAGGATCACCCTCAAGTCTAATTACTCGCAGTGGAGTTAAAATTTACCTTTTCTCCTTATGGATTTTCAAACAGGAATACAGTCACTTCACTGCCCTACAGGTGATGCACTGCAGGCATCATTCTCAGCTTTCAGCTCCATTTAACAGTACCCCAAAGACACTGCAGCTGAGGACTCTGCTGTTCTGGAAGCCCAGCGAGCTGCCATGTGCTGTATCCACAGGGCAGTGCCATACTCCGAACGTTCGAGCCACTTGGTGTGTATTTTAAATTAGCTTTAACAATTTTATTTCAGAGGAGTTCATGTGGGCTTAAGCAGCAGTTGAAATTAAATTGGGCAGCAGAAGCTAATAGCATGACTCATGGGAAGGAAATAGAGCAGCTGGTAAAAACTGTTGGGTAACAGAGAGTCTTTATATTCATAAATTGATACAAGCTAACATCAGGCTTACAAAAATTGTCTAAGAAGCAGAACACAAAATTCCAGTCTTGAGATTCTCTCAGTTCTTAGAGACTTATCTTTCCAGCAGACACTCTCCTTTCCCTCTTCAGTCCCTCCTGTACGCCGGATTATTTAAGAGGGAGGGGGAGAAGAAGAAAGCAGTCTTTGGTGAGGGAGGTGGCCCAGTGGCATTTCTGCACGCAGCACAAGCGTCTGTGGTTAGATTAAAATGACAGTGCAGCTGGACCAACTGTTAATTTACGCAGATCTTCATTAAACCATTGGCTTATACCTGTGGAAGTAAATAATATGCTTCTGATACCAGCCATGCTGTCATTGCTGGACTGCACGTGGTATGAATGCTAGTATTCAGCAGAGCTTAGACTTCAGACTGCAGCAAAGATATGCTTTATTAATGTGCAGATGTAGCTGAATCCAAACCCTGGCTCTGAGACTGTGTGATTATAATCTAAAATCAGCTGATCTAACTGAGAAACAATTCCACTGAAGTTAATGGAAACTGCACTGGGTTTTATACTGTGCCAGGGGAAGAAGAAGTATCATGCCCAGCCTTTATTGTATCCCTAGGCAAGTTGTTTTATCTAAGAACTTGTTTCAATTTCACAGTTTATATGAGTGATGGGCATTCATCTGTGACCTGTTGGGTAGGTTTTGTTGGGTGTGAGTAGCCTTTGGCACAGCTTTACTTCATCTAGTTCACCTTTGTGCCAAAGGTATGCGTGTACAGTGATCACAAGGCACCGGGAAGCTTTATGAAGAGCACTCAAGCAAATATAACAGTTTTATGAGGAATCCTGCATTGTGAAGGAAAGGCACAGCACTACCCAGAATGACCATTGCTTACAGAAGAAAGAGTGCAGAACGCAGAGCAGATGGAGACTGGAAGCAAGGTGAAGGGAGGAGGGATGATGATCCCGCAAAACACGAGGCAGGAAGAGCTCACACCCTCCCAGGTGGGCTGTGCTGCAGGAGGATGTACCCCCAGCAGGTAGCTGGCTTTGCCACCAAGAGAGACAGAAGCTGTGCGAATGTAGCAAGTTTTGCTTAAAAGGCATCAGACAGCAATGCTGACGGATTCAGGAACGATGCTCGTGGATGGATACACACGTTGTGCTTGAGAACAGGAACACGTCTTGGGTGAATCAGTGGGTGTATTGACTAAACATGAGGGAATATCCCAGTGAGACCCCACACTGAGCAGCGTAAACATAAGCAGAGTAAGAACAATCAGCAAGAGGAGGCAATCATCTGGCTGTGGGCAGAGACTGGAACAGACTGTAGCCCCTAATTATGGGAATGACATCGTCCCAGAGCTCGTAGCACAACTACTGCCACTGCAGTTTCTTGCAGCGGGATGCAGCAATATAAGGCACAGGTAGAGCATGAAAATGATTCATCACAGCACAACCAAGAGAAGGAGGTAAAAGCTTGTGTTATTTATAGTTACATCATCCGTGGGGAGATGGTGGGGAGTCAACCTGCACCTTCCCAGCAGTAGAGCTGCCATATCTGCAATATTCTTGATTTGCTATGAAGGAGAAAAACAATGCTGAGGTTTTTCAGTGTAATTAGGAAGCACAGCATAATCACTCTGCCCGAAAGACCAAAAGTAATGAGAACACCTTACAGTGACGGAGCACAGATGTTAATGAGTGGCTGGCAGCTCCTACAGACTTTATGTCTCTCCTGTCTCATCCCAGTGATACTCCAGACCTCCAGCTTTCTGTGCATGAAGTCTCACCCTCCTATAAGAGTGAGTCATTGGGAGTCATTGTGATCAAACCACCTCAGATTTGACAAAGAGCTCGTTTTATACCTCTAAGGCAAAATGGCAGACACTAACTTGATATATTTTTATCCATTTCTAATATATGGCATAAGCCTTGGTTTCAGAAAATACTCTGATCCATTAATTTCCTTGAGAAGATATGAGCTCTAATTATGATGTCTTGATAGTGTACTATTTCTTCATATCAGAACAAGTGCCAGGGATTAAACTGGTGTTTTGCATCCAAATGAGTTTTCTGCTGGAACAGAAAATATTTGCCTTTACATTTCAGCTCTTAGAAATTGACTGTGTGAAACAACGTGCTACAATTTTAATTATCCTATGCTGACGAGACTATCTCGCATTGAAATTCCAGTATGAGTACTTTGTGCAGATTCTCCAATTTCTCTAAAGCGTAATCCATCATTGGGTGATTACCATTAATCTAGTTAGTTCATTCTCTTGCTCTGCTCATTTTGAACAGATCCTAGTGCAAGTCAGGGAGAGATTGAAAAACAGAGAATACAAAAAAAAATCCTTGGCTTTAATCTTTCAGGAAAAGTTTCTTCACATTTGGAATCTATCCCGTGCATCTTAGGCGAGATAGTAAGGTAAATGTAATGGGAAGAGAGGCAGAAAGAAAGGAGAAAAAAAAAAAAAAAGAAAAGAAAAAAGAAAACCACCATTACTTTATCAAACAAAAATAAACATGGTCTGTTCTCTACTTAGTTCAAACTTCAGGGATTTTAGTGGCCTCTAATGCCCTCTAATGGACAAATCTGTTGGAGCAATGTCCTTTCAGAGACGCGCAAACAAGGGGTGAAAGCACCAAGTATTTCAATGGAGAAGGAGCTGCAGCACTGCCGGATGGGCTGAACAGCTTTCGTTGGGAGCCTGCCAGCTCTGAGATTAAAATCCGTGTTTAAGGAGTTTGTAGCTTAGAGATATTAAGTCACCTTTTACTAAAAACTTGGCAGATCCTTTTCTTCCTCCCTCCCTTCCTTCCTTCCTCATTTAGCTGAAGTTTGTTTGTTTAGCTTCACTTACAAAGAGCAGGGAAATATTTTTGCCATTGGTCCCAGGTTTGGCACATTTCCTCCCAAACGCTACCCCATCCATCAGGAACTGAGATCAAACATGTGCCTTATGGAGAAGGCAAATCTCTGTGTGCCTCAATTTTCTCATCTGCTTCCCCAGCCTCCTACTCAGGCAAAAAGCAGAAGTGCCAAAATACCTCCAAGGAAGTGATTCAAGTGGCATTTTTTGGCTCGACTAGAATCATGAGTGTCTGGAAACGTCACGAGAGGGACTGTTCCTGCAAGAGAAATTCCCAACTCTTAATCTAGTGGCTTGGCTCTTCAGGCTTCAGGAGGTCTGAGCCTGTACTGAGGCAGCAGGGGACGTAGCAGGGGCTTTTCTCTTACACGACTTCTACCGCTGTTGTCACTTTTGACAGCCACAAAGGGAAATTTTTAGCGAGGAAAACCCAGCAACATTCAACCTAAAGCCTGATGAGACAGTGGGGTTGTTTTGTGGATGCCTTGGGCTGTAGTTTCTTGTTTGCGTTTACATTTAATCTTAAGGAAGTGCGTTAAGAAGTTCTTGCTAAAGTGTCTTAAAAAACCCCACCAAAATAACCAAGAAGCACCAGATTGTCCAGAGCTGCTAAAGAAATGGTACCATAGCTCAGAATTTATCTGGAGCCAGGGAACTTGGGATGATTTCTCTTCAAATAAAACCTAACTAGCAGTTATATATGCCATGAGTCTGCCTGTTAGGGGGCAAAATCCTGCAGGTTTTCATCTGTCCGGCAGACAAGGCCTAGCACCAAAGATAACAGCAGGGCCACAGTGTTTTTTTTCTAGGATAGTACAGTAGGTAATTTCTAGGATCACGGGTCTGGGGGCACTTTGTACTGAACATAGGAAGAAGAAGAAAAAAAAAAGGAAACAGAGAACATTGGGAAAGAATGATCTCGGCCAAATCGTGGCTGGAATTTTCCAAAGAGTTTGGGGGAAACTCTCTGAGAATTTCCAATGTCACCGTTCAACCTCTGAAGCTCCTCCTCTGCCCCCCCAAATTGTGGGAAGGCTGTAGCAAGTCCTGTTTGCTTTTAGGGAACAGATTTGCTTTGGGAAAACAGCTTTGCACTATGAGAAACAGGAAGGAGCACTGTTTGTTTTGTTTAGTAAATTCTGAGGGGAAGAAATCTTTTTATACTAAAGTCAAGAGTTCCCAAGATGCTCTCTCTCAGCTAACCTCATCACCTCTGGTTTCTTCCTGGCTCTTGGAGACATGTTTTTCATACACATATCAGTCAGCTGAAGCCCTTTCCTGCCCTCCTACCCGCCCCCCAGTGAATTATTATTGTTTAGATGTTGGCAGAAGGCAGAGATCCCGATGAAGATTGTGGCTGTATTGCCGGGTGAAAATTGAAAGGACAAGGTGAGCACCCAGTGTTCTTGGGCCTCTGATTTGACATTGCAAGTGAATATCCAAATTTGTGTAAAATTTCTGAGGTCGCCCCTGCTCCCTCCGCATGTGCAGCCAGCGTATGAACAGCTCTGCCGGTACCACCTGCAGTTGTTTATCCATAGCGGAGGGTTGGCAGGGAAATGCTGGACGTGCCCTCTCGTCTCCCACCAGCAGCACAAGCCGGGCAGCTTGAGCCCCTGGGAAGGGTGAGGATGAGCTAAAGGGAGCGGAGCTGCCTGCACGGGGAGGAGGCAGTGTCCCTGTGGTCCTGGCCAAGCACCCGACACCGCACGGTGAAGCCACCCCATCTCCAGGGACACTGCTGCGCCCAGAGTAAGGCTTGCTCCTGGCAATTTCAGGCTGGTTTTAAGGGTGCCATTTCACACTGTAAGGGAGTCCCCTTCCAGGCAGAGCTGAGCAGGCTGCAGGTGTTATAATTTCCAGTAGTTTGTCACTGCCCCCCACCAAATGCTCCTGCGCCAGCAGAAGGGCCTGTTGTTGTTATGAGAAGAGATGAGATCCTTTTTTACCATGTTATGAGAAGAGATGATGATCCTTTTTTACCATGGAGTAAATATCTCTCTATATTTCTGCAGATAAAGCAGCTGTCACCATATGGACAAACATTCTTTGGAACCCTTCTGATAAACAGCTTTAGGTAAGTTCTTTGCTCCACTGAAGCCTATGGGTGTTTTGTGTTCATTACTTCTTTTATACTCCTCAGGACAAATCCACTTCTGCCAGTCCCAGCAGCTTCTGGGTGTACGCCATCATGAACCGGACTCAGGGATCTCAGAAAACTCAGTGCTGGCCTGATCTCAGACACCCTGCACAGCTGCACGTGGACGTCGCAGCAGGACAGCGGAACCCTAACCTTACCCTGTCTTCCCAGGTTGAAGGTAACCATTCACCTCTCCAGGAGGAATGCTGGGGAGAATACAAAGTGCTTATGAAATGACACAGTGATACAAACTGCTCTTTTGCTGATGTGGTTGTCAGCAGAGATTTGCTTTGAGCGCAGGACATAGAAAGTATGATTAGAAAAGGTTCCAGTGACCAGCTTCATTCTCTGTCCAACTCAGTTAAGATTTTGATAATTAAGCAAATATATATCCATATCACGTAGGTTTGCTTTGGATGTAAAGCTATATATAACCAGTACATTAGCAGTCTTTTCTAGAACATAATTCAACATTTAGTTTTAAAAAGATTTTTGAAATATATTGATGCTGACCATTATAATGCACTCTAATGCAAAGGAATCAATAGCCTTTACACCACAACTAGTTTATTGTAGATGGCAAATGAATAATGCAAAATTCAGTGCACTTAACAGCCCAATATTGGACTTCACAATTTGTATAAATCAGAATGCTTTTTGCATTTCCTGAAAGGTAATACCACAAGTTCTACAGACAGAACACTACTATTTATTCTTCAAGCATTTTTTTTCCTAAGTAAAATATTTGTGATTGGTTTTCATCTTTGTTATAAAACATTTGCTTCTTCAAATTCTTGCTATGAGGTTGTTGCTAGAATGCAATGGAATTGTTCACATTGTACTTCTGAATTAGAGGAATTCCATTGTTCTTTATTTACAGGGAAAGATACCTCAGAATGTATTTCATGTGCTTTTGCTGACAATTAATACGTGTTTTGATAACAGCAACACTATCCAAGACAAAGCAGGGCCCCTAGTGAGCACAGTAAAAGCAGTATCCCTCCTGGTTTAAACAGTAGCTAGACAAGGTTGGAAAAAGATAGTATTGGATGATATCTCTAATTCCATGTTTTTCCACAGTGCTGTATTTAGGCTCAATTGCATCTTGATTACACGCTAAAATGTTTTTCCTGATGCTACTGCTTAGGTTATTTACATCACAGATACTGACTCAGGAATGTCTAAGAAGTCTCTGTACAAACCAAACACCTAATTTTATGCTGCTTGCATTATTGGTTTTGAAATAGTGTTTTGAGATTTTCTTCCACATTTGGGCAAATGGAAAATGAGACGCTGTCCTTGTTTCAGCAGCTGGATTTATTTTCAGTTTTTATTTTACTCTGTAGTAAGATGATTGATAACTTTTTAATTTACTAATTCAAGTTGATGATTGAAATATCTGTTTAGCAAATGTTTCAAATTTGACTGAAGAAACGGGATTAAACAAAAACTGAGATGAGTTTATTGTATAGTACACTCTCAACATACATGACATACATGGCTGTATTTTTATGTCATGTCAGAACATATTAAGCACACTGTAGCGTAATGGCCTGATTACATCCCGCAGGAAGGATTTGGCAGTATCAAACCCCACGTATAAACTTTGGAAGTAAAAATAAAAAATGGTGCACTTCATCAGAATGATTCTGCCTTGGAAGAGAAGGGGCCTGCCCTCCCTCCTGTGGGAATTACAGATTTGCAGATTACAGCAGGGCAAACTGGACGGGCTCATTTTGTGTCTGAAACGGCTTAAAAGTGCTTTGTGGCAATCAGTCACTGTAAACGCTGCATTCGTGATGCTTCAGACAAAGAAAATTAATCATCTGGGCACAGTCTGAGCAGACCTGGACCTGAAGTAAGACCAGAAGAAAGCCCATTCATTCCTCAGTTCTTCGCTTCGCATGTGTCAATTTTAAACCCCTCGTTCAGGAAGCCCTACCTCCACTGGCCCATTTATTTCTATCACCAGACCCGTAACGCGGCTGCAGCACGGCAGGGCGCTGCTTGGTGCTGCTGCCTGCCCTGAAGGGCAGCAGCTCAGCGCTCCCGAGAGGACGCTGGAAGCGGCTGTGCTCGTCCTGCGCCCCGCGTTCCCTCCTCTCCCGAGCTCACGCGCGGTTGGCTCGGGGCCGTAGCGAGCTCTAAAGGCCACATGCTGCGGGCGGCGGAGCCCTGGGCAGTACCAGGAGCACGCAGCGGGCTGTTACTGAGCGGCCTCGCTATTCCCCAGCCAGCGGGGCCGTGCCGCCGGCCTCGCCCTTTGTGCCTGAGGGGCCGCGGGCAGGGCCCCCCCCGCCCCCTCTGAGCACAGCTCGGCGCGTTCCGCTGCTCCGGGCACCCGCGGGGCCTCCCGCCGCTCCCCCCGGGCGGTCACCGCCGGGCGCCCTGAGGAGCCCGGAGGGCACCGCGGCGGGGCCCGGAGCCGCCCCTCAGCCGCCGCCGCGGCCCCTCTGCGCGGCGCAGGCGCGGAGCCGCGGCCGGGCGCATGCGCGGTGCTCGCCCGGGGGCCGCGCAGGCGCCGCCCGCCGCCGCCCGCGTCTCGGCGCTCCCCCTGGCGCGGCGGCCGCGGCGCTGCTGCTCGGCGGGCGGGCGGGGGCGGCCGGGCTCCCGCTTCCGGCGTGGTGTCATGGCGGGCCCCGGGCGCTGAGGGCCGCGGGCAGCCGAGGGGCCCCCGGAGCAGCGCGCCAGGGATCCGCAGCCGCCGCCCTCGCCCCTCGCCCCGCGCCGCCGCCGCCGCCGCCCCCCGCGGGGATCCGCCCCCTGCCTGGCCGGCCGGGCGGGGGGGGCCATGGCGGCGCACAAGCCGGTGGAGTGGGTGCAGGCCGTGGTGAACCGCTTCGACGAGCAGGTAGCGGGGGCGGCGGGCGCTGCACCGGGGGCGGCCGCCTCCCGCCTGCCCCCCGCGGCCGGGCCCTGCCGGGGGCTCCTCCACACCCCCCCCCCCTCCCCACCTCCACCTCCACCTCCGCCGCTCCTCAGCGCTGGCGGGGCCCGGCCGGAGCGGGGCGGGCTCGGGGAGCGGGGCGCGGGGCTCGGGGCGCCCTTTGTGCGGCGCTGGGTGGGGCCCGCGGGGCCGCCCCGCTGCCGGCACCGCCCGGGGGGCGCGGGGGCTGGGGCCCAAACGGCTGCGCCCCCCCCTTCAGCTCCCCCGGGAAGGCGCTGGGCGCTTGCGGAGGGGCCTGGCGGGTGTCGCCCCTTGGGTTTAACTTCTTCTCGTTCAGCAGGAGGGAATTAAAGCCCCCAGGGCAGCGCCAGGACTACGTGCGGCCGTGCAGGCAGCTCTGCCTCCGAGCCCGCAGCCGGCGGTGTCAGTGCCGGGCTGGAGGTGTCCCGGGCCGTGCTGTGGCACTGACACGGACTGACTGCTCTGTACAGTCAGTGCCGGGAGCGGGGAGAAAGGCTTTCTGGATAGAAGGAGGAGCAGTGCGTTGGCCTTGGACTTGGTGCTTCTCTGACCCACCTGAAGGAGCTGCTCACTGGGGTTAGGTGGCACGGCTCGCTCAGCGAGGCTCAGCTCAGTGCTTACCCCCTGCATTTTTCCCCCCAGATGCTTTCCTGGCATATAAGCAGGAGGTCGGTTTAGGCAAAGCGATCATTTTCTGTCGTGCCTCACCTTGCTGTTCCGTGAGGACCTCCTTTGTGCCACCAAGGGCCCAGCCCAGCTCCTGTCGAAGGCACGAAGCTGGTCCTGTAGATTGGGTTTCGTTCGCCTGCCTTATTCACGTGTCCCTCGTAGTGATGCTTGGCTTTTGACAACCTGCAGCAAGATTGCAGCCTAGTGGAATAAAAATAGGCTGCTCCTTTTTATGTTTATTTGCAAACTGCTATGAATGAGGCTTATTTAAAACAGGGAAACATAAAACTTTGTCTTTTGACATTAAAGTGATGCAGATTTTTCCAATACATTTTAGGCATGATATTTGCATAGCTAACTTATCCCCCCCACCACCTTATCTTGAGTCATAGATCATTTTTTCCATAAGCATAAAAGGCATGGTACTGATTATGCTCCCAGTAATGCAAGAAAATGTTTCTTTGTGTACTGGTGTTAAAAGGCCCTAGGCTTTGTCGTTTGCTCTGTTATGTATATTGTGGAACTGGGCTTGCCAACATCTGGTAGGAGTTAAGAACTTGAGCTTTTTAAACAGAAGTATTTCTCTGTGCGTTTCAGAGGAAGCACAGACAGGTACCCGGGAGGGATCCTCTGCTGGCAGGAAGAGGCTGTCCTGATTTTCAAGGTGCCAGAACGTTGGAGTTACAGGAAAGCGCACACAGCGTGCAGCATTGACTGCTGCAGTCACAGCGTGCTCGCAAATAGGTGTTTTTACAATATTTTGATCCTTTAGTGAATGGTCCTCTTTAACCAGTGCAAGTTTTTTTTTGCATTGTATCAACTAGTGAGTGAAACAGTGAGGCGAAGATGAGATACTAGTGTCCACTTCTTTGTGAGAAGTCTTCCCTCTCGTTGATTAATTTCAGCTCGGGGTTCTCAATTTTGTTTGTTTTCTTTTAATACATTGTTTCCTCCACCTGGCCTAGCCTGACTGATCTTCATGGTGGAAAAGTGACTCTGTTCTTAGCGGAATACTCAATTGACAGGTTACTGTGACACCCTCACTACTACTAACAGTATTCTGAATCAGTGGTGATGCTTCTGTGCTTCTTGGAACTCCTCACTTCTGTGTCCTCTTTGGGTAGTCCTGTGGCTATGAAGTTACTGGCTTTTGCTGTATTTTGGATTGCTCATTTGAAAATCAAGCTTGTATTTCATAAAAATATACTGAGTGTAGTGCGTGCCATTTTAGTGGTGATGTTGTTTTGAGCGTTTGCATGCTGGGTCTGCCCTTCTGAACGCAGGACCTTTTGGTTCAGCACTGAGGGAGCCGGACTGCCACTACGTGTTATATCACCGGCGTGTCTGAGTAAGGCAGGGGAACTCGTGTTTGCTTTGGGCTGGGAGTTGTTTTGGTTTGTTTTCTGCGGGGGAGAGAACATACAGCTTTTCAAGGTTTATTCCTTCTTCTAAAAGGAAGAAAATGCAACCATCTTTCACCAAAATTTATTGATGTAGACAGGCTTTTCATTCATTTGCTAAGTGCTTGAATTCATTTTAAGACAGATGAACAACAAACTGAGAGAATGCTAATCTGTACTGAAAACAACAAAAATCAGTGCAAACCAGTCTGTTCTTGTCTACTCTTGTTTATTGTTATAAATGCTGCTTTAACCAAAATCTGCTTTTGTGTGTATGATTCTGTGGGCCTAAATTGAATGGCAAGCATAGTTTTATGAATTAACCAGTGAGTGGCTCACTGAATACATTTTTCAAATATAGTGCCAGTTCTGCCCAGCTGCGCTCACTTCTCAGACTTCGACTGCAGTGCACTCTTCTTTGAGCTATCCTTGAAGACTGCTTGAAGGTTTCAGCTGGTGCAGAAAGAAGCTATTGACGGTTCATGGGAGACTAGATCACATTTCTGATGTAGCATGTTCAAAATCCGTGGAGTGATTTCATTTGTAGTGCTGGTTATTGCTGTATGTCTCAAAACTTTCAGTGGTCTGGATGGAATTAGGCTTCAGTAGCACAAAGAGGCTAGGCTATGTTTTAGTAAAATTCTCTGTGATTTCAGACATAATCAGGTCTTTGTAAAATAAAATGGTCTCTTTTTTCCCATGGAAATGTTCACTTACAGTTTTATGTACTGTATTTTTATAGTATTTTTTAATGTGTTGCAGCTGAAGTCATGGGAAGGCTGATGCGGTAGTGAAATGGTTCTTCTAAACTTAGTCAGAGAAGCCTTACTGCCTAAACCATTTAAATCTAGGCTGTGTTAAAGGCTATCAGATAGAATAAAAGGTATTAATCCTGTATAAACTTGTGGTAACTTAAGCGATTATGATATACTTAAATGAAAGAAGCCCTTTATTATGTGGCTTATGGTTTAGGCTCCCCATTTGTAGTTTGAGGAATATGATTGCTTTCAGTTACGAAAGCTTTTGTAAAAACTGAGCGCCACTAGGAATGGTCCATTCTTCCTTTCATTAAAAGGCATTAAGTTAAAGCAAATATTCCCTCCTCCTGTTGCTTCTCTCTGTGGCATTTGAAATCTATACGGAGTCAGAAACCTGGAAAAGCACTGGCTGCAAGCACTGGCTTTGTGTCTTTCATTGCTGTTTTTCATCCTGGCTTGTTAAGAAACCCCTAGCAGTAATAAGTACGTATTTCAAAGTATTTCATGTGAGTTCTGGATGGCTGTGCTCCTCAAGCAAAATGGTATCTGCTGTAAGGCAGGGCTGCTCTATGCAGAGGATGGAGCTTTTTTTCTGCAACTGCTCTGGCTGAAAGATTTCTGCAGGACCTGGGAGCCCAGTGGGACTGTGACCCTGCCCTTAGGCACAAAGGGCGCTACTTCATCCTTCTCTGGCGTAAACCTGAAGCAGCCCTGATTTTACTTTTCTAAACCAATGTATGTAATGTATTGAAAAAGAGCTGCTAGGCTGCATGCAGATGGTGCCCTGAAGAATAGGTACAGGAGTGGTCCATGTGCAGCGGATGTTACCCCAGTCTCTTAGTGAGCTGCTGAACAGCGCCAGGGTGCTTTGATGATTCTCCTTATTTAATGCAGCACTTTGTGTTTGTGGTGTAGGTAAATAGACTTTTTTTCTTTTTCCCTAAATACCAACTTTTAGCTAACCTTTTGAAAATGTTATTTTTTAGGGCAACATCTGTAAAGTATTTTCAGTGTTCCCTGTTCTTCAGAAGACTTAGTTATGAGGCTCTTCTACCAAATGAATGCTTTTTAGAAGGTGATGCAGTGCATGTTTTTAGTTGCGGGAGGAGGTGCACGTTGATTTCTAAAGAGATCTGTAACAGGTAATGCTGAGGAAATAATGGTGCTGTGCATATTTTCTGTCTCTCCTGTATGTCTGTGCTTTACAGCCTACTGGAGAAGTTCCAATAAATTATTTGAGAGGAAAAAGCTAGGTACGTTTCTGTGCTGTAAGGACAGCACTAGAGATTTTTTTTTCTAGATGTTATGTTTGTTACTTTTGAACCTGAATCAAAGGAACAAGCCTCAGTGTGTTCAGACATCTCCAGCTACTTGCTGAAGATGACGGGCCCCTTACAGACAAGCTGGGAATTTCCTTCCCCGAGGTGAATTGCCTGGAATGGGCTCCCATTTTCCCCTCGCCAAGGAGATTTAAACCTTGCTGCTTTTCCAGCAGTGGGCATGGTGGGGGCAGCGAGGGGCTCTGCAGGCATTGGCACCACTTGGAAGAGAAATATTGAAAGCAGAATTGCAGTGGCCCTGCCTGCGGCTGGGTGGGGGCCGCTGCCTGTGTCGGGGTCGTCCCGATGGCGAGTCAGCCACTGTCGTCATGGGCCTGTAGCAGACGGTTCATCGGCCCGATTCTGGGGTCTTGAAGTTCTGCAAAGTTGTATCTTGCACAAGAAAGTTGAAGTGGTGATTTTCAACTACTGGTAAAGCTCTTTTCAACCCGTGATAAAGCTTGTAAGCTTGTTCTGTAACCTCTGAAAATAAGGACATTAAAAACTCTCTTTAGATAAAGAAAGATGATTTAACTTTTTGTTTATTAATTACAGGTGATAAGTCCATGGCTTAATATTAGTTTTTCTCAACTGAGTGGAATATGGTACAGATATATTCAAGGCTATTGGTGTTATTAATTTCAAATCAATATCCGTATACTTTCATCAAAAAACTGTACCTTTTGTATCAGGTTAGAGGATACCTGAACAGCTGCTGGCATCTCTTCTGCACATATGGAAAGCAGATCCATTTTCTTAATAATTGACATCTATGATCAATGAAGGGATTTGTTAACTGAACATTCTTAGATACAAGCACATCAGTCTCTAAAAGAGGCTGCTTCCAAAGGTTCTATGGTATTGTGTACCATCAGATACCTCAGTGCTTTCCGCTTTTTAAATAGCTTTGCAATTCTGCACTTTAGAGTTTCAAAATGAGTTTTTATAATCTGACCATAAAGGTCTTCTTAAGCATGCATATTAAATCTTTTTTCTTTTTTCCTTCTGGAGTAGCCACTTTTTTTTTTCCCAATTCTTAATTGGCAAAGTTATCTCATAGGTCTGAAAAGACTGCAACATTTCGCTCCAGAACCAGATAGGTAGGAGTGACTAGACATGGGTTTTAGGAGTGACTAGCCTTTGGGTTTTCCCTCTCCAGCCAGTGTCATAGACCTTGCGGATATCACTCCAGACAGAAAGTTGACCAGGTGACTCAAGGCCCTCAGGCACCATTGTAGAATACTTAATAATTTATGCCATGTTAATGCATAGAGGCAGTAACTTAACAGATGCCAAATGTGGTGTCTGTTGGAAAGCCATTTGAAGCTTTCCTTGTTTTCTAAGATACTGTGGCGGTGTTTATCTGTGAGTTGGCCTAATCATACTTTTTTTTCTTAAATGATGTTATTTATAAATCACTTAATTCATGAAAATTTTTGTGTGACGATAGAAAAATTTCATTTTACTTCGGCAAGTTGAGAGAGGATTCTGCATCTGCATGTAGATAACAAATATTGATTTTTTAAAAAATACATCTTGTAATAGCCACTAATTCAACTGGATTGGCTCTAACAATCCTAATGAGGGTATGTCATTCAGATCTCTAATATTTCCAAAGTTTACATGTTATTGTATGTCTTTTGAAAACAACACAAATAATCTAGTAGAACGTATCTTTTGCCTTTTCTCCTAGTAGTAGTAATTCGTTACCTCTTTGCATTTAATAAGCTTTATGGGAATTGTTGAGTTTCAGGACAAGTATCAGTAACAGATTTGGGAGAAATTATGCATAGATCAGGAGGCTGTCTTAAAGTGAAGTTAGAAATGCATTTCTAGAGACAAAGTTTGACTGTCTGTGTGGTCAAATGTTGTGCTTTAACAGTTTAACAGGGTGCTTGCATGGCTGATGTGTGCTGGTATACAGTTTTGCTTTTCTAGTTGCTTCAGCAGTACCTGAAAGCATGATTTCTATCCTGAATTCAGGATATGAAGGGTCTTCTACTCTGTTATGGCAACTGTCAGGCTCAGCTACATAATGGCTTTTCCTTGTCTCTTGCAGCAAGGTTCTGTTTCAATTCATCTTAAAAGATATAAAATAGTTGGAAAAATACCAGATTCTGTCTACGCATTTTTCCTTTGCCTACTGCATAAAATAAAGCAACTCAAGGACCAAAATGCCATTGCTTCCTGTCCTCTTTAGCTTATTTGACACTTTAACCTGACTCAGATAATATGGGTAAGAGAGAGAGGCTGTATCACAGCATGTCTCTATGCGGGTTGTCCATGCACCAGCATAGTTCATAAAGTTGTTGACTGCTGCTTCCTATTTCAGTGGTGAAAACAGTTGGATTGGAGCAGTGGCTGTCCCTTTGCTAAACTGGGATGAGGTCAAAACGATGCCTATGCTCGTGGTTGGAAGCTCCATCTATATTTAAGCTTCGTGCTCTATTTTTTTTTTCTAATTCAAATAAAAGCCATAGAGGAAACCACTTGCATCAGTCTCATTCTTTTCTAAAACATAGACAATAAAAATTAAGCTATTGAACTCTTTTATTTTTTTTTTTTCTTGTAAGTTTTAGCTTGGTGGATGTTTGTGTAGAAGCTGACCATGTTCTTTCTGGTCGCTCAGCACTGGCGCTGCCTGCAGTCAGGGTGCAGAAAGTGTTCCAGCGTGTCAGAGAGCCCAGCGGAAATAGCTGAGAAATCTAAAAAAAAAGTCAGTGCTAATATTTCCTTTTTATATTGCTTCCTATTTTAAATGGTAGTATAAAAAGCAATTTTACTTCTAGGTGACCTTGCTGCAGTGGCTGTTGTGGCAGGAAGCTCCAGAAGTGTGTAATACGATGATTCTGTAGCATGGAAGCACACAGAAGAAGATCTCTGACACAAGCCTTTGAGAGGCAGTTCTGAAGTGCTTTATCACTCAGTGGTATTGAGCTTTTCTGCCGTTGTCAGCACAGCGACTTGAAAATTCAAATAAAAAGTACTAGTAATGCTGAAATTTTTAATTAAATGTATCTATTTTCCACTAATGACTTCCGAAAGTATATTGTAAAAATAACATCTTTCAATGAAAACAAAGCCTGAGTCATAAATGCTTTGATGTGCTTTTCCCGGTTTTGAAATTAGCACAGTGAAATACATCACACTGCTTTAAAGCATTACAATCTGACAACTTGCGAGCGAATTACAGAATGAGGTGGAAATCACGGAGCTTGCTGCCACCGGCGCTGTGCAGCCGAAAACCTGGCAGAGCTGCTTGGAAGGGGTGGATCGGAGGCTGTCTCTGCCTGTGGTGCTCTGCATGCAGTGCTGGGTGCAAAAGATCCCAAAGAGATCCCAAAGCCACTGAACTGAAAGGAAGCGTCCCTCGTAGACCTTCCTAGTGCTTGTTGTCCTCCACAAGTAGCTGCTGTGCCTGCTCCTGGAGGCGAGGTGCTGTGCGAGGCAGGTGTCTGGTGCGATCCCCTTCGCTCATTTTGACTTAGGAGGCTGCCCTGCCCTCAGGGAGAGCAGCATTTCCATCATGGTCTTAGTCTCTGGTACCCAAAAGAACCAATACTGAAACCAAGCCACAATTTCTGTGCAGAGGAAATTGCAGTCAGGCATAAAAGCGAGGCAGTGTGTTGGAGGTCCGTTTCCCTACAGACCGGAGACGTTGATGTAAAGTGGATTGCAAGGAACGATGCAATCAAAAGTATTGTTGAAAAAACATTTTGAGTTTTGGGTTCTTTAGTACAGTTCATCTAGCATGTTAAATAGGGACCTTTAAAGTCAACAGCAAAGGTAGTGACAGAGGGCTGGCAGAGACATTCCTGGGCAGGTGACTGTGAGGAACGAGCCCGTGGCAGGAGCGGGGCCCTGTCAGGCAGAGCCGCCTCAGAGAGACCTGAGCAGGCCGCGCGCGAGGCCAGCATGGGTAAACGTGAAATCCTGCATCTGGGGTGAAGCAGAACCGGGCGGCTGTGAGGGCTGGGAATGACTGACTGGGACGTAGCTCTGCTGGAGAGGAGACTTGGCTTTACAAGGCCCTGGGTAACGGCCGTGCCTTCAGCAGCAGCCTGCACACTGCCATCACCAGGTCTCTTCCAACACAGACTGCTCCCATTCTCCCTCTCTTTTCCCCAACGCAGAATTCTTGCTTGTGCAGAAAGTTCTGTTAACTCCCCTGGAAAGGTGCTACGCGCCTTCTGAAAGGTCTGAGACAGGAAGAAGCCTAGGTTCGTGCAGCAAGAGGGGTTTACTGGTCTAGGTCATTCCATTTCTCCTGTTCTCCTGTTTTGCCCTCTCAATCCTTGAAAGTCTGCATTACAGCTTTCAGAGATAAGAAAGCCATGTCTTCTCTGTACGTTTTTTCTTCATTGAAAATCAGTTTTGGTGGTTGGCCTTGTTTCTTTGTTTAAGAAGCCAAACAAAACTTAGTGTCTTGAATATTACATTTACGTACTTCGTAATATAACTGGTAAAGTGCTGCAACTGGCCAAAATACTGACAGAAGTCTTCAAGTGTGCTGCAGCTGTAGAGCTGTTGTTAATTCCTTGTTTGTTTGTTTTTTTTTAATGTCTTTTTTTTTTTTTTTTTGGCAAGATACCCTTTCCAGTGTGAAAATATTGCATTGTGGCATTCATACTGAGCTATTGGTGTCTTTCGGAATACACGTTTATTGAGAATTCTAGTTGAATTTAGGACTCGTAGTTGCACTTGATTAGGTGGGGAATTCTTGGTTCATACTTTGTGGTGTAAATGGTTCCTGTGATTTATGAAAAGGAACAATAATGCTCATACCTTTTTTGTTCCCATTTTTGGTTCTTGTTCTTTTATGAAAATGTAGATCTTCAGTAAAATGAATTTTTACAAAGTATTGCTTTCCATATGTTCGTGTGATAGTTTGGAACTGATTGAGTCCAGCGAAGAACATGGGAGGGAAGTGACTACGTGTGTGGGCAGTGGCTAGTTTGGGACCCTCGCAGAATTTGTGTGCAGTATGAAACAGTGTTTGGTGGTCACTCTGTAGGATCGACGTCGCGGTTCTGTTCAGTCACTGAATCTTGTCTTTTCTGGAAAAGCTACGTTGCAGCTTTGGAATGTTGCCTTTGGTGCTGGCTGGTTAGGAGAGGTGGCTGAGGTGGGGCTCATGAGGCGAGGTTGGCTCTTGGAGTGTGTGGGGGGCTCTGTCGGGAGGCAAGCCACGGGGCATTTGCTGGGGCTCCCAGCAAGCTCCGGCCTGGGGCGGAAGGGGCCCTGTGGCTCTGTCCTGGGGGGCAGAGGATGGCCATGGAACCGCTGAATAGCTCGCCTCCGGTGTCAGCAGCTCAGTTTTACCTCCGCTCAGCTCTCAGGACGTGGGTTCTAGCTTGCAGGTGTTACCCTTAGGAAGTCTTCTAGTATTTAACTAGCCTATTCTTCAAATAAAGATTTGTCTTCTCAGAATTCTGTCTTACATTTTTCTGTTCCGTTTGACATTTGATTTGTGGAAAAACTGTCACAGAATAGAGGTTTGGTTTCAATTCAGAAAAAGAAGTAGGTGAGCATTGGAATTATAGATGTCTTTAGTAGAAAGAGAAGTGCAGATGAAATAATCAACTTGTTTGTCTCTTGTAGAATGTATTTCAAGGTTGTTCCTGGTGTATTAAAAATTCTTAATCTATCTCTAAAGATGTAAGTCTCAATGTAAAAAGCTTATACTACTTCTCTCTTTTTGTAGCTTCCAATAAAAGCTGGTCAGCAGAATACCCACACCAAAGTCAGCACGGAGCACAACAAGGAGTGTCTCATAAACATTTCCAAGTACAAGTTCTCCCTGGTCATCAGTGGTCTCACTAATATCTTAAAAAATGTTAATAACATGGTAAGTTCTCTAATTTTGGATCATTGGGTGATTTTCATAATGATTTTTATGTATTCATATTATACAATCTCTGCAGAGAATCACTGAAATTTAGTCAAAGTGATGTTCGCCTTTTACACTTACGTATTTTCATTTTCATAGGCCATCACCAACAGCACTGAGCTGTGTTACGTATTAAGGTGATGGTTGTGGCAGAGCAACCTAAAGGCAGGTGTTTAAGGGGTCTCTTGAGTCAGTCATGGGAAGGGTCTGTAGCTGGGAAGGTATGTGGCTCGCTAAGGAGCGGGTGCCTAAGGGTACCTAACACTACCTTGGGTCTCTAAGCAGTGGTTAGATACCAGCTGTGCCAACCAGTAGAATGCACTGCTTGGTGGGAGATGGGAGAGGACTTGTTCCATCACGTGGAGAGGTGCTTCAGGTAACTAGGGAAGCAGCGTGAGCAAGGCTTTTAGAGAAATGCAGCAGGTTAAGGTAGCTACTGAGCAGCCGCATTGAGGTTTCTTTCTCAGCTGTCCTGCCAGTGAGTGACTCTGCTGGAAGAAGAAGGGAAAAAGATTTAAAACTTAGGTTATTAGAATTTTCCTGGCTGTTTGGATGCTTTAGCATTTGTGTCCATGTGTAAAAAAAAAATAACAATTTAACAAACTACCAGCTGAATTTCTATCAGAACCATGTTTAAAAAAAAAAAAAAGAAAAAAACTTTGAAAAAAATCTCGTCTAATATTGCCACTCTAGACTTACACTTCCAAAAGGATACTTCACTAGTCAGTAGGAAAAAGGAATGAAGACTGTGTAGAAGCGATACACATTGCTCCCATTATTATTTGATGTGGATTTCAGCCTCATTGAACCACTTAATATTGGTACTTGAGGGCATTGATGTGAAGGGATAAGGTACAAGCTGATTTTTCTATGCGTTCCAAAGAGAAATCTCTAGAGCCAAATGTCTTAGTAGATGTTTTCCTTCTGCATACTAGTTTTGCCTTCTGCCTCCAAGGGAACCATGAAACGATTCCTGAAATACAACAAAATACTTGAATTAACAGCAACACTAAAACTATCATTTAAAATAGACCTCAGTGAACCAAAAAGAAGAGAAACCCAAAAGGAAAAAACCTGGTGCATATCCGTAGTGTCCAATGTAGAAAAATAACTGTTGCCATCAAGTTGCACAAATAGAAAGTTTAGGAATCCTTTATGAGGAGAAAGATACAGTTTGATTTTTTTTCAAGGAAGATCTGGTTTTGGATTTGTGATGAGAAAAGCTTAGTTCGTTGAGTCATGAAGCCATCTGATGTGTGATCGATCATTTGGCATCTCCGCAGACAGGTAATGGAACCAGCCAAACTCTAGCAATACTTCGTTTTTTTTAATGGTTTCGGTAACATAGTTTGCAATGAGCCCAGTTGGTTGTCAGTTATATAGAGACCTGCATCTGCTGTAACATTATGAAGGACTGATAAAATCATAAAATAGGTTGCCCTATTGTTAGTGATTTTAAGTTGCTTAAAACTACCAATAATCCCTTTCAAGAGAGAATTCATTTTATTTAAACTTCGTACGTATGAAGGAATGTGATATTTAAGATTGTCTGATAAGTGAGAAACCTATGTATTTAAAACAAGTTTCTTCTCAAAACCTATGCATTATAAATTGAAAGAAAATAAATAAATAAATAAATAAAATCAAAAAACAAATCAACATTTGCTTTGTGCAGAGGAGCAAGACTTAAGGTTTCCTGTGTTTGATCAAATGAGCTACTGTATGAGTCAGCAGTATTTTTAAATGATTCCTGTAGGGTGAACAAAATGGACCAAGAGACTGTCTTAATGCTAGAAAGAAGTCTTGAGGGTTTGCACTCTGCTCAAAGTTGCAATGAGTTGAACTATCCTGTCATGCGGCCTGAAATGTGACTTCTTTGGGCAACTTCATGTTGTGTTGCATGTGCAGGCAGTCGTACTGGTACAGGTTGGGCTAAATCTTTTCTGCCTTATTGTGCTGTTTTCATATTGCTGGAACTGGTCACTGTTGCTGGCAATAAAATTGGACGACAGCTTAAATGCTGGATGGAATTCTACCTCCATCCTGTTTCTGAAGTGTGGCATCTTTTGGGAGGGTCTCGTGTTTCTTTCTGTGGTCTCTGCTAAATTGTGCAGCACTTGAGTAACATTGTAGATGCAGATTTGTTGTAATGTCATTTCTGTTGAGTAAAATGTTGGCAATGAAATACAAAATTAAATAAGAGTTAAGAGTAATTGATACCACGGTAGTTTGTGAAAAGGTATAACCTTCATTTCTGAATAAAGAAAATGATGGTCTGAGGAAGGCAAGGGGCTGCAGCACACCTCCAGTCTTATTTTGCAGTAACTGCTTGTTCCTTATTAAATTTGGCATTGCAGATTGAACAAAGATATTTCTTCAGTAATTTCTTTAGTAAATTCTTCAGGTTTTAATTCCTATTTCAATCTATATTTTGCTGGTTTTATTTCTGAACTTAACACTAGAGCAGTAAAGGAGCCGTAACTTACTATGCCACTCTACTATATTACTTTAATGCATTATGAGTCAAATTTGTTCGTCTCGGATGAATCCTTATCCTTTCTTCTTGCAGAGAATATTTGGAGAAACTGCTGAAAAGAATTTATATCTATCTCAGCTGATTATCTTGGATACACTGGAAAAATGTCTGGCAGGGGTAAGTAGGCTTGCATAAGCAATTGCTAACTTGGTATTAAAAGAGTTAGAGGGTGTAAGTCAAATGTCTGTGTATCAATTATTACTGGTACTAAAGTTAAAACTTTTCGGATTTAGAGCAAAGTGGGATTAATACTATTTTAAAAATATTAAAACTTTCTATAAATGCAAGTAATTTACGTATTTGCTAAATTAAGGATTTTGGGGATGTTTTTTTACTTCCTAAAATTAATAATAGTAGCTTTAGTGGTAATGATTAGAAATACTTTTTCAGCTAAATAGATCCAAGTAATTTTTTGACTTTGTCCTTCCCAGTACTCAACTAATTTCTGGAGTTACAAAAAGTGACTTTCTTGTAACAATTTGTTGACTTTTTTAAAGATTTCTTGTGACTTTCATTTGGTGAAATAATTTCATCTCAGTTTTTTGTAATCGTATATACAGCAGAAACTTTGCTATCGCTACTCTAAAAAATTACTTTTCCAGGTGTTTCCTAGTTTACATTAGTTAACTCTGTCCAAGCTTCCATTGGGAGCCCAGTCCTGAGGTTTCCAATCAGAGCTGTGCTGAAAGGCAGTTTGCTATTACCTTTGGGATGTAAACGGTTGTACAACTCACTGTGTTAAACTGTAATTGCAAAGCCAAACTTCTCTGTGAGCAGAATTTGCAAATCTGTGTCTTATTCCTTTAACAAGAAGGATTTTTTTTTTAAAGCTGTATTCCTGGATGGATGTCATGAAATCATCTAGGCTCTTTGCAGTTTCCCTGTAACTGTTTTTGCAGGTTCTTTTCTTGTAAGGTAACAACCATGTTATGGTTAGGTTTGTCAAGTAGCATGTCTTGTATTATAGTACTGAAATAACCTGAGTAATTGTGGATTCATCTAAATTCATAAAAGATCCAGGTAAATACATTTTGCATAATAATGTTCAACTGTAAAAGCTGAAGTAAGTACCTTTTCTTTTAGTGCATTTACTGTCTTTGATGTAATGAATCAAAAAAAACAAACAAACAAATAACCCACACCAAAAAAACTATTTCACTTCCAAAATTAATTTCTTTAAAAATTTCTTATGTATGTTTTGCTTAAAATGTTAGTGTGCTTTTCCTGATACATGATGATATTTGAACAACCTAAAATTATGCTGAATGCTTCTTGGTTTGTCCATTCAAATGAGAGCAAGTTGAGCCAGTATATGTTCAATAAGACTGAGCCAAAGTTCTATACAAAGAGCGTTGTGTTCTGTGATATCTTCAGATGTATTTCTTGCTCACTGTTCTTGCTCAATGTTTCATCAAGTTCTCATGGCAACAGGACTCAGGTCAACTAAGTGGGAGTCTCTGAAACTTCCCAATTCCCTATGGTAAATTCATTGGTAGAATTTTAGAAAGCTTTAATGCTGACCCTTCTGTTAAATCTCGTTCTTAGTAGAGCAAAGTTTCACTTCAAATTCTTTTCTAAATAGTTTCCTTATGTCTCATACTGTACAAACTGGCAAAAATTGGATTTCTCTTTTTTCAGGAAAGTAGAGACATTTTTCACTCATATAGAACAATCCCAGACAAGAGCAATGGAGGAGCACTTCTTTTTCAGTTCCTTTAAAAAAAAAAAGAAAAAAAAAACACAAATTACTAGGTGTCAAAATATAGGGGGCAGAATAGAAAAGAAAAGAGAAAGAGGAGTAAGGATGGATCTTTGCCCTTTGAGCTTCCATTCAAAGACAAGATAGTTAATGCTTTACTGCTAATGTTTTGCATGGGCTGATGGTACATTTCTCAAAAAGGAAGCATATTTCACTTTGAAACCTAGTTTGTTATATTGCTCAGTAGTATTGATCAAGTGAGTGTCCTGTGTATTTTGGAGATTAATTTGAAAAGGTTAGGTGATTTGAGTAGGGTTATTGTTCAAATAACCCTACTGTGTACTGTGTTTCTGTGTACTCTGCTATGGTCAGTGGTAGCGTGCAGGCAGAATTTGAAGTTTAGATTCAGGTCCTGTCCCACCAATGGCATATGCTCCTTTTTTTTTTTCTCATCCAAACCTAGAAAATAGAATACCATGAACTACCAAATGTTTTTTTGTTTGTTTGTTTTTTTAGCAACCGAAGGATACCATGCGGCTAGACGAGACTATGCTGGTAAAACAGTTGCTGCCAGAAATCTGCCACTTCATCCACACTTACCGTGAAGGCAACCAGCATGCAGCCGAACTGCGCAATTCTGCCTCGGGGGTTCTTTTTTCTCTTAGCTGCAATAACTTTAACGCTGTGTTCAGCCGCATTTCCACCAGGTAGGTGTTTCAGTAGCTTGACTTAGCCACTGTATTAGAATGCCTACTAAATATTGCTGTCTAGAACATCCATCATGAACTTCAGTCTTTCATTTTTGAGTAATGTTAACTGTTTAAATGATATTCAGCAGGATAGCTCTTAAATGAAACCCATCTGTTTTTCAAAATTTTACTGGAGTTTCAGGTTAGAAAAGGTACCTGTTTCATATCCATTCGGGGTTACTGTCAACATATTTTCTGTGAGCTGTATTTATTGTGCTTTTTTAGATCTCCTTTTGTAAATCCAAGTTAAATGCTATTTTAGAGTGAAACTAATGTTAACCCAGAGAAGTGTATTGCTGCAGCCTGAAGTTGAATAACCTCTTGTGGATGCAAGGTGTTTTGGAGAAAAAAGGATGCTGAAGGTTATGACATATCCATTTATTTATGAATTTAGAATGCAATATTTCAGATTGTTTACAACTTCTTTTGGAGCCCTAAAACTCTTTTCCTTCCCATTTCTTCTTGCTTGAAGGTTATTACGTTAAGCCTGTCTTACGTCAAGAGGGAAACAAACCCACTGGACTCGAGCACTGTTTATTAGTTGTTGGAAAAGACCCATATGTCTTCTGACTGACTTGGGTTTCACACCACATTTACTGTAAAAATAACTTTAAAACTGTTACACTTTTCTAAGTAAGAAGAGAGACAGTCCAACATTTCTGTCTATTCTTTGCTCTTTTTGCCATGTTCCAGGTCTTTCTGATGCTTCAGCATTTGACAGTCCATTGAAGTTGTGTATTGAGCTTTTTATTACTGAATTGCTTTGATGTTTTTTGAAAGTTGCTTGAAGCAGCTTAGCTCTTATCACACATTGTTACAGCTAGCAACATCCTTGATGTATTAGAAGGGGATTTTGCACACACTTATGTGGTTGAATAGCAATGAATATGCCAATTGAATTGAAAAAAAAAGTATATGCTCCTTATAATGTAAACAAAAATGAATTCCATTAAAAAAAAATATTTGCATTTTAGAAATCAAACTAAAATTATATGAAATTTTAAGTATTTTAAAAACTTTTAAAGAACCCTTAATAACTTCAGTAACTGTTTCAAGAACATAGACTTGGCAGCTACTGTGGAGGATGTGGTTTTACTCAATAGGTTGATTATGTTCTGTTGCTTATAGAAAAGGAAACAATTTCTTTTGCTCCTTTTATAGGAAGTATTTTTCGGATGAGATTTTTTGACAATCTGAATTTAGTTCATGAATCTGTACTTATTCATACGTCCCTAGCATGGTTTAATTCTCAAGCGCCAACACCCTTCTTACCATGGGTTTGAGCTGGAGTGTAGTGCTTTTCCCCAACCTGCTTTTCTCTTCAAGATGGCTTGTACAGAAATAGTTAAATACTTGACCAATTGTTGCTGATCTCCACAGGGGTCAGCTTGCCGACAGTTAGCATTGCTGATCTTTTGACCCATGCTTCCTGTTTAGGCATATTTCTAGGCCTTGTACAGCAGCTGGGGGATTTTTGGCACGAAAAGCACAGCAGTGGGGACCTTCCCATTCCCAGCGTGGGCTGTTAAACTTCCCTGGCGTTGAAGAAATGAAGAGCTGCTTTTGTGTGTAGTACTAGAAATCGCATTCCATGTCAAAAACACATCTGTAGCTTTGGAACAAGACACAGCAATCTTTAGTTTTGTGAGAACATATGATTTAGTTATTAGTGGGTTAGTATCTGATGAGAAGTTTAGTAAATCATCGAATACAAAAGTATGAAATGGCGCCATTGGATTTAGAATGGTATGATTAAACTTCGTCCTGTTTCTTAGGCCAAAAAAACATGGACTTTTTTCATCTTAAAAAATGGTTGTAGCTTACTTCAGTGCCATTAATTGCCATCAGTCATTGCTTTGCTCTAGAGAAGTTAGCTGGGACAAGACTTGCTGCTAAGGAGAGGTAGTATAAAGGTGTCATGTCTCTGTGATTGTAATATTTAGATGAAAAAATGGCAAGATTATAGCTAAAATATGGGAGATAACAGAAGGATTTAGACAAAACTTGGGTGTAAACAGACTATCACCAGATGGTATGGGTGTCTTGTGAGACTTATCACTGGTATTTCTAGATCTGTTCTCAGTATGGCTGAGAACAAGACTTCAATATTAGCTCTTAATCATGCAAAGTTTGTCTTTTGTTTCTAAACATGAAAAAAATTATAAGAGGGCATCATCATATAATATTCTTCTGCTGTTCAACAGTACATAAAATCACAGGTGTGAGTTTATACCTACCTGACATCATCTGGTTGAGAAGTTAATTTATTTTGTATATTTTAGATTGCAGGAACTGACTGTTTGTTCAGAAGATAATGCTGATGTTCATGATATTGAACTTCTACAGTACATCAGTGTGGATTGTTCAAAACTAAAACGACTTTTGCAAGGTATGACGTGAATGTGTTGGTTTTTTTTTTTTTTTTTTTTTTTTTTAAATATATCTGTATATGACTAGTTGGAGATGATACAACAGTATTGATGCACGTATCTTTTTATTGCTGTGTTTTACTCCAAATATTCATATATATTTTTACCGAAACATTAAAAAATATTGGCGTAGCATGAAGTCATTGTTTTAAATGTGGAATGTTTTACCTTTACAGAGACTGTATTCAAGTTTAAAGCCCTTAAGAAAGTAGCACAGTTAGCTGTTATCAACAGTCTTGAAAAGGTAAGTATTGTAATATTTTGTTTCATTGCTACTTTGCAAACTTTCTCTAGTTTACGAATATTTGCAATTCAGTAAATTACGTAAATTTATGTAAAATATGCATTTGTGCATCAGTTCAATGCATATGTTCTGCAATAAATGTTGAGTTCTTAGAAGTAAGAGTAAAATCTCTCCATTTAAATACATAATTCAAAAATAAAAATATTTTTAAGCTCTGTAATGTAAAGATGTTTTTTGTTACCTGCAGGCCTTTTGGAACTGGGTGGAAAACTATCCTGATGAATTCACAAAGCTGTATCAAACACCACAGACTGATATGGCTGGTAAGGCATAACAAATGATGTGTTCGGAAGTTGGTTTTATTTTTTCCTGTTAAGTCTTATGGGTTTTTGGCGGGGGGAGGGTGTTCTTTTGTTGTTATTTGTTTTGGTTTTTTCCCCCCAAGACATCCCCACATTTGTTTTTGTCCCGTCTTAGCATCTTATGAAGCCTGCATGTTAGAAACAAATTCCTGTCAACACTTCCAGGGCAGGCAGAGATGTATGGCTATCTGATTTCCCTCTTGACGCAACTTTTAAATAGGTTCATTTTGTGGTTCACAATACAAGGAGATATAACCCAAAGCTGCAAACTCTTTAAATATTTTTCATCTGGGTACAGGAAAAACAACAACAACATGAAAACCTTGATAAAAGAACAGTAGCTGTATTTGTCTCTAGTCAAAAAGGGATGAAAATTTATATTTTCAGATAAACCATGGCTTTAAATGGTTTGAACCCATTTATCTCAGGTAGCATATTACTAATATGCAAAATAGATATTTTTTTTCTGTGTAGGTGGAGCTATCACTCTGCTCTTTTATACCTATTATCTGTCTTTTCATAATTATAATTTGTGTTGAACTTGGGTTTACCTTTTATGCAGATTGTGCAGAGAAGTTGTTTGACTTAGTGGATGGCTTTGCAGAAAGCACAAAACGTAAAGCAGCAGTTTGGCCACTGCAAATCATACTCCTGGTCCTGTGCCCAGAGATAATCCAAGATATAGCAAAGGATGTGGTAGAGGAAACTAAAATGAACAAGGTAAGAGAAGAAAAATATCTTAATTCTGATTTCTAAAGTGTGCTTGTCTTTGCTTTTTCTGTGTTTCAGGTGTATTTTACTATGTTTTTTATTCCTAAAGCATATTAGAATTCCATACATAAATTTCTGCACCCTTTTAAAGTTCTCACCTAGCATATGTTCCACTGTCAATAATTCATACAAATAGTATGGCCCGAACAATATTGTTTCGCTTGGACATCACCCTGGAGATGTGAATCCGAGTGTTGATTGCCTTGCTTCCACCAGTAGCAAGCTTAGCCTAACTTCTAACTGGTATGCGTGTATTGTACCATTACAGGTTTCTGCAGTGTGTTTACTGTGTTCTGTAATTGCAGTACCTGTAGCAGATAGAGAATTTGATGTGGCTGCAAACACTGATTGCGAGTTGTATTCCAGTTGCCCTAGAATTATCCAAAATGAATGTCTTTGTTAAACATGTTTCTCCAAAATACTCCATCAAGTTACTTTTTGCAACCCCAGTATCCATGACTTCTGATCAGGAAATGCAGTGATGTTAGTTTTAATACTGAAGTTTCTAAAAACCCTGACCACGCATTACCAAAGCTCTGGTTATAACTATTCCCAATTTTAATTCTGCAGAAACTCTTCCTGGACAATCTCAGGAAAGCACTTGCAGGCCACAGTGGGAGCAGACAGCTGACTGAAAGTGCTGCTATTGCTTGTGTTAAACTTTGCAAAGCATCTACCTACATCAACTGGGAAGATAATTCTGTCATTTTTCTATTAGTGCAGTCCATGGTTGTAGATCTTAAGGTAAAAATATGTTTCCTAATTGCAATGGAGAAATTTGAATTTTTAAATTCTGAAATTAGCTTCAAACTTCTTAATCAAATACCATAGTATTTTTCAGATGAATGTTTTCCTTTTTTTCCTTGTATAAAATAAAGAAATGAGTTAAAGGGCAAAGGAGGAATAGTCTTCCATTTCTTTGGTGGATTTTCTTCGGTCTCCATTAGGCCTCCTAAAACTTTAATTTGTTTGAGAGGCTGAACATTAAAATAAAAAGTTTTATTAAAAAATGCTTAGAAGTGGAGATTGGTTTATTTAGTTAGTATTAACAAGAATGGCTATTGAATATTTGACGCTTAAGTAGTAGATATTGGTAGATGCAACTTGGAAAAAGTGTAATTTTTAGAGCAGCCTTTTTTTCCCCCAGTATGATTTACTGAAAGTAGACAGGAATAATCTCGGTGTCTTTTTTTTTTGTATATTTAGAATTTGCTGTTTAATCCAAGTAAACCTTTTTCAAGAGGCAATCAGAACGCAGACATAGACCTTATGATTGACTGCTTAGTCTCATGCTTCCGCATAAACCCTCATAATAACCAACACTTTAAGGTGAGAACACAACTTACTGGTAAGTTGTTATCAACATACTGTCGATGTCCTGTCAATTATCAAAGATAAGCACGCTGGAAGTTTGTAAATAATTTCTACTGTATAAGTATCCCTTATTGATGATTCCCTTCATGTTTTCATATTTTTTTTTCTTATCTGGTTAGAATTTCTTATTCTCATGTCTAGATTTGACAGTTTTGTCAATTTAATAAAAAGGCTCCAGTATGATGCTCATTGTGATATGAAAGATGACAGAGAAAAGTATGTCCCTAAGTGGCTTTTATGTATTATTTTTATTGTAGATCTGCTTGGCACAGAATTCCCCATCAACATTTCATTATGTACTGGTAAATTCACTCCACCGAATAATCACAAATGTAAGTTCTGAAAGTATTTAATTAGCCTATCTATTTGTGGCTTCTCTTCAGATCCACATCTGCTTACTAAATAAAATCTAAATACTAGACCAAATCTTGTTGCCTGTATCTATGCCTCAGAGTTGCTTGTTAATACACAAGCACATGCAAATCTTAGTTGGCGCTATCCACCAATTGGATTCCCAGTTTGAGAGCTTTTCCTGATCAGGATGAAAATAGAATCAGTCAATGTTAAGCACCTAGCCTTACTTAATTTATATAATATTTTCTATTACATTTATCCCAGCATGGTAATGAGAACACTAAAAAAAAATCAGACATTTTGACAAATAGGGAAGAACATGCTACTGTAGATGTGGTAGCGTACCTAGAGAAATAATGAAGTTGTTTAAAGTTATATTGCTTTGGTATTTGTACACTTTCAAAACAGGCACTATGTTTTACTTGTGTTTAATGTGTTGAATAATAGTATTTATCAGATATTATCACGCACTCAAAAGACTAGTTTTCTATTTTGTTTAGTGTATCAGAATAATTTGAGAGCACATTAAGTGTTTGAAGTTTTACTAGCTGTCTGTATCCTGAAGCCTACTGTGGTTTCCTGTATCCGTGGCTTCAGAGTATGCGTTTATTCAGAAGGAGAAGAAATATAGTAAGCAGCTGACTTGGAAGCATTGCTTCTGTTACACTTCATTTAAACATTGACAGCTTTATTGCCACAATGAAAAAATAACATTTGTAATACTGTGTAAAATACTCATGTAAAGTTTCATTATATTACAGCTTTATAACTTTGGTATCTAAGATAAATCATAATGAAACTCTCATGTTACCAGTTTACCTTTTGAGCATTTCTGTGTTTTCATTCTAGTCTGCATTGGACTGGTGGCCCAAGATCGATGCCGTGTACTGCCATTCCATGGAGCTTCGCAGCATGTTCAGTGAGACTCTTCATAAAGCTATCCAGGGCTGCGGGGCACATCCAGCAATTCGCATGACTCCGGTAAAGACTTGTAAAGAAGTTGTTAAAACACAAGCCTCTTGTTTTTCCTTTGTCTCCATTCCATTACAGCTTTTTTATTCATTAACTTTAGACTGGAAACTAGAGGGAGGAAGAACATTGCAATCCAAAAAGCAACAGAGAGCCAGCCATACATGTTGTGTAAACCTTTGAGATTTTGGTGCATTGACTAACTGCTCCTAGTCAGTTAGTGATGTATGTTTCTCAGTTTTTTTCATGCTGCTTTTAAACTGGCAGTATAGCAGTATTTCTTCTGTAACTGTCCTGTGGCTAACTGTTCTTTTTAAGCTTACTTGCTGTGTGAATTAACTAGGTAATATGTCCATTTTTATTTAATCTGAGAAACAAAAGCGTTCTGTATGTGAGCATAATTTCTGAAAACTGCAATGCTTTTACGATAATTGGCATGAATATTTCTTCATTTGTCTTGCTTAATTTCCTTTGAGCAAGTTGACTGTTTGGTCTTGGTGACAGCACCGAAGTGATCCAGACTTTTCGAACATTATGAAATAAAGCCAGTATTCCTGGTCACCTTAGGAGAGAAAAAAGAAAAAAGAAAAAAAAAAAAGGAAATTCAAATTGTAGTTCATCCAGATTTTTTCAGTAAGTTCACATGCAGCTGCTGCGTTGCCTTTCTTCTGAACTTTCCATGTAGGACTTGGGATGCATCAAGTTAGCTCATTGGTTTTCTGAATTGTTTCAAAGTGCATTTGTAGTCCCAAAGTGTTGGATGTCTGGTTTGGAAGAAGGCCTAAAATGTTGCATGAAAATATTCCTATTGGGCTTCTCATACAAAAACAAATGATCAAAATACTTTTAGTTGAAAGCTACAACTTGTTTAACTTGCTTTATATGTGTGTGTGTGTATATATATGTTTATATATACATATCTATATTCATCTGTAGAGAAAATAGCAGGGATGTTGTAATGGCAACTCTGACATTGACTGGTGGTGCTTTGTCTTCTGCTTCTTATTTTCTGTTCTTATTGGCTGCTGTCGCTCTCATGGTCAGATGCCAACCAGTCACTGTTTTGCATGGCAGTGGGCCTCTGTTGCTGTAAGTATGACCCATCGTAACTACCGCAGAAAAGCCTTTCATTGCTCTGACTTTTCTGTGCATAGTTACCACTGCAGTCACATCACTTCATCTCGGGCACGAAAGGTGGCGTGCTTTATGTGAGAGCACAGGACTGGAGAAGACCTCTTCACTGCTGGTCCGGCAGTTGCAACACCATCCCTTACACAAATCTGTTGAGCTCCTTGGTAGAAGTAAAGGCTTTTTGTTGGGTGTGTTCTTTTCTTTCTAACCCCTACTTTTCCATCACAGTGCTCTTCCAGAATCTCCCTGCTCTGGTGTTTAAAACTGTTTTCTAATTTCCAGCCTAAACTTACTTGTGTCTAAGTTATCCCCACATGTTTTTGTTCCAGTATTGTCTGTCAGGTTCAAACTGGTGTTTATCCCACTGATGTCTGTGCAGAGAGTATCCATCTCCCTCTCTTTGTTTTCTGATAATCCTTAGTTTTGATTGTGTGAAGTAAATAAATCGCTATTTATATTTATACACGTGTTTATATATATACACGTGCACACGTGTATTTTGTGTGCATATATATATTATAAATTATATTTTGATACTTATTTATGTTATATAGTCTTTCACACACTTTAGCATGTGTCCAGATTATTTTTGTTAAGATGAAGGTGCTGCAGTCACTTGCCATACAACAGGGTGGTTCACTTTGGGGTACTGTGCACACTGTATTGAGGCATAATCTTGATTTTGGAAAATCCTTATAATCAGTAGCATCCATATATGCTTATTTCATGGCTAACACTCTTTATGACTATTAGTTATATGTATTGGTCATACTGTTATCTGGGTTGTGTTGCGTGAACAGCAGTGGTAGAACACGAGTCAAATCCTTGTATGAATTCTCAGTACATACCTTAAAACATCTTCCATTTCAGATGAGGAGGTTGAATGAAACAGTTTACTGATTTTTTCAAATGGAGCTATTTTTATTTATTTATTTATTTATTAAGATGCATTATGTACCTTGTGAAAACTGAAAGGTACATTTTTCAGAGGTTGTACAGATGAAAATGCTATCATCTAGACTGATTATGACAGGAAAATAGAAAATGATTTGCCTTTGAAAATAAAACAAATCCTTACCCTCTCATGTAATCAAGCTTACTTCGGATCCTTTTTTTGTCTTTCCTTGACAAGAGGAAGTCCTCTAAATTCTTGTTAGTCCTTCTATCCAATTTTCTTTTGTACAGCTTGTCTTACACAAAATCTTTTCTTATATCCATCTGCAGATCACTAAAATATTTCTTAAATGAAGCTTAAAGATATAATAGTGATAGCGTATGCATATTTAATAGGGTATTTCTAAGTAGAAGGCTATGCAGCTATACTGGAGTGAATTGAATATAATTTATAACTTTTTCATGAGTTATAGATAGTACAACCAATTTGCTTCATAAGATGTTTAATTATAACTACTCCATAGAGTACCTTACTGACAGTGACTGTGCTTTTTCCTCCTGTCAGAGTCTTACATTTAAAGAGAAGATGACAAGCCTTAAATTTAAAGAAAAACCTACTGACTTGGAAACCAGAAGCTACAAGTTCTTGCTGTTATCCTTGGTAAAACTAATCCATGCTGATCCAAAGCTTTTGCTGTGTGTAAGTATGTTATATTATTAATTCTATCCCAGACAAAATCATGACAAAACAGTAAAATTTACTTTTGAGGCTTCTAAATGAATAAAGATTAAAAACATAAACCTGACATCTAGGATACCTGTCAAAGCAAAAAGACAAAAACAAAAAGAACCTGTAAGAGATATTACAGAACCAGAGCAATCACAATGAAAGGGACCATAAAGCTCTGAAGGAAGAAAAAGGAAAGGAGAAAAGAACAAAAAGAAAACTAAAATCAGGCAAAAAAAAAAAAAAAAAAAAAAGCCATTGTTCCAGTGACTAGAAAGATATTTTCTTAGGTTATTGCTAGTTTCTGTTAGTATTGTCTATGATGCTGAGTAAAATAATTTAACAAGTTTAATGTTTAACAGTGTTTTCTTGTGAATTCATGCCAGAATGAATATTCTATTCTTTTCAAATATTACCTTGTGGCTTTGCAAATCTTGTGTATGAACTCTGTGAAGCTGCAGAAGTAAACTAAGTTTTGATAAAATCTGATAATGTCTACATGTGGAGAGCATGTGTTATGCAGCGTTGCCAAAATTAGTGTACTACTACTAGCATCTAATCAGTGTGCTAAATATTTTCCTTTTGTCTGGTCTGTTTATCGTTTGGTTTTAAAATATTTCTATTGTATCAAATATATAATATGCAAGAGTATCATGGCTTAAAAAGAAATGAAGAAATGAGGTACTCTTAAAATCTACCTATTATAATTATAAGACTATTGCTTAGCAGTCAGTAACATGGTTGGTCATTGAAAAGTTTTGCTTCTTAAAGGTGCTTTCCTTTTTGCTTTTTAGAATCCAAGGAAGCAAGGGCCTGAGACACAAGGTAGTACTGCTGAATTAATTACAGGCCTTGTACAACTTGTTCCGCAGTCCAGCATGCCAGATATAGCACAAGAAGCCATGGAGGTAAGGGATAATGTTCTGTATGCCAAGCTGTTTGTTTAAACTAGGAAACAATTTGAAATAACTACTTCAGCGTTGTTGGAGAACAATTTATTTTTTATTGCCATTTTAACAGTATTCAAACAACCCCATTGCAGCAAAACACTTAAAAACTTTGTGTTGTGATATTTGATTTTTTTTCAGAATTTGTTAGAAAAAATAGTCAAGATTTACATATTTGTCTTTTAACTTGTATAAATCTAATTGGGAATAAAATAAATACCTTTCACATGGATTAGCAACAAAGTCTTGTTCTGCTATATAAAATGCTTTTTCTATCTTTTATTTTTTTAAGCAATGTAATTGACTTGTGATTACACCTATTTCTCTGCCCATTCTTAAGTGACTTGTCAATTTCTGCCTTTAAGTGAGATGCTGTTCTGTTTTGAATGTAGGCCTTGCTAGTTCTTCACCAGTTAGACAGCATTGATTTGTGGAATCCTGATGCGCCTATAGAAACATTCTGGGAAATTAGGTAAGTTTACTTCTGTAAATTAGAGCAACAGCTGTTTTGATATGTCTTCTCTTTTGCAATAGCTGTGAATGTTTTGAGAAAGCTATATGACATTGGCTTGAATCTGCAGTCAAAATGATTTGTTTTCTGATGACAAAGTAGTATCTTCCTTATACTACTTCCATTTAACAAAAAAAAACAACACGTTTTGCTGGCTTTCTTAATGACTCTCTTCAGCCTGCACTTAAGGTATAGCAATGATTATTCCTTCAAAATGTTAAAGTCTTGCCCTGCGTTCAAGTGTTTATTGTTTGAATTCTGTTTTATCCTCTGTGGGCTGAGGGAGGGTGATGCAAAGCAATTCTAGCAGTGTGGATTTGCTGATCTTGACTCTGAAGCCCTCACCTAAGAAAGGTAGTAGTTTGCCCTGACCTGTGGTCTCCATTTGTCTTTGTTATGTATCTAAAGAATTTTTATTGGTTAAAGTCATCTTGCTTATTATAACATCACAGCAGCTGTTGCAGTTGATTTCATGGAGTATATTAAAAAAACATAAAATTCCAAAATAATCAGTTACACAAAGAGCTGAACCAAAAAACTAGGCAACTCAGAATTCTAAGAATTGCATGAGCTAAACAATTTAAGAAAAATGTTTGGTGATCTAATCTGATTTGGTGCAGGTGTTTGTTTTAGAAGAAAGCAAATTAAAATCTAGAAGGAACACTTTGAGCATCAACAAATTGGCCTGCATGACTGCTAAATGTGGCTCAAGGGGCTTATTATGGGATAGTTTGGGGGCTGAGTCCTACCTAGATGGGCAATAACTAAAACTCATTACTGTAATTTCTAGTAGTAGAAATGAGTTTGTGGTCTGTTCGGGCTGGGGGAAGAACCCATTAAAATTGACACTAATTTGGACCCTTTGGCAGTTTTAACAGAGAGTGTGAGGCCTGAATGGATATGAAGAAGGAACATCCCTAGATGTGTTCCTTCCAGAACAGAGTTGAGACACGTTATCAGAGCAGTGTAGGTAAACTTGTACTGCCACTGTCTGTGCTGTATCTGTTCTGTGGATAAATGGAGGACTTCTGAATCGACAGCCCTGGAGTCTGGACTTCTAACAAGTACCCAAATTGCTTAACTTCCTCTAGGGAACTATAGAGGCCAGTTGGGCGGTGGGAAGGGACAGAGGGGTTTTGTCATTTAAAGTACACACCTATATTATATCTACTATACATTTTAAAAGAAGATGCTAGCTTATCTGTAGGATATTCATGCTAATTGTCTATTTCTATGTAAAAAGTAGTAATACCTTTGTCAGATATTTTATTATTAGATGATAAAGCTAATGCTAAATTTCATTTTGCTGCAGTTCACAAATGCTTTTTTATATCTGCAAGAAACTAACCAGTCATCAGATGCTCAGCAGTACAGAAATCCTCAAGTGGCTGCGAGAGATTCTCATCTGTAGGAATAAATTTCTTCTAAAAAATAAAGTAAGCAAATATTATCACTTATCTTTTGGGATCATTAAAATGAATTAGTCTCTGTTTTGTTACTGCTTTTATTTATAAGGTTACTTTTATGATGGAAAGAGATTTAGTAGCTACTGAAGAACTAAAGTAGTTCTTTACACTTAATTGCATTTAAATTATAATTATGTTTATGTTGGTATATAAATTGTGGAGTAAAACCAAGAAGCCTATTGGGATTTTGGGAGGCCCCAAGAAAGGAAAAAAAAGGCATGATGATGTGCTTATATCAAGGTGATATGTTTTGATGATGACTCTCAAAATACTTTATTTTCTTAAGGGGAAATGTCATTTTAAGATACCATTAATATGGGTAAATTTGTAAAGCCCTCTAAGAGCACCTACGTAAAAGATGCTGCGTAAATGTTGAACAGCTTTTTACTTTAGTGACAACAGTTCCTGAACTGCATTGTTTTAAAAGATAAGGTGATTAATTATTTTTTTTTCCTCTCTTTACAGCAGTCGGATAGGAGTTCCTGTCACTTTCTCTTTCTTTATGATGTCTCTGGAGGTGGAACTAGTCAAATGTCTCTTGACCATGAGGAGATGAAAAGCTGTACTCCGGGAGCCACCCTCAGGAGAGGGAAAGGGAATTCTTCCATGGTAAGTAACAGCGGATAATAATAATAATTATTAACATTTAGGGATAAAAAATTATGTGCAAGTAGAAATTAAATCATAGAGTGTAATTTTTAAAAATATAATTATTTCTGAGGAGGAAAAGACATACTACTATGTGTTACTGTTCTCTTTCTGGTCAATAATCAGCTGTAACGTGCATAAGTTTTGAATCTAATATGCTGGTGAGTAATGGGTTTCAGACTTCTAGGAAGTTAAAAAGTTGGTGAATCCTTTTTTTCTTAGGATCACACATAGCATCTCTACATATTTGTCCATTGTTAATAAATCTGAAATCTCACTTTTTAATGTATTGCATCCAGTTTGAATAAACTGTGAAAGATCATCAAAATCAAACATCTCAGTAAAGTATACCCTTTGACAGACAAGTCTAGTGTTTAGCCACAGGGAAAAGTGGAGGGTATTCAGAGCATCTTTTATGAGCCAAAAACTTCATTCTCTTTTTTAACATACAGTTTTTTGGTATCAATAAGACTTTGCTAAGTATGTGGCTATCTTTGTGGAAGGAGCGCTTTCCTGCCACTGTGCAACAGCAAATACAGTAGAGTTCAGATGTTGGTTAAATTGCTTATTTCTATTAGAATGAAAGCAGGTTTGAAAAACAATTTGGATTAAGAAAATTGCCATACTTCTAAGCAATATTATCGAACTTGGAATTCTGTGTTTCCCAAGGAAAGTACAGCAGGATGCAGTGGAACACCTATTTGTCGCAAAGCCCAAACAAAATTGGAAGTCGCTTTATACATGTTTTTGTGGAGCCCAGATATTGAGGCAGTCCTTGTTGCAATGTCCTGTTTCCGTCACCTGTGTGAAGAAGCAGATATCAGATGTGGAGTAGATGAAGTTTCAGTTCATAATTTTTTGCCAAACTACAACACTTTCATGGAGTTTGCATCTGTTAGCAATATGATGTCAACAGGTAAGAATGATGAGTCTGGAAAATGCCTTTCCACCTGTACAATAAGGCTTGTTTGGATTGGAGTTCTTTAAACAAGTTTATATTCTTGATTTGGTTGTAACTCTTGCTTGCACTGAAATATCTTAGCCATTGAAACCGATGGAAGGAGTAAGGAATTTGGGTAACTGTTCATGAGGATTTGAAAGTGTAACAAGGAGAATCTTTCTAAACAGTTAAAGGGGATATTTTCCTCTTTTATAATTACTTTCAATTATCTCATATTTGATGTAGATGGCTTTTCAAAAATCTGTTTCATAAATGTTCTGTGCTTGTTTGTAGGGAGAGCAGCTCTTCAGAAAAGAGTGATGGCATTATTAAGACGCATTGAACATCCAACTGCAGGCAACACAGAGGTAAATCTTCTTCTAAATTTCTGTCCATTTCATGTGTTTTTTTTTTCTTTTTTTTGAACACAGAAAAGACTGTTGCTATGAGTAGTTTTGAAGTTAAATCTTGTTATATCTTATTTTAGGCCTGGGAGGATACACATGCAAAATGGGAACAAGCTACAAAACTAATCCTTAACTATCCAAAGACCAAAATGGAAGATGGGCAGGTGACTATGAATTTTTCCTTAGTTTTAACCCTGTAGAAATTCAGAGTAACTATTTAAGCTTATGTATTTTAAGAAATTTCATTTTAATCTGGAAAATGAGTTGTATAGGAGGACTTAAGCTCCATGAAAATATTCCAGAAATCAAGTCCTCTGTGTTTACTGATAAGAGAACAAGAGATAATTTGACTTAAATTGCTGTAAGGGAGATAGCTGAGTTTAATATTTGCAAAAAAAAAGATAGTGAGAAATTATAAAATCTCTTTCACTGGAAATTTTTTAAGAAAAAAAAAAGCTGCTGACTATCATGATTTAAATATGTTTTGTCCTACTACAGAGCAGGGAGTCATCTAGGCAACCCCCTTTGGTCCCTTTTTAATTCAGTTTCTTCAAATTCTGCAAAAATAGCCCCTCTGGATAGAATTTTGTTCATGCTGTAAGATGCAAACCTTAGTAATTTGTTGAGATGGAATTAAAATGGTGGGGTATGTTATGACATACTTCTAAATTCTGATCTTTCTCCATTATTTATGTTTAATTGAAAAGATTTCATCTTCAGTCCTTCTTTTTTAGGTTACGGAAAGTCTTCATAAGACGATTGTTAAGAGACGAATGTCGCATGTTAGTGGGGGAGGCTCCATAGACTTGTCAGACACAGATTCTCTTCAGGAATGGATCAACATGACGGGGTTCCTATGTGCCCTTGGAGGAGTGTGCCTACAGCATCGTAGCAATGCAGGACTAGCAACCTACAGTCCACCTATGGGCCCAGTCAATGAGCGTAAGGGCTCCATGATATCTATGGTATCCACTGAGGGAAATGCAGAGACTCCTGTTAGCAAATTCATAGATCGATTATTGACTCTGATGGTCTGTAACCACGAGAAAGTGGGACTTCAAATACGGACTAATATTAAAGATCTGGTGGGTTTGGAGTTGAGTCCAGCACTTTATCCAATGCTGTTTAACAAACTGAAGAATACCATCAGCAAGTTTTTTGATTCTCAAGGACAGGTAAACTGTTGATATATTCCTTCACTTGCGTATCGTAAAAAGTATTGGTCTTGTTTTTCACATAGGTAATTGAAATGGGTTATCTGTTCATATTTTCTACAAAAAAAATGCAAACATTGTGATTGTATTTGAGAGCATGCATCATACAATTATCATATTTTATTCCAGGCTATGTTTAACATAAAGTAATTAAAAACATTGTTGAATTCTTAGTAAACTTTCTGAGTACAGAACCTGTGAGAATTGTCTCAGAATCTTTAAGGTTGGTAGTGTTGGCATATTTAATGTTGATAATGTATTGCAATTCTTTTGACTTGGTGATTCTAGAAAAATATTTATCTGTTATATTTTCTGCAGTATATTTTATGAAAACACTTTTTTTTTTTGAGTTAACTGCAGACAGGAAGTTAACACTACAAACTTTCTTCCCTTAGGTTTTGTTAACTGAGACCAACACACAATTTGTAGAACAAACCATTGCTATAATGAAGAATTTGCTTGACAATCATACAGAAGGGAGCTCAGAACATCTTGGACAAGCTAGTATTGAGACAATGATGCTAAATCTGGTTAGGTGAGAAACCTGGTTAATCTTCTATACAAAGTTATATGTTTATGGAGTGAAGTAGACCCTTTTAGTTCAATATCTTTTCTGCTTCTACCCATGGAGAAAGAAGTTGATCCCCGCTCTTACTGTTCTGACAACTTCAGTAGTCATAAAGATTACTTAAATGATAGCATAGACTTATTTTCTTCAGAACCAACCATTCCATACCTCACCCCCTTTCCTGGAAGTATTTCTGTTTTCTTTTCTGTACAATAGTGTTAGTGGTTAGAAACCAGATGAAGGGCAGGTTTCTGTTTGGGTTTATGCCAATCAGAAACCTTTATGCCAGTCAGAAACCTTTTTGGCCTCAAGAAACTTGGTGCTGGTCTTCAGCTGATGTAAGGCTTGGAAAAAACATTAGCCCAAATACTTGCTAACCCACTATGCAAGTCAGAGTTGTATCAGCCAATGTGTAGATTATGACACAGACCTGAAAAGATTTCAAATGCATGGGCCTCGTTTTGTACAGCATGAAGTATTTACTTTTTGCTTTTTATCTTCAGATATGTGCGTGTGCTTGGAAATTTGGTACATGCAATTCAAATAAAAACTAAGCTCTGTCAGTTAGTAGAAGTAATGATGGAGAGAAGAGATGACCTTTCATTTTGCCAAGAAATGAAATTCAGGTAAGAAAGAAATTTAGACATAATAAAACACCTAGGGCAGTGTAATGTGGACAAGTATAATTTTGGTTACATGTTTAAAAAAAAATAAAAGTAAACTTTATTATAATGGTATATTTTATTTTTTTTTACTTTGTCTTCAGTGTTAGTAGTTTAGAATCTAGTATTGCATTATAATTTCATTTTGAATATGGGGATACTAAATGTATGTAAAAAAACCTGATACAGAGTGGGGTATTACTTGGTACAATAAAATTCAGTTAATCTTCAATATCTGGTGGTTCGAATATGAATTTGTAATACTAACCACAAGCAGTAGTAGGTGTATTTAGGTGTGTGGGTTATTATTTAGGGGGGAAAAAAACGGAAAAAACAAAGCTAGCAGTTTTATGTTTTTGTATCTATATTTCACAGAAACAAGATGGTAGAATATTTGACAGACTGGGTTATGGGAACATCTAATCAAGCAACAGATGAGGATGTAAAATGCTTGACAAGGTAAGAAAGAGTACTATTAAACTGCTTCTAAAGTTGCTAACAGTGTTCCAGATACCATTTGATATCCACAGATCAGTTGGATTATGTGGAATTTCTGTAGTGGTAGTAATTCTAAAGAAAAGACCAAAATTGAAACTTAATTTTTTGTGAGCAGGTTCTTTTAAAATGTACATGTTTTTATTTAAATCTTGTTAATGCTATTTCTGATTTAGTGTTAGAATTGCTTGTTTTATTTCCTAGAACTATGTCTTCATATGATACATTATGAAGAATAAAATTGTCAAAGATTATAGTGTTGAATTCATACTTAAGTGAAAACATTCCTTCTTAGTTGTAGTCCTTTAATAATGTGTTGCTTGAACCTATACCACAGAATGTGATCGCTGTTTTCCTGATGGATCAATTTAACAACTGATGCTTAAAACCTTAAAACTTTTTCAGAGATCTGGACCAAGCGAGTATGGAAGCAGTGGTCTCTCTTCTTGCTGGGCTTCCATTACAGCCTGAAGAAGGAGATGGTGTTGAGTTGATGGAAGCCAAATCTCAGTTATTTCTTAAGTAAACAGTGACTTTTAACTATTTCTACTATATAATGTCTCAGAGTAGAAGCACCATATGATTTTTACTACCAACTAAGTTTTTTCTTCTAGCAGAAGTAGAGATTACCTCGTATAGATGTCATTTCACAAATCTCTGCCTAATAGGTTTATGGAAACATTTTCATTTAGAAAATAATTACTAAATTTGTCCTTGTTTCCCCTTAATACAGACGTATCCTTAGTTCATGGGAGGGATTAGCTGGGTTTGAAATTGCATTTTCATCCATGAAATTTAAAATCTCTTTCAAAACAGCTGTTTGTAAAGGCACGCCAGTGGAATTTGTTTGTTTTGTTTCTGGAACTTATATATGAGTTTTGAGGGCAGTGCCTCCTAGTTCTTACAACATATTTTTTGGAAGTTTAAACTGTGCTACAGGGAAGATTATTTGGGGGGATGGATGGGATTCTTTGGGAGGCTTATGGTCTATTTACTTTTGTATGCAAATCTTTCCAGACTGTTGCCTTCGTAGAATCTGTTTTAACTATCCGAGTCTATCTTTTTCTTTAGATATTTCACACTGTTTATGAACCTTCTAAATGACTGTAGTGAAGTTGAAGATGACAGTGCACAAACTGGTGGCAGGAAACGTGGAATGTCTCGAAGACTAGCTTCGCTACGACACTGCACTGTTCTTGCTATGTCAAATTTACTCAATGCAAACGTTGACAGTGGTCTTATGCACTCCATAGGTAAAGTAATTGCATTAAGCTATGCATAAATGAATACACAATGAAGACATTGGTGTTTGATTCATTTTTACATTTTCCTTAGTAGTTATGTTTTGTTTTTGTTTTTTTTCAGGCTTGGGCTATCATAAAGACCTCCAAACAAGAGCTACCTTTATGGAAGTCCTCACCAAAATTCTGCAGCAGGGAACAGAATTTGATACGTTAGCAGAAACAGTGCTAGCAGATCGGTTTGAGAGATTGGTGGAGTTGGTTACAATGATGGGTGATCAGGGGGAGCTCCCTATTGCTATGGCTTTAGCCAATGTGGTGCCTTGTTCTCAGTGGGTAAGTTAATTCCTGCATTTTATTTCCTAAGTGTTTTGAAAATAATAAGACTTATAATTAGGTCAAACATTTTGGGGGTGTAACAACAGCCTGCTAAAGAGAAATTAGACCTACCTTTCGTAATAACTAGCCTTTCTTATTGTATTTTAAGAAAGTATACTAAATCCAGCTGCAAGAGATTGTGATTATCAACAGTAGTTTTATATTAAATTTCAGTTAATGCCTGGGAACAATTTTGTATACAATTATTATGATAAATGCATTTGTTTTGGTTGATATTTATTACAAACTGCGTGCTGTAATGCAGACAAACACAACTGTATTTACTCCTCAAATTTAACAAGATGAATTGTTTTTTGTTATACAGCAGAATGAATGCTTATCTGTCTGGACTAACCATTATAAATTTGCATGAGTGGTTATCGTGAGAGAGATTTTTAGGCAAACAATAGCATAGGGAAGATTTAAAAAAAGATTGCGCATGCTTAATTTAATATTTATATGCAAGACTCCATAGCAAATTTAAATAATTAGTGCCATCTTTGACTTGCTGCTCAGATGACCATTTCCTGCTTCTTTTAAGGATGAGCTGGCTCGTGTCCTGGTCACACTCTTTGATTCCCGGCACTTGCTCTACCAGCTGCTTTGGAATATGTTTTCAAAGGAAGTTGAACTAGCAGATTCCATGCAGACACTCTTCCGAGGAAACAGCTTAGCTAGTAAAATAATGACTTTCTGTTTTAAGGTATGTTACCTAACCTTTCTCTCTGCTACATATCAGATCAGTAACAGGAAAAGTTTAGTAATATAAAAATACAGAACTATGTGTCTGTGGTGGTAAGCATTGGAGTAAATGAATCAGATGAAAATAGAGATGAGTTTGCTTTGGGACTCAGTTAAAGTTACTCTTAGCTCTCATATACATCTCATAAAAGCATAACTCCCTAAACTTTCAATGTTTGAAATAATACTTGTAGATCTTTTGTGTTCAGGCCCAACTGAAAAATACAAATCCTTCTGGAACCAACCTTTTGCCAAGACTTCCTGAGTCAACCAGTTAGGCTCAAGTTTGCAGTTAGTCCTCTTGAAAGTTTCCAAGGCAATAAATGTTTCATCTTGCTTAGTCTGCGTATTCAGTATTGTGAAGAAAAGTGATTGCAGTAAAAAAATTTTTTTGCAAGATTTGTGCATTTAAACAGACAATATTATTATTTAGAAAGCGTTACTTGATAAAAACAGCTAAATATATTTACATTTGTTACTTTGAAGTCTTGTCCTAAATAATCTTCAATCATAGTAAGTCTTTTTAAACTTATGACTACCTTAGTTACATGAGTGATTTGGGGTGTAGTACCAGCTTGAAGACTGTTTCTAATTGTCTTCTATTTAAAGAGAAGACAAATTCCAAGGTCTTTCATTTCAGTTTAAAATGTTGTGTAGTACAATACAAACGGAGCTGGGGTGTTGAGTCAGTATACTCTAGGAAGGATTTCCATCTGGTTATTAAGTTGATTTATCGTTTGCTCTAGATTGAAAATTAAATAAAATACTGGTAGAAGTCGATCACGGTTGTGTTTCAGAAGTGAGTCTTCCAGAACACCAGTTTTACAGACATCTGGCTTATGCCAAAACAAATCAAGTGTTTTCAAGCTCTCATAACGTACAGAATTTTGGAATGTTCCTGTGGATTACTATGTTAATCTGGCCACATATTCTGATTTTCTTTTTTCAATAGGTGTATGGTGCTACGTATTTGCAGAAACTTCTGGAACCTTTATTAAGGACTGTGATCACGTCCTCTGAATGGCAGCATGTTAGCTTTGAGGTGGATCCTACAAGGTTTGAGATTCAAGGCGGGGGGAAACAAAAGTATTTATAAAATTGTCTCCCAGTCATTGTGATTTCCTTTTCTTTGTTGTAAATATTTTTCTCACACTTTCATACTTTCCTGCTCCTCGCTTCACCAGACACATTCATTTTATCTACCAACAGTCCTTATACCCAGGGAGAATTGTACAAAGCTGTCCAACACATTGAGATGAGTTCTGCTGCATGTCCTCTAAGCCCTGAGAGAGTAAGGAAGACAGAGAGTCCTTACAAAACCTCTTCTCCTACTTGCTACTTCATACTTTTTGTAGGCCACTAATGCGGGGGTTTTCCAGTAGTACCAGAAGGCATCTGCTTTAGGTCATTGGATTAATTACAGAAGCAAGTTGGAATGCATACATATTGTAAATTTTTTTTTGCTTTAATTTCTCATATCAATTCAAGACTTGGATTTAGTAGCTGTTCTGTTGTTTTGAATTCTCTTTAACTCTTGAAAATTTTTCAAAATTCTTCTTTTAAGTAGTTTGCCAAGAGATAGGTTTTATTTTTAATAGTTTAGCTGTCAAACAACTGTGTCTATCTCAGAAATCCCTTTCACAGAAACCATCATCAAACTGATAATGCAGGCCTCTTGGAATTATGAACACTTGTCTTAGTATGGAATGATGGGAGAGAATCCCATTTACAGCTCTCTGTTTATTACTAAGTTTTGAATGACCTTGTATTTGTCACTTATGTAATTTAAATGGAATCTTCTGTGTGAAAGATTGTAAATATTTCTGTAAGATTTTTATTTACCCCGTGGGATAAGGTTACTACTGAAAATATAAGCATAGTCAGTAGGATTTGATTGCTGGTTATACATTTATGGGTCTCTTTCAGATTGGAGCCTACAGAAAGCCTTGAAGAGAACCAACGGAGTCTCTTACAAATGACAGAAAAATTTTTTCATGCAATCATTAATTCTTCTTCAGAGTTCCCACCACAACTTCGCAGTGTGTGCCATTGTTTGTACCAGGTATGCCTGCAATGGTTGCCTGCCCCTAAACTTTAGGGTTTGATTTTACAATTCTAGTAGTTTGCATCTTGATCTAGTAATGGGTGCATAGTGGGCATTTCTTATAGTGGGCTGCTAAAATTCCAGTAGGGGATGGATATTTTTGCTGCCCGCAGGACCAGTAGGAAATACAGTTTGCAGTCCTTCTGGAGGAGGCTGTTGCAGAAGGGCTGTGCACAGCAGAGGTTGTGAGCTGCAGTCTCTCTGTGTTCTGGAAGAGCTATTGTTGGCCTTTCTGCCATGGAGTCTGTATCTCGGGTCTGAAGTAAAGCGAGGAAAACAGATTTTCTGAGCTATGTTTGGAGGGAGAGCATGCAAAGGCGCTATCGTCAACCACAGCCGCATGTGCGAGATTGCTGTGGAAAGTGAAAGCATCCTTGTCTTAGAGAAACAAAACTTTGAACTAATTATGAGTAGTACAAAAACATTCTATGCAATGTTAATCGTTGTTCTTAGCACTGATAATGTTTTAGCAGGTATTAATAATTTTTGTAGTGAATACTGTTGTGATTTTCAGAACTTGTGGGGGTGAAGACCAGTGCATCGTGTTGGGACTGTTGTGGATCTGGGGTTGTTGTCCTCAGCTGTTGGTAGGAATTAGGAGTGCAAATGCTGGCCTTTTGTTTCTGCTGTAACAGCTGGTGTAAATGGCTTCTCGAGTCACCTGGCTCTCTTTCTGCCTCTGGTTTTAACAGACTGTATCCAGGTTGTGGAAGGTTTTTTTTGTTTGGGTTTCTGTGTGTGCGTTAAATAGGGAAACAAGGTGGGCAAGCTGGTTTTCCTTTAGGATCAGATGGTCAGTCTCGCAGACATTGACTGCAAGTGGATGTGTCACTGAAAATGCCATGCGTGCTTGATTCTTGCTTCCATTATTTGCTGCTGGTTTGTCCTGGATGTTTTCCTGGAATTGCTTTATGTGCTGTTGCTAGGGTGCATCAGACTTAGATCCATTGCAGTGATACTTTGCTAAAAATTCTTCCTATGCAAACCATTTTTAATTCTGACGTGCATTGGAGTTACTGGAATGTACTCTGCAATGGGGTGGTTTTCAAAGATTCTTCTGTGGGAGCATATCAGTTCTATTGTTTTTTGCCTTTATATTGTTTCAGTTAAAAGGCTAATTTACATGATTTTTCTTAATAAAGAGGGATGGAAATTTTACTTCCTTTAAATGCAGTAGCCTGATGAATAGAGTAGAGATAAGAATGCTTCCAAAGTTAGCTCTTCCTTTCTAGAAGTTACACAAAGTCAGAAGTTTGGTAAGGACAACATCAGTTAACAGGTCTTGAATAGATCTGAGCTGTTTAAATTTAGCTTGGTTGGTGGAATCGCTTTCACTGACTTGCTTTTTTACTGTCACATCTTTAAGTTGTATGAATTTTCTTCCAGTTCTTTTCTCTAAAGATTATATATGAATTGTTGGTGTGTGCTTGTTCTCAAACAGCTAAATATTGCTGGCTTTCTATTGATAGAATTCCAGGCTTCACTTAGTATAGGGCTTTTTGGTGATGCTAGTTTATTCTTACAACTAATATGAAAGACATAGGATTGAGCTGCAAGAGCAAAATTTACCTCTTTGCGGGGCAGCAGTACATAAGGCTGATGTGCTATATCTTTGCTCAAATCCTGTTGTAAAATATAAGAGAACGTGAGGTTTTGTGGTGGGTCCCTTTGCCTTGAAATTAACATAATCAAGTCAAATGTCTAAATTTGGAAATCTATAATAAATTTGATGTAGATCTGCTGGCTTTTTTTTCCCTCCATTCTCCACAGAACTACTTTATGTTATCATTTAGCTCTCAAAGTAATAATTAACCGTGATGAATCACAGATCTAACTAAATTGAAGGACACACAGAGAAACATTGGGAAGATTTAAAACTCTAAATTTATTTTTAAAGTAATGTGTATATCAAAGGTATAACACTTTACTATTTCTACTATTAAAATTATTTTGGGATGGTGAAATACGTCTGAAAGCTGAATATGCGATTTAATGCCCAATATTGTATATCATGAGCACATTAATGTGGTTTGACTTTTAATCTAGCCAGAAATAGTAGAAATGATTGAAACGCAACATTTGCTTGTTTTGTATTTAGTGCTTTGTAAATAAGATGTAATAAAAAATGTGGAATAGAACCTCCATCATCAGTCTTTAGTTTATATATTTCATTTTCTGTTGGTTATGTTTGTTACATTTTACTGTGTAATTTATGTACAAGTCAACATTGGTTTTTTGTTGCTGTATGTAGTTGGTGCTGTGACTTGTTTGTGCTCATCTCTGTTCTGTAGGCAACTTGCCACTCTCTACTGAATAAAGCTACCGTAAAAGAAAAAAAGGAAAACAAAAAATCAGTAAGTTTGGAGACCTTTTTACTAGCCATTTCTTTCAAACCACAACAGAAATCTTTTGCTGTTTATTCAAAACATCTTCACTTCAGTCTATTTGAACTCACTGTAAAATCATTCTACTAATTCTGGCACAAAATAGCTTTCATTTCAATTAACACTGGAATTATTTTATATTTAAAATATTCTCTGTGTGCCTATCTGAGTAAACAAAAATACATCTTTAACATTACAGCTTAGCATTTAATATTCTGATTCCTCTACCCTTACCACCATCTTCCAAAAAAATGGAGAAAGAAAATATTTGGTCTGGGGGAAAATCTGAGTCTGTTTAGTTGCTTTAATACTTCCGTAGATAACATGACTTCAGCTTGCATCCTGGGAGAAGATCAATTAACACATGGTTTGCTGAAAAAAGGCTCCTATGATTTATTTCTGATATTTTCTTTTGTTTGCCTTCTAACTAAGCAATAAAAAATAGCATTTCTATTTATTTACTGAGGGAAGATGAGATTTTCCACTTTAACTTACTGTGTTAAAGAAGAGTTGAGATGTATATATTGTGATAGAGTGGTATCATTACAAGCTAAGGCTTACCCTTTTCTTTGGCAGTGACCTCAAAATACAATGTATGAATAATACTGAGGCAGAATGGAAATTTAGACTTTTATTAAATACTCCCATATTTTTCGCTATAACTGGGCGGATTAGTATCATGTTGAAATGCAAAATCTGTGTGCAAAGTAATACTTTACAAGAAAATATTATAAATAATTGCATCACAAGATAACTTGATTGAGGTTGCTACCAAACCATAATGATTCTTGACGTGTATGCACTAATGGCTTTATCTGTTTTAAGAAGCATGATTTGAGATTGCACCAGCTATGCTTTGAAGTAGTATAGTAAGCTGGGAATTGGGTCTTATTTAAACAATTTAACTTCATATATGAAACTTGCTAATTTTGATCTGTGAAATGGTAGAATCTGATATTATGATTGGTTGATAATTGGACAAAAATATACATATATAGATATTGAATTTTTATAAGACACTGGCTACTTGGCTCTGGATCATTCTGTCTTTCCTTCTTTGGTAAATCTGTTGAGATACGATGGATCTGGAGAGAGATTTCTTCAAATATCTCCCTCACTCAAATTTAGATTAGTCCTCAAACTTTAAGTCATGTAATTCATGTTGATGGGGAGGGCCTTGAAAGTAATATTGAAATAGTTATTCAAATAAAATACCTGAGAATTTAAAAAGAATTACCTGCTTGACTGGAAGGCTGTGCACACCTGATTGTGAACATATGGCATTTGTCCACTTTACTGTCAGTGGCTGACATTATAAGGTAGTTTACTTTCTTAGCTTTGTACAATAGCTATTGCAGGAATTTCATCCCAGCAAGAAAGTTTATATGAAAGCTGAAGTAAGCCTTGCCAGTGTCTGGATAGCCCCCTCACCCCCTTACTCTTCTTTCCTTCTCTTTCTTGATTGTCTTACAATACAAGACCTGTAAAGCCAAGAGAATCCTACTCAAATCTATTGAACTTGATTGTTATGGAAAGAATATGTAAAGTTGGATTGCCGTACAAGACTTTTCTCAGATTGATTTCCCTTTTCTTTAATGCAAATATATTATTTATAATTCTCAACTTCATAGGTTGTTAGTCAGCGATTTCCTCAGAACAGCATTGGAGCAGTTGGAAGTGCTATGTTCCTCCGGTTCATCAATCCTGCGATTGTCTCCCCTTACGAGGCAGGGATTTTAGATAAAAAGCCTCCACCAAGAATTGAAAGGGGATTGAAACTGATGTCAAAGGTGAATCAGTGTATGCTTTTATTTGGCCATATTGTGTGTTCTGCCTGAAGTAATTCTGTTCTTCAATTGACAAGAATGAGAAAATTTAGTTAAACTTTTTAGTTTTGTATAACAAAGATCACGCTTATTTAAACTGCAGAGTTATGTTTATAGATCATAGCATGACGTAAAATCAAAGAAACCAACATAACTTCAACAGTAGTGAAAATATCTGATATCAATGAGGTTTATAGAAGTTTTGAAGAAGTAGCTTTTTTCTTCCATCTCAGGACTGGTACCATTTAGTATTACTTCCTGTAAAAAAAAAAAAAAAACATGAAAAAAAAAAAAAAGGAAAAAAAAGGCGTGTGGGGAGGAGTTTACTGGTTCTGTACAACTTCTGTGGCCTTGTGTATATTATCCAGTTTTAATTGTTGAGAAATTGTGATTTTCTTCAAATAGGCACGTGCCTTTACACCTGTTTGTGATTTCCAGAAAAAATGCTAACCCTTAATAAAGCACACTTTTGAAAGATGATTTCTTTTCCTGGTTTAAGCCCAAGTAAATCTCAGAAGTGAAATCTTTTCTCTATTATTTAGAATTATGTAAAAGAAAATACTTTGTATTAGATGGCTTATGTCCCTTCTTTTTTTGTTTGTTTGCTTTGAAGTTTCACAAGTTAAAATGTGTATTTCTAATAGTGAAGTTATATTGGCAGTTGTAACAGTTAAGACATTAAGCCTTTATGTGCCTCTTCCATCTTTTTATTGTTTAGATACTTCAGAGTATTGCCAACCATGTCCTGTTTACAAAAGAAGAACATATGCGGCCTTTTAATGATTTTGTAAAAAGCAATTTTGACGCAGCACGAAGGTAGGCCCTTTGGAACCTTTTTTGGCTCCAAATATTGAAAAAAAAAAAAAAAAAAGTCATGTATGCTTGCAGGCTTTTGACTTGCATTGGGTCTGCGTGGCAGACTTCCCTTACACAATTATGGCAATCACTGGTTTTCAACTCTAGGTTTTTCCTTGATATTGCATCTGATTGCCCAGCTAGCGACACTGTCAATCACAGCCTGTCTTTCATCAGTGATGGCAACGTACTTGCTTTGCACCGGTTGCTGTGGAACAATCAGGAGAAAATTGGCCAGTACCTTTCCAGTAACAGGTAAGACTTCAGAAATATTATGGAGGGAGCTGCTGATGGGGAGTGAATATTTTGAATTATATTCAAATGCTTTTACTGTTACTACTGAGAAGAATATGGTGGCTGAAAAAGTCTTACCTCTGGATACTTTTTTGTCTTACTGACATCTCATTACTGGGTGCATGTCTAAGATCTTTCTTGCCTGCTTTGCTGCCAGCCTTCTGTACAAGTGTATATTTGTCTGTCAATCTTTGTAAAATCGATATGCATAATACACATTTTTCTAATTTCTTCACTGAAAACATTTTTTTTAATTTTGAAAAGAATATGTAACCTCTTCAAGGTAAGGAAGGTTACTAGGCAAATAATAATAATAATAAAACAAATTTAAAAACAAATATAACAAATAATAAAACAAAACAAAAAAACAGGAATTGCTGAATAAATAAAGACTTATCTGTTAAGTAATAATGCTGTTTCTAGGGACCACAAGGCTGTTGGAAGACGACCTTTTGACAAAATGGCTACTCTTCTTGCCTATCTGGGTCCACCTGAGCACAAACCTGTGGCAGATACACATTGGTCCAGTTTAAATCTCACTAGTTCCAAGTTTGAAGAATTTATGACAAGGTAATGAGATTATTGTGGAGGGGAAGCTCATTGTGGGTCTTCTTACTTCAGCAAGGACGTAGTTACTAAGACTTGAGCTTTCATTTTGAAGGAGGGTTTAAAAGGCTGGCTGTACGTACACCTGTTAGGTTTGTGAATAGAAGATTTTAATTTCAATAATTAAACAGAATTAAATCAGAATGCAGTAGCTTTTGTGATTTAACAGAGGTTCAAGATTTTATGAATTTAATGTTTCTGTTTAAAGATGCAAATAAATAGTGTTTGGGTTTTTTGTTTTAGTAAGGCAGTTGTGAAAAGCTGATGTCATGTACTGCTTTTTAGGCATCAGGTACATGAAAAAGAAGAGTTCAAAGCACTGAAAACGTTAAATATTTTCTACCAAGCTGGGACATCAAAAGCTGGCAATCCTGTTTTCTACTACATTGCTCGGCGGTAAGGCATCTTTCACCTCCCCTGTCTAAAATAAACATGTAAAAGCTAAAGTATGAAGTGTACATATGAAAGAGATGCAAACAAGACTCTGAAATTAACTTATTTGCTGAATATTGGTGACAGAAGTTTTGAACTGTGATCAGAACTAAATCAGAACTAGTTCATCCACCTAGGAATATGTACACCTGCAGAAATATGCATGAGACTTTAATTTTTATTTATTTTTCACTGTTTGAAGTAAACTGCATCTACACCACTTTACTATTAATCCTTTATCAGAGGTTTTAGCATCTTCATATTATGAAGTATAAAATTAATAACAAGCTAAAATAAGCAATAAAACTGAAAAAGGTCCCCATATCCCAGTCATTTGCAGACTTCATAAGAAAAGGAGAGTCATTGTGCTCACAAGTAACTGATGGGTGCAATCAAATCAGGATTGAAAACCGAGACTGTAGCTGTTACACCTTTTCTCTGAGCTGTGCTGGTGGTGCCCTTGCCCTTGGTACTGGTGCCGCTGTTGAGGTGCAGGCTGGCAGCAGGGGCCGCTGGTTTTGGCACCAGCAGGGTGCTGCGGAGTTCTCCCTGGTGCCCAGTCGGATGCTGAATCCTCGTGTCGTTGTGGCGCTGGCTGATGCTAGCAGGTCTTGTTTGGATGTTGGCCTTCATGGTCAGATTGTTGCCATCGCTTTGTGCTCCAGTGGGGCTCTTGGTTTTGCTTCTGCTGCCATTGCCAACGTGGTTTTTGCTGGTGGTTAGCTGAGTTGGTGCTGGTGGAGCTGCCTGAGGCAGTAGTGCTGGTGTAGAGCTTGTGGGCGTGCTTTGGCTCTCCAGGTGCTTGTTGCTGATGGGGTGGGTGCTGGTTTGGGCTGCCAGTGGTGGCTGCTGCACCAGTGGGGTGCTTGCTTGCAGGACCATTGCTGATGGCGTGCTCACTGCTGGCATGGTTAGGCGTGGTTGTTTCCTGGGGTCATGAGCTGCTTCTTGGGGTAGGGCTGGGAGCACAGCTTTCGGTGGTGATGCCAGTGCTGCTGTCCTTGTGTGCTCCGTGCTGGGGGTATACAGGGGTGTCAACAACTTCCGTAAACAGTTAATATATATTTGCAAATAAGGCATTCTTCAAATTTACTTATCTCCAGTGAAAATCATACCCAACATGAATTTCATTTTTTTTCCCAATTAACTAAAATTTTAAATCCCTACTCTTACTCATTCTTAGAACTTTTCATCGCATTCAGTAGTACTTTTCATTCTGTGTTGTAGATTGATCTACAAACTTTCTAGAAAAGTCTGTGCTCTGTTACACCATGTGACTTTCGTTATTTCCCCAAGGAAATTTTCAATTTTTCCAGTAGGGAACAATTTTAATAATTGGAAAATTTTATTGTTTTGCTACTTGGTATAATAACCATACCTTACTCCAAATTCAGGTTGAAGGCCAAAAAACCAGCAAGCTTTGAAGAACCTTTCTGAATATAACCTCTAACTTTATAGTTGTATTCTGCTACTTAAATATGGATTCCTATCCAGAGATCCAACAAATTAGTATATCTGTTCACATTTTCATTGATTATGGTTTTGATTTTTCAGAACAACAACAAAAAAACTTCTGTTCAGTATCAAATGTGGAAGGTAAAACAAATCTCAAAACTCTTTCCTTCCGGAATTTTGTGCTGCCATGCCAAAGGTTGTTTTTTTTACACTTAAAAAAAAAAAAAAGCCTTGCTCAAGCTGATAATGTAAGGAGGAAATGCTTATGTTCTGTATTTGTTGCTGTGAACGTTCTCAAACATTTGTTTTGCTGCTAACTTTTTAGAGAGACTTTGTTTAAGGCAGTGCAAAGGTAGAACTAAAAATAAAATGTAACGTTGCATGTCCATTTGGAAATGACATTGTAAGGAGTGAGACCAAAGTGTCCATGCTTTCCATTAGTTAATGAGTTCTTACTTAACAAATCTGTAAGCTTATGCTAACCAAAGGAATGCTAAACACACAGAAACTCTTATTGTAGTAAGTTTTGTTTTCTTACCCATTTCTATCTGAACTTTTTTCCCAACAATTTGTAGCACTGAATTAGAAACAATAGGAGAAAATGCTTATATAAGTAAACCTTTAGCTTTCTATTCCTTTTACTTGGGAAATAACTTGGAAAATTGCTTTCCTTTTACTTGTCCCCTTTCATGCACTTTCAACGCCCTTGACACTTTGGAGTGGAAGAAAGCAAGATGAGTAGTGCCACTTATCTTCTGTCACAATACTGTCTTTAAAAGCCTTGCCATAATCCTCTGTCCTCTTTAAGGTTTTTGTATCACCTCTGGACCTATTGTGTTGACTGAAGTGGGCTTTTACAATTTTTTTTTATGAAACTAGTTTACGGTATAAATGGCCATAAGTGTTTCTAACAGTAATTAACTTATATTAAATTAGATTATCTCAAATACGTTTCACGTTTTACAGCAGTGGATAAGAAGAGCGATAGTTTATGGAAACTTTCCTTTTGCAACATCAGTGACAGTTGTTGAACCAAAAATGAAGTAATTTTGTGCTCAGACAAATACATATCTGCGTATCTAACATAAGTTTTCAGAAAACATTGAACAGCATATGTCTTGTAGAATGACTTTATGGGAATGTCTGAATGCTCCATGTAATTTGTTACTAGGAGCAGATTTGTTGAACCATCAGTTTGAGCACTGCTTTTATGTTAGGCAGTAGAAAAAACATTACTGATGCCCTAAAGGTCCAGCTGGGATACAGAGTTAAAAGTAAAGTGAGTGTATGTAGTGCCAAAATTGAAACTAATTCACCTATCTTGAAGTACTCCATTTGTTTCTGTTCTTTTTTTCTCTAAAGATTCCTGAAGCTATGTACACAAAGTTAAAAAAAAAAAAAAAAAAGGGGGGGAGGGGAGAAAAAGAAAAAGTAAAGTTTGAAGACCCATTTTTTAAATGTTCCATTGTGCAAGTGACTCATATCTTTTACGAGTTTTGCTGAAGTTGATTTCTGCATAGGCTTATGAAGGGTTATGGTTCTCGTGGACAGCATGTATCAACTTAAATAACTGTGTTTTGAAAAGCATGCTGGTTGTTTTAGACAACATAACTAACTTTATACAGTTGAATGTCAGTAGAATTTTAAAGAATATGTAATGTATTATGTTCAGACCCCTTCTAAACTAGTCGTGCTGCTGTCAATAGTAAAAACAAATTGGGAAAACACAGGAATAAAATGGATGTTTGGAAACTCAGATTATCTCCCAGTTTTTGTGTTTGTTCACTGTTGTAGTTGAATAAGCTTGAAAAATTGTCATCCTTCTACTGCAAGTTAGCAGAATCAGCTAGAGTCTCATCAGCTCATCTCTCCACTCCCACCTGCATTTCTGGTCCATCCCTCAATTCTGTCAAAGTAATTTTGGAAACTGTTTCTCTGACACTGATGCAAATATGTGTCACGAGAAAAAATATCTCCTTTTTAGGATAGATAAATAGAGCCAATGTAGTCATACAGGTACACCCATCTTTTCCTATCTTGGACATGAGCCTGCAGCTAATAAGACAGAAAATATTACACTTTTTTTTTTTGAGGTAAAGTCCTTGGTGTTTAAGCTAGAATACACTGTCTTTAAATTCTCTTTAAAATTTGTTTGCTTGCCACCTTTTTCTCCTCCAGTTTTTCCATTGAATACTGTCTTATTTCATGTCAAGTAAAATAAAATGCCTGCGTTGTTATCCTGTCCTGTTCAGGCAAAAAATTAGGTATGCGTATGCCAAGAGTAGTGACAATCCATCTTCACAAAGTTTACTCTGTCTGGCATTGATCCAGGGCATCCTTATCTATTCTGGGAAGACCTGACATACAGTGTTTTCTTCATTTGCAGAGCAAGGAATGGTTATTTCACCTGTAAAGAAAGAATTTCTGGGAAGAAGTTGGTACAAAAGCATGCAACATGTGCTTGCTAGGTGTAGAGCCCGTACTACCTTTTCTTTAAAAGCAGAAAAATAAAATTATCCACAGCAGGCTAACTTAACAGGAGTGTTCGGTCTCTAAGGAAGCTATAGGCATGGTGGTTATGACTTAAAAATGAGTTCATATGGAAGTGATTTTTGTAAAATATGTACCGCTTGCGAAGTGTACGTGTGTGAAAACGGAAAGAACTGACCTCCATTAGGAAGACGTGAAGATGGCAGCAGTAAGCATTACCCTTTTTGCGGGAAGCATTTCAGTTTAAGGTTGGGGATTTTACTGGGGGATCTCTCGGCGGGCGTAGGAAGGTGTTAGCACTGCCCAAGTGGAGGACGTCAGCCTGACTGTCACAAGCTGGTGCTCTGCACCCCTTCAGCACCGGTGGGACCATGGGGACCCCCCCACGGTGGGTGTGCAGCCTGCGGTCCCAACACGCAGGTCCCGGGGAGTGACATGTGCCAGGGCAGTGCGGCAGCAGTGAGCAGAGAGCAGTGCCCAGCATTGGGACGGCGACTGCCTCCCCGGCACTGCCCGGCCTAGGCCTACCCGGTGCTTCTGTGGAATGGCAAAAGGGTCTCTGTGGTGCTTACTTGGGGTATTTGTCTTAGGGTTCTGAGCCAGATGTCGTGTTTTGAGGGGTGAAATGAGGAGTGACTGTTTAGATTTGAGCTGGAAGGACATTTGAGGGCTTGCAGCAAGCAGATTATTTTTTTTTAGTTTGAGATCTTGTTGCTAAGGCATTGTTGAGTCATTTTACTGATATATCTGGATCAGTTTGTATCCTTCTTGTGCTGTGAAATTTAATCTCGTCTGTCATTTTTCTCCACATTGTGTTTCCTGGGTAACAACCAGACTTCCAAAGCCAGTCATCTTCTGTCTCTAATCCTTACTCTGTTACTAAAGTGATCGATAAATCAATAGATATTGATCCTGAAGTACTGCCATCAAGTTTTAGAGCTGATATCCCAAACTAATTAATAGGAAATGTGGAAATGTTGTTTCCCACCACAGCTATCCCTGCAGCAATTTTGATGTTTTAAAAGCCAACATCTCTACAAGAAGGCGTGCCAGACCTCTTCTGGATAATCAATTAATAGTCAGAAGGCAGCACCATTTTCAAAGAGACTACTGAATGTCATGTTGAATTGTTGGATAGTTATTTTCCAACACAGAATTTTCTGAGGACAGATTATTGTATTTGTATTACCAGAGGCCAAATGACCAGTGTGTTTAAAAGGAAGCTGGTTTGGTAGCGTTCACATCCTTGCCTCTTGCTTTTATTTCAATTTGACTGCACTGTTGCCAAGCAACAAGTGCCCGACTCCCCCGGTCGCCTGCCTACTCCAGCTCTGTTATCAACTCATTTGTATGCCAGAAAAATACAAGGAGCCTAAATTTCGGTCTGCTTTGTTGAAGGCAATCTGACTAAGAAGCCCTTGTTTGCACCTACCAAGGACGAGTTGTGGGTAAAGAGATAGCCCTGGAGTTTGGGAGGAGGTGCCGTCTCGCTTCCATGCACATCTGTGATTTGTTTCCCAATCAGTACGTGTATTTAGAAAAACCACAGAACCCCATGTGCACATCCAGGCTTTTATCAGTGTGCTTAAAATTTTGAAGTAGACTTGCCATTTGCCCCAAATAACTTGTGGAAAACAGGATTTTCTCATAGCTTCACTGTTCACTGGGTAGTCTCTTTATAGGTGGAACGTGCTCGGAACATTTAAAAGTTGAGTTCACGTAGACGTTTTGCATCCAGTAAGATTCAGCATCCTGTATTGAATGGCTCTGCAAAAACATGTAATATTTCATGTAATTCCCTCAACATAATTCACTCTAGACGTTGTAGTCATAGTACCTCATTTTGAGATCTCTGTCCTACCTTGCAAGCTAAGCTGCTTTAAACTGTGTGTGATGAAACCATATGGGTGAGATAATTCTAGGAAATTCCTAATTCTGATCTTAATAAGTAGGTTGATACTGTTTTAGTGTCAGTCAGTACTTAGCAAATACATAACCTGTCCAAAAAGGGTGACAGGCAGTGGCATTTTTTCAGATATTGATCCTACTTGCTGGAATTTCAGTTGTGTCAGATTATTTAACCTGGGGAAAATATATGGAACTTGTGCAAGTGGGGAACTTTCAGCCTGCTGGTAGCCACTCAGGTTAATGAGGCACTTCTGGCTACTGAAGGCACTGTGCACATCCTGCTTATAGCCCAGGTTGTTTTAACTTTGACTTGGGTAACTAGTTCTTGTGTACCTCAAATGCCTATGAAATATCAGTGGTGTGTTGTTTTTTTTTTTTCTTTAAATCCTTCTGTTCTGTTAAACACAAAGATACTTTTTTTTTTTTTTTTTTTGAGATGGAGAAGTTACCTTTTTGTAGCACATAGACATGTCTTAAGGGGTTGCAACTTCTAAAGAGTAAGAACGAGAAGGGTAGGCTGTGTTACCATTATCTCATCAGCTTATTAATAAACAATATTAGGAAAAGTTGAAGATCAGAATAATACAATTGGCTTATACCATAGTTTCCCCCATAAGACATAGAGATTGAGCCAAGTGCCTGCTTGAAGTAGGTTTGTATAATAAAATAGTATCTATTCAGCAATTATTACCTATCTGCCAAGAGTATATGGTAGCAATGCTTATATGAAAAGAAGCACTGTGACTAATTCAGTTCAATACAAACATAACTTTATTTTTACTTAAATGCCAATGAAATAACTGTACAAATTCATCGTGTAACATTTACTGTTAGAAATTAAAACACATTTCTGATTATAGAAATATTGTTCACAATTGGAAAGTTATGATTTCTCTGATACCGGGTTGTAAATGGTCTACAGCCCTCACTGACACCTAGGAGAAATAGGTAGAGGGCTCCAGTCTTGGTATTGAGGTTTTCTGGATTTTGCAGCACCTTCATGCTACAATAACTGGAAATTAAATGGCCTGAAATGCATGGAAAACATTGTATAAAGATATGCAGTATTAGGTGAATAATACTTGTTCAATGAACTTGTTCTTCAGTTTTCATTTCATGCTGTTTGCAAAACTTCATCAGTAGTATATCAAGTACCTTTGCCACATATTTTCTTAAGGTGGTCAAAACCATGCGTGCATCTATTTCTACACATTGATGGTGCAGATGTCAAGGAGAATAGCGTTCGTGCTCATCATTGTAAGGCAAGGATTTGGGCATGTTCAATGCCATGGATTGAATTAATTTGTTAAGTCACAACATTTAAGGAGTGTTTAAATGACAGCTTTTAAACTAATTGCTTACTTGATATATGTTACATATCTTGCATTAGAAATTGGCTGATATTTTCTTTCAGTATTCAAAAAGTAGTAGTTCGAAACACTGGCTGAATTGCAGCATTCTTTTAGGCGTAACGTAGTGACAGATATTTCCGATTTTTGATGGTAACTTAGTGGTCAATTTTGTTAATTTGTGTAGGTAAGTTCCTTGTTGGAGAGTGTCATGGCGTTGAACATCTTGTGTTTTCCTCTACTTCTATCTTTTTTTTCTTTTTTTTTAAGTATGGAGAGCGAGAAATAACTTGCCTGCAGCCTGTAAGTCAAGACAGAGCAAAAAGAGGTATCAGCCCCTACCATTTTTCCCATGCTGAAGTTGGACCACATTTGCTTCTCAGTTTACCCTCTCTGAGATAGACATCATGGCATTGTCATATTTAATTCCTAAATTCAAGACTGTTGTTCTTCATATTTAAAATATCCTAATACATATGAAGCAAACATAGATATACATGCTAGCAATTTTTCTCAGGAATAACTTCTGATTAGTGAAACAGCTAGGTTTAGTTTCTTTATTTTTCCCTTCCTTATGCATGTCATCATAACAGAGAATCTGTGCTGCTATATTACAAGGATTGCTCATCGGCAAGTCAAGCAAGACAATGCAGATATGATACAAGACTTCTATTTTTTCCAGTAGTTTATGACAAAATCATACATAAAATCAGTACTTAAAATTCTGATGTTTTATTCTGTGCAATTAAAATTAAAAATTTAAATACAAAATAAGCACATTTTTAAAAACAAAACCATAGGTTAGTTTTACTCAATTTAGACTTTAAAATAAGTAGCAGCTTAGTATCCAGACATTAGTGTGCGCTTCTTTTAAGAACTGTTATCTTCTTTAGATCAGTCAGAACTTCAAATTTTTTGTATTTTGATTAATTATTTGACCTGGATGTCTTACCTCCAGCTATGTATCACAGGAATAAGCTCAATACTTCTCACAAGAATACAAGCCCCTAGCCAATAAACATAGCCACTGCATTAAGCATTACAGCATAAAACAAATACACCTCACAGATACTTGCTTTGGAGGGCACATCAGTGTTTAAAATAGTTGTGGTGGATTCCTCTCTCCTTAAGGTAGCAGTTGTGCTTTGAGGCATTTTCGAGTAGTTTGTTGGCATTCCGCTGGTGATACTTAGAGTCATGGGGGTGGTGGATGATCCCGTTGGATGGGCCAGGCTTGAGTTCGCGTCAGTTGAATCTTTAATGTAGATTGTGTGTGTGTCTGCTGCTTCGTAAGCGCTGACCTTCCTCGTTGTCAGGTCTTCTGGATAGAGGAGCAGTGGCCGGTCTGTGCTTGTAAACAGTACAGTTTGGCCTAAGGTAGCCAAGGTAGTAACTTCCTTAGCTTTAAATTGTTTATACATTTTTGTCATTTGGGCTGGTTCAGTTGCCACTGGGGAAGCAGCTTTGTCTGCTGCCTTTATTCCTTTAATCATGAGGTTAGTGGCTGGAACTGTGGGAGCAGCTGCGGATGGCGTGGCGTTCACCCAAAGCACAGATTCGTTAGCACAGGGAGCCCCTATGACGCTGGCGGTGGTTCCCTGCACCCATTTAAGTAAATATGGGATGTTTTGTTTATCACTGCAGGACCAGGGGTTGTTATATAGTGTTACAACTTGCAGCTGAAAGAGCTGGTCAAACGCTTTGTCGGGAATGTATGTGAACTTGTTGTTGTGTAGGTAGAGGCTTGTAAGGTGCTGTAATCTCACCAGTGTTCCTGGAAGTATCTGGGACAAGAAATTATTGGATAGATCCACTGTCTCTATGTTGTAGGGCATATTGGTTGGAACTGTCCAAAGTTTGTTGCTGCTGAGGTTGAGAAACTTGAGACTGCTCAGTGTGTTGTTGATGAGAACAGCTCTTTCCACCATGTTCCTAGAAACATCAAGCACTTTAAGATTCCACTGGTAAGCTGTGTCAAGTTTCTGAAGAACTTTAATGTTGTTATTTATGGCATATAATTCCCACAAGGACTTGGGCAGATGAGCAGGAATATTCTTGAGCCAATTATTTGAAATATCAAGGGTCCTCAAGTTGGTGAATCTGGTCAGCTGATGATCAAGATCTACGAACTGGTTAAAGGATAGATTTAAATATGTAATGTTGTCTTGAAGTCCATGTGGCAGTACAGTTAAGTTTCTGCCTGAACAGTCCACATTCCTGTTGTTTCCTGAGCATGTACAGTTAGAAGGACAGATAACCAAAACAGTGGGTATGAATAACAGAAGGACCAGCAGACAGGTAGATGCTTTCAATATCTGGTGTTCCATTGCTCCCTAAAAATAAATATACCAAAATGACACCCTTTAAATCTATGTAATATATATTTTTTATTTGTAAGGGCTGTCTTTGCAATGATTAGTTGCAGCAGAGATTAAGTAAAAATATCAATAAACCCCTTTGTGGCACGGTCCTTTTTATAATTGTTCAAGAGAGACTTTACAAAGCATCCCTTCATAGACTGTCATGTTGTCTGGCAGAATGAGACTTGTTTTTTCATCTCCCTTTCCCCATCAAGCTCAAATGAGGGCTTTCTTCCGAAAATGCAAGTCTCTTCCAAATGTTATACAATGTCTGCTTCTTGTTTTTAGTGATTTCAAGCCTATATTATGTTTGGAATAATGTGTTCTTTTATACAAGATGAAAAAATGGCTGTCAACTGGATCTGCTTCACAAATCTCTGCAGTAATGTAGCAGTCCCCCCCATACATGCATGCTATTTGCTTAAGTAGAATTGGTTAAAATACATTTTAAATTGTTAGGAATTTAGTTTGAAAACCGAATTCTGTATTCATGGTAACATGCATATTGCTATTTTCCTTTATTATCACGTCAATTACATTCTCAAAGCTGCTAACACATGTTTGAAGCTGATTTAATGTTAGTAAGAAATCTCTGACACTGCAGCAAATTTCTGGTGCAAGCATCTGTCATCAACTAATAATTTTGTTTTTATTTCTCTCTCTAAATTTGCAGTAGGTTTTTGTGATTAAAAACAAAAAATGCAAACTTACCGTAATCTCTTCTGCAATATCAGCACATCATTTCTGTGAAAGATTTAAGCTTAGAGGTCGTCTTGTTCTAGAGAGTAGCTACAGTTGCTGTCTGTGGATTGTGCTTGCCTCTTCAGCTGCATCGTATTGCTGCTAGCTGGGGCTCTGCAACCACCTGATCTGTACTACATTGGAGGACTGCAGAGCTGTCATTGGTGCTGACTCAAATTTATTGCAAAGCGTGCATATTCAATAAAATAGTTGGCTTTTGTAATTTGAGTTCGTTAACTTCTCCCTAACTATATTTTTTTAGCCTTGTTAATGCATCATAATATAGTACATAAGATTGCCTAAGTAAACAGTACCAAGTGGAATTTTGGTGGGCTATTTTAGCTTAACCTCTGAGTCCATTTAAATGTTCCTATTTAAAAAGTCACTCAAGTTGTGTTCTGTTTTACCTTCATTTAATCTCTGCTTCTGTAGTAAAGGTTAATGTTAATTTAGGCTTCCTATCTTGAGCTTTTTTAAGCAACAGTGCTAGAATATCTTTTCATAATTTTAAAATGTTCAGTTTTCTGCTGCTCAGATCAGGTTGTCCCTGTATTTTCAGGTATAACATAGCCCAGACTGTAGGATTTTACTGCTTTCTGTAGGAAAGCTTTATCTGCATTTCTCCAAACAATATCATAAGAGTGTATATTGTTCATAATGCTGTTAATATTAACATCATTTAGTGCAACAGCCTTATAGAAGTCTCTGAGCAACTGGAAAGCTGTTCTTCAGGCATACAGATGTATACATCTTATAAAAACAATAAGGAAACTTGTAAATATATTTTCCTGTGTCCATTGTACCCACATCAGCATAGAATTGCATATGCACATCTTTTTACCTTTGTGACCACCTTTCAGCTTCCCATCAAGTAGCATATTAAAATGCATGGTTCTAGACAGGGCAGCAAGCTTCTCTTGTAGCCAGGGCCGAGAAAGGAACCTCTAAAACACTTAAGCATCTGGAGTTAAAAGGCATCTGGCATCTAGACAACTGTAAATCAATTTTTGAAATTTATATAAATAAGATTGAACCTTTTCTGAAAAGACTGCTTCAAAGGAGATAAGTAAACGTGCACAACTCATTCTGATAGTTATTTGTCTTGGGTGTTCTGTGAACTGTTTGTTTATCCACAAAAATCAAAAGTGCCTAGGTAAAAGAAGGCTTTTTCATGCTTGTTCTTCATGTGCTTGGACGTGTTTCAGCTTTTTCATGACCACTATAATAATTCTTTACTTTCACTATTATTCTCTGTGTTACCAAAAAATAATGTGCAGTGACTAGAGACTTTATATCACTAAATATTTTGGCAATATTGGATCTGGAGGAAATCTCCTTCCTATTAATGAAGAACAACTGATGGCTGTTATGAGGATTTATTTTAAATGCCTGTCAACCGCTGTTACCAAGTAGTCTCCAGTCATATGCAGAAAACAGACCTTTTTTTATGAAAGATAGCCGATATGTATACATGTCAAAGCGTTCGCATTTTGCTCTGAATTGGAAGCTTTGTATCTAAGCAAATTCTCTGTTGTGCTTTAAGCAACCAAAACATCTTTGAATTAGAAAGCTTTATTAAAATTGGCTTGAATTCATTGCATTCACTTGTACAGCCTAATAGGACAGACAATTGTTAGAAGCTCTGAGTACCTCGAAAGCTTATACTGTTTCTTGAAAGCTCCGTGTATCAGTATGCTATGTATGCGTATGTGCTGGCACACAAAGGTATGCATGTTCTGTTTCCCGTAGTCTCCAAAATCTGGAGGTGCTACTTGTCTATGCAGTGGGCTCCATCTGTATTGTATTTTGGCATGATTTGTTTTGGGCAGAACTAGGTGGTTCCCTTCTGTGAAAGCTGAAGTCAAGAAGTGCTGGGGAACCGTTGCTCATGCTGTGGTTTGGTTGTTCCTGCTTGTGGCAACTTCTCTATTGTTCAGTTATTTGAAGAACGCTTCATTTAAGAAAAATGAGAAGCGTGTTGGAAAGTGATTTTGCCCATCTACGGAGGGTGTTCTGGCTGAGGCAGTGATTCACGGATCTCTTAAATGATTAGCTCAGGAGGCGGGGGGAATTGTTCCTTTATTTCTGAGAGAAGTTCCTCTTGTTTGCTGGGATCCAAACTATGATCCTCAGTTGGTTCCCTGAGCCAGTCAGGTGGAGGTGGCAGGTCAGAGGGCTCAGAAGAGGGGTGAGGACATGAGCCAGGTGTGCAGCTTGCTGTGTCTGAGACGGGCGGTGCAGCAGCGCTGGAATCGGAGATGCTGGTTGCAGAGCAGTCTTCTGCTGGTGGAGGCACTTGGCTGCTTTCATGAGTGGTGGTGCAGCTGGGTGGTTTCTCTGACGCGGTAAGATCATGCTGGAAGTGTGTATCTTCTCTAAATTTCCAAGGCAACACAGATAAAACCGATGAACGCTTGGTAGCCTGGCCAGAGTCCATAAAGATATCTGGTGTGTCTCCATCTGCAAACGGAGAACGACCAGCCCAGTTTGAATTGACTAGGAGGGGCCTTCTGCAGCACTTCCACAGAATAATCACAATAATAGCAATTATCATACTAACCAAAATTACGCCAATTATCATTGCTGGTAGGCCGTCATGTCTAGGCTCTTTGTATATTCCAGTCGGGTAAGGTGTTGTCACTGCAGTCAGTGCTCTGCCAAACGTGTGCAGACTGGGTCTGGTTGTTTGCGACTGATATGCAGTAGATCTGTTTTTTGTTGGACTCCTGGTGCTGGTATATACGTTTCTTTCACTCATGGTAACATTTGAGGGTGTTTCGGTAGAAAGCGATTTCCAGATTTCTCCAGAGATAAGAACCAGCATTATTTGGCTGCCCACCATTTCCCTGCAGTCTATTGAAATGCGTCCTCTCCTACAGCAGAAATAAAGTAGAACATGTTAATTTGAACTTCTGAAGTACCACTTTACAGGCACCAGACAATGTTACGTTATACGTAGTATAAAAATAAGATTAGACTCGCTGTTTGAACTTTCATGCCTGTTGCCATTTGTATAACCAGCAGGTTTGTCACTGATTTTACAAGCAGCAGACAGGTTTTCAGTATTACTGATCGTTGAAGTTAAGCGACTTTGAAGAGAATGTCGTAATTACTATTTTTTCACATTATCAGAAAAAGGCATTGGGAAAGAAGTCCGAAGTATGTTTCAAAATAACTTTAATCATTCACCTAGATGGTTACAGATGCAAAACAAAATATGAAACACTCGCAGAAGTATTGACAAACGGTATTGTCACAAAAGCAAAGAAAATTGTCTTGTTTTGTACCTCAAAGATTGAAAGAGACAAGCCAAGCCTGAGTTAAAAACTGTTAACAGTTCTGTTACTTTTATTTCCTGTTCTTGCCTCACTTCTGCAGTTGGAGTGTAATATTTTTTTGCTGCTGTAATGGAACATCGCTCAAACGTGCTCAGGCTGCTTTAGTATAAATTCCTGCATGTGGAACATTTTTGTAATGACGGGGGCTGTGTTAATGTTAAGTGTTTGGGATGAAACACTTTTTTCCCTGTACTGATAAAAGTTCAGGTCTCTGAATGTCTCTGTATGAGACAAATCATGTAAAATACAGCCACTATATGTGAGTTTTTTATTCTGAAATTACTTTCGTGCATTTGATCTAATTTATTATTATAATATTAGTCATGTGAAACGGTCTTCAGAAAATCACTATGCATTACTACTGCACCTGAAATTTAATTTTATATGTTTAATTAGTGCTTCTAGAAAACCTTATAATCTAAACCATATAAAATTCATAACAGATAAAAATGACACAATTTCATTTTCTTCTGCTCCCCTCTTTTCAAAATACAGTCGAGTAATACGTATAGAGTTCATGATAATTCATAACAACAACCTTTTAGGACCGAGATAATGCTTGTAAGATAGAGATATTCTACAAGAGCTTTGACTGTGTCAGAAACTTACAAAGTGCTTACAAAGTGCTGCACCCAGTTCCATTTAAAAGCAAATAATGCAGATATGAAGCAGCGACAACTTGAAGTTGATTCTTACCTTGACATTTATGGATTATCAAGCAAGCATCTTATTTTTTGTTTGAAGCCTTAGAAAGACGGACTGTGTGCTGAAAGCTGAGCAGTTTTAAAATGGCTTTTCTCACATTGAAGCAAGTTTCTGCAGCTGAAGAGGAAGTTTACCAATACTTGCTGCAGGAAGTGCCAAGAGTAGGGAGATTACTAAGAAACTTAGCTCAAGGTTTGCATGATTTAAGAGCAAACTTTTCAGTTCTGATGATTTGATAAAACTTAAATATTTACATGCTTGTGGCTTTTATCGAGTATGTGTCTATTATGAAGAAATTAATAAACGCTTGTTTTCCTGTCTTTGAAAATAGTTACAAAATTTTTGATTGACATAGAAGTAGGTTTGGATTTTATTTTTACAGATATAATTTTGGTGGTTGTTTTGTTGAACTGTCATGATTATTAATGGAAAACCAACCTTAGGTTCATTGCGGTGAGTCATAGAGAGCCATCTGATCACAAGATACTGGCTTGCTTACACATCTTCATGTGCGTAGTTGTTTTAAAAGGTGGATAACTATAGATTTTACCCTTCCCCCTGCCTCCTCTTCCCCACATTGTTTTTCTGTCTGGACAACTTCGGTACTTCTTGTTGTCATTAAAGGGGGACTGAGCTCTCTGAGCAGTTGTTTTCCCACTGTCTCTTTGTCCACATCCCTTAGTGCAACCCAGACTACTTTGTACTTTTTGTCTCCTTAAGCATTTAGAAAGGCTGTGTGGCAAAAGAAACTTTCACAACTGTCCTCACAGCATTTTGCAAGTGTGTTTTTGTGCCTACAATAGTAGCTAGTGCCATGTCCTCATTCTGCAGCTTCTTCATTTCCTGTATGCGCTGTGCTTCTCTTCTGGTTGCACTGGCTCTTTTTCAGTCTCTCCCTACTCCTGCAGCACAGACAAATCCTGAGCCCGTACTGACATAATAACTCACAGTTTCTTGAGTCCTTCATCTCATCTACATTGCCTTCACTCATCACAGTCTCCACCTGTCTTGAGCCACAGATCACACCCTCATTACTATTTCTTTTCCTTCTTTCCATTGATAGGATTGTGATTCTATAATTTTTTTTCCCTTTTTTAATTTACTTGATGACAATGTTGTTTCACCCATTTTATCTGCTTTCTGCTAGCAACTTACTGTGTTCCTGATCCAGGCTGGCTAATTCTCCTACAGATTCATTCTCTTTTTTTAGTTCTGTTATCTTCTTAGCTGTGACAAGTTTTACACCAGGTTAGATTCCCACATCTGCTATCCCAGATTCATTTTTAGTCCTTGCAGTGCCTCTGCTGTTGCCTCATGTGCTTATGGTCATTTTGGGGAAGAAAAGGGCAACTGTAATGCAGCATCTCGGTACCCTGCCCTTTAACTCTTTCTGTTACAAATGTGAGATGTTGATTTGTCTCCTCTAAATACTAAGCTGTCATCGCCAATCTGTCACAACTTGCCCTTAATTCTTTTCTTATGCTCTCCCCTCATGTTCTAGGAATGTGAGACACAATATCCTGCCATGCTGTGTTGCACCTCCTTCCTCTGAGACCTAAGGTCTGAATACGTGCTTTACAGTAGATGCATTTGAATTCTCTCTATAGTTTTATTTTCCATCTTCATTGAAGTCTGTTTTCTAATGACTCCTAGTTCTGAGCTAAGCTTTCAAACTTTTTCCAGCTTTGTCTTCCTTACCAACTACCTGTGACACAGGCCATTTATTTTTTATTTTTTGAGATCTTGTTCTCTCCTGACTTCCATGATGCTGTTGTCTTTCTTCTCTGTTGCTTCTTTACTTGCCCTTCCAGGTAGGTTTATAGGTGATGTAGTGGAATTTAAATAATTGGTGTTCAGTCTTGATCCTTTCAAACTCATACAACCATCTCTTGTGTCAAGGATACTACAGATACACAGGAAGTTTAGAACTTTGTTACTCAGTTCTAACACCTATACCCATGGTGTAACAAATCTGTAACCCAGGAGGTAGCCTGTGAAAAGAAGTTTCTCATGTTTCCTTAAAATAACAAAGCTCCTCTATAAAGAGGCTAGATGCAGGCATCTACCAATATATATGTGGGAAAATCAGGTCTCTGGGAATAACATAACTAAAAGTATTGGTTGCTCTTGAAGAAATCTCTGTTACGTTCTGATTGGTTGCACTAGGACAAAATGTAGTGTTTTTGCTTGTGGATGTTTTCACAAGGTAAGAAATCACTCCTAGGTATCAGACGGTTACTGACATTCAGCAGATGTGATAGGGATATGATATTCCAAAATGTCTACAGTAATATTTCTTACAATATTTTGACTTAGAGAAATAACATATACTTTATTTAAAAAATGATGATGCTGGTTTATTGAGGATAACAAAATGGAAGACTTTTTATATTCTAATTCACAATACAAATGTCATATATTTATGCACAAAGTCAAAACAATAAATATGATGCTCTCAATCTGGTTCAAAAACAGCTAATCTGATTTAAGCAGTTTTTGATGGAGAAAGTGGAAGGGGCGTTTTGAGAGACTAGTTCCTGTTTCAGTAATTGTGTCAAAGTTGTGACTGAATTACGATTCTCTTAAAATAGCAACCTGGATATGCCAGTGTGGCACTTCAGAGTATGCTGTGTTTGTTAGACTAGCTTTCGTTTTTTCCCCCCAGTGGTCTTTGAGAATGGACAAATTTCTGTCCTTCTGTTTTATCCTGTCTGGCTACTTCAGCTGTGATTTCTGGTCAAAAGGACTTATTGGCGCTATTTATGAAGAAGCTTTGTAATGCAGTCCTACTCCTAGATCTACACATTTGTACAGCATTCCTACTACCATAAAATGAAAAAACCTAAGGTGTGAGTTTAGCTTTCCTGTGTTACAATTCCGGTTGTTATTTGAAAGCTAAGTTTTTGTTTCATATTAATCTTTTTTTATCATATTAATTAATAAAAAAGTAAAAGCTGAGGTTTGTTTAGCTGACTGGTTTAAATCTCAACCACAAAATTGGTTAAAATGCTTTTGTGTGACTTCAGTTCTTCATTTTCATGTTTATCTGTTTCTCTAGTGATTCTCTCAGTAGTTTGATCTTGGGTTTTCCTTTGGATTGCGGCATCTCTCCCTGCTAGTAACTCCTGCATTATCAAGTCAGTTCCAGCTTCCTCCTTAGGCATCTTCTGCCACGTTCCTGCTGCAGTTGGCCATAAGCTGTTGGTAGCCAGAATATCACCATTGCTTCTGGGCCTCCGTTTTCCTTGTTGAGCTTTTTTGAGATAGGACATTTTGTTTGCTATTACGACTGTTGTCAGAAACAAGAAGGTGCAGATGAGCACAAGCACTGCTATTATAATGAAGCAAATCAGGATAAGAGACTTACTGTCTTCACACATTTCTTTTGACCATGTAGTTTTGGGTTTGCTGGTATTCTTAGGTCCTCCAGCGGCAGAAACAGTACTTCTGGAAGAAGAAGATATTGAAGAGTTTTGGCCCATTGTTGAAGAGAGAGATTGAGGGGTGGCAGTCTGCATTTCAGTCGTCATTGCTTTCCCGTTGAAATTGATGGTTGTAGGAGGATTTGTATTGGCTTCCATTATGTTCTGGCTGCCACTTAGGTTTTGGCTGATGGGATTCCAGGTTTCATTTATAACTCCAGGGTACTCAGTATGGTTTGCATTTACTTGCAAACACAAAGCAAAAATTATCACAACAGGGAAGGCAAAATGTTGTTTACTGTGTATCTTTGTCTTCATCTTACTCTTTAGTCACCTGCAAAAGAACAAAATACGGTATTAGTTTAGCAGTGCTGGTTCTGAGAGGTTTGAATTGGACTTCTCAGGGAATAGTAGCCAGCAGCCTTTTTGATCAAAAGTGTGTTTTAACTTGACCTCATGTTCACTGCATGTAGGAGGAAGCATTCAGCTGCTGGGAATTCTCACTGAATAGGTGGTCTTGAACTTCAGCTCTTAAACTGTTAAGTTCTGAAGGAGGTTTATATATAATGTATGTGAAGATGAAAAAAGAACATGGAGCAAAGTAGTGAAAGGAAAGTGTTATCTACTAAGTACTCAGTGAAGTGTGAATGTACACACTGTAGTAGTTCCTCCGCTCTAAAGCTGACCAGCTTAGATCTGTAAATTCATTACTTCTGCTTTTAAATGGTGAAGGGAGGCACCATGTAAAATTTACAAAATACCACTTTTTTCTTTCCTTTGTTCCCCTGAATTTGCGAAATGTAACCATGCTTTTATGGATGGTCAGATGAAAAGCTTTAATTGAAAATATTCTTGTAAATGACAGCAGTAACTTATTTTAGTTGTTTGTATTCCTTATCTCAGCTGTCTGTAGCATTTTGTAAATACCTAGGAAAATCTTAATTCTCTAATTCTTCTGATTTATTATGCAAAAGGCAGTCTACCACAAGTGTACCTCTCACATCTTATTCCTCGTAAACATACTTCAGATTGTGACATTTTCTTTAAAACTTCTGAGATTATGCAAATTATATTACCATTAGGATGTTCTGTTTTACATTTGTGTAGTACTCAGATTTGCACTATAATCTTTACCTGTTGAATCTGTCTGGAGAACAGGAAACTGATCTTTAGATGAATCAGATACAAAGATGATAAACTCAAAATAACGGTGACAGATGAGACAAATTAGTGAACTACTTCAGTGCTGATGCTTCTTGAATTTTGCGTGAGACACCTTCAGAGCGTAAGGCTTATTCTATCCAGTGTGTCTTTTTCACCTGCTTTATCAGAAGTGTTTCTTCTGGGTGTTACGTATTACATCTTGTTCAAATATAACTGCTGTAAAGAATGACTGAAAGTAGTAGTGCTGTTTGTAGAAATACATTTCTTCTTATGGCACTTTAAAGACAACAAAGCACATCTGTATGCTTCTAAGTTTAGGTAATTTTGAAATATGCCAGAGGGTGTTTACTTTGCCATAGGGAAAAGTTATGTCTACCAAAGAACTTAATGTATTCACACTCAAAAGTCAGAGAGGTGAAGTTGCTTATGTTTTTAATATCCAAGTGGCAGTCCTTTGTATTGTTGAAGTCCCCCAGGAAAGTGATAGAAGTGATAGACCTGATCTGTAGCCAGAGAACAACCAATGGGTGTCTCCTCGCATGGCAAAGGAGCAGCAAAATATGTATGTATCTTTCTTTGCAGTTCAACTAAATCAGAAAACCAGACTCTGTTCTGAGATGAATCCTCATTGTTAAATTTGAACTACTACAAACCATTTTAGTAATCAGCTGCAGCTCAGGTAAAAGATTTTGTTACCTATATGGTAACAGTTGCCTGGAGAATGCCTGGTCCCATACTTTAAAAAGGAATAAAAGCAGCAACAGCAAAACCTTTTGTTTGGTTGGGGTTTTTTTTAGAAACAAAACATTTCACAAGAAGTTTCTGCATGCTGTGCGGAACTGAGGTGCAGCTGCTGGTACAAATGTAGCTCAGTGCTTACTGCCTGAGGGCTACAGAGCTCTGCCTGCACCCTCCGAGAGCACGGGAAGTCCAGTGTTACTTGTGATCTGGACCAGAGGTGCTTTTATTGAAAATAAATGGGCTGGTGGTGTTAAGAGCTTCGCTTAAAATCATAAGAGCAAAGGAACTGATCATTAAATAGCTTTTTTTTTTTTTTTTTTCTTTTTAGCTCAACCCTTTGTGTCTAGGTATTGGTAGGGTCTTCTGTCAGTACACAGTAAGAGCTGCAATGTGTAGGAACAACGCAGCAACCTGGTGGCTGTCGCTGCTCATTCCTTGGAGTCTGATTGTGAACAGCCTCTAATGTTACTAAAAATACAGTTGTTTTATTAACTTCCTTAAAGCAGTCAAAGACAATATTTTTATTTATTGTTACTGTTTGAGTTACATATGGTAAACTATAATAAAATAAAATCTTTTACATAAAAAGTAAAAACATTTACATAAGATTTTCTACAAAATCTAAGAAACCTTGAAGCAGAACTTAAAATAGAAAGAAAATGTGCACTTACCTTGCCAGGATGTAGTCAAAAGAAAGTTGGTGTTTTAGATATTTAATCCTCTAACAGTAAGATTTCTTTGTGCGTATATTTGCTCCGAAGATGCTAATGACCATCAGCATCAAGCAAGTAGATTTAGACAAGGCTGGATTTTTTAAGCAAATCTGTAACTGAAATTATATGTCGTTTACTCTAAGTAGGGAACTAAAACCACAGTGATGACACACTTCCTTTTTGTAACAACTATACCATGACATGTTAGAGGCAGAGAAACACCAACTTGCCCAAATTAGCTTTCCGAACAACAGGAAGTAACACAAGGAAAGTTATAGGCAGACAAATATTCAACATTCATGAAGTTTATCTTCTTAGTTATCAGTGGCTTACCTCAAATGTTACCAAGAGCTCTGTCTCACTGTGATCAAAACTACGTACGTGTATACAGTATTTATTAGCTCTTTCTATAGGCTATTGTCTTGCTTTGAAAGAGTTGAGTTAATAACAGTTTGAAACAGCTCTAGGTATTCTAAAGTTCAAAAACGACTGGTAAGTTTGATTCATAATTAAGTATTTCTAGTAGAATTCCATCTGCTATGCTAACTCTGGGAACTGGACAGAACATCTGCCTAAACCAAGTTTCATAGAGTTCAGCAATTCATTAAACAAGAACAAAAGGTGGTTAATATTTTTATATAGTACCTGAATACTATATAGACCAATCCTCTGTGCTACTCAGAGGACCCATAGTTCTTAGAAACGTTCCACCAAGCGTTAGAGTGCATTATGTGCTGCAGTAGATTGCAAATAAAATGAGCTGAGACCCTTTGAAAAAATGGTATATGGATGTTTAATTAGTCTTAATCAAGGCTATTGAAAGAAATCTTTTCCACACATAAAATTTAATGTAATTTTAATCTGTATAAATGTAAAAAAGAGCTTGCTGGACTGCTATTTTACTTCTATTTTTAAAGAAACCCTCAACTCTTACAGTTTTGAGCTGATCGAAGTGCTCTTCTTCTCCAGCATGATTTTTTTTTTTTTTCCTCTTGTTGGAGATGCTGAATGAACCTCTGTCTGTCTAGAGACTACTATGGTAGGTTGTGTGGCACTTCAAAATGAAGTTGAGTTAACTCCAACTGGAGCTTCACCATATTGGGCTCTAAACTTGGTTGGTGTATGAGCCATGGCAGAATTTGGGCTATGGATGTCAATCCCATATTATTGCTTGAGTTTGACATTTTTTGGACTATGTGAAAGATCGGTTTGTTTTAGCATTGTAGTATGTGTGATACACTACTAAAATGTTTTGATATGGATTTTAAAGGCAAACCAAACAGTGTCTGTCTTGTTTTCTTACAGATTCAAGACCGGTCAGATCAATGGAGATTTACTGATATACCACGTCCTGCTAACTCTGAAGCCATACTATGCAAAGCCATATGAAATTGTAGTGGACCTCACACATGCTGGCCCCAGTAATCGCTTTAAAACAGACTTTCTTTCTAAATGGTTTGTAGTTTTTCCAGGCTTTGCTTACGAAAATGTCTCAGCAGTTTTTATTTATAACTGTAATTCTTGGGTCAGAGAATACACCAAATACCATGAAAGACTCTTGACAGGTTTGAAAGGAAGCAAAAGGCTTATTTTCATAGACTCTCCGGGGAAGCTGGCAGAGCACATTGAACATGACCAGCAGAAACTCCCAGCAGCTACCTTGGCTTTGGAAGAGGACTTGAAAGTATTTCACAATGCTCTCAAACTGGCTCATAAAGACACCAAAGTTTCTATTAAAGTAAGTCTTCTTCATGCTGTTCCTAGTGAACTGTTATATTTCAATAAGAATTTGAGTATGATTTTACTGTCTTAGTTCTCTTGTCTCATGGAGAAATCACAACTTAATTTCTTACAATTTCACATATTTATCTTCCTAAAATATAAATGTCAGACTTTTTTTTCTCTCTTTGTTTCTTTAACAATAGGTGCTGAACCATTTTTCTTCTCTCTTTTTAAGGTTGGATCAACAGCTGTGCAGGTGACATCAGCAGAGCGTACAAGAGTACTGGGACAGACGGTGTTTTTAAATGATATATACTACGCATCTGAAATTGAGGAAATCTGTCTTGTTGATGAGAATCAATTTACCTTAACGATTGCCAACCAGGGCACACCACTCACCTTCATGCATCAAGAGTGTGAAGCCATTGTGAGGTCCATTATTCATATACGGACAAGGTGGGAGCTGTCGCAACCAGACTCCATCCCACAGCACACTAAAATTCGCCCTAAGGATGTCCCTGGAACACTACTGAACATAGCACTGCTCAACTTGGGAAGCTCAGACCCCAGTTTGCGGTACTGATCTTTTAAATTAATATCAACTTTCAACTTTCTTCAGCGTGGAAGAAAATATGATTTTCTTCCAAGATTTTCTTAATTTTAGCAAATCTCACTTGAACAACACAATTTTACTTTCACCACAGCTCTACAAAATGTACTTAGTAATCTCAAAAAAGATTGCGTTTTGTATAGGTGAAGAAAGGCATATGTAATGATGGAGTAACTGAGTAACTGGTAGCTTAATTTCTCTTTAAGAGGGAGATAAAAACTTATGCTTTGCAATATGTGCTTACTAGGTACATTTGATTTTCATGGTACTGAACTTCTTGTTTAATAACTGGGAGCTGTACCACTTAGAGCAAGCTCTTAGATGTTGTCAGAGGGCTGTCTCCAAACGGGTCCTGGTTCAATGGGAGCCTCTAGGGCTGTTGGCAATCTCTTGCTCAGGTGCACTTGGAAATACCTAGAATTTCTTGGAACTGAATGCCTTTCTGAGAAATCCAGTACAAAGTTCTTCAAGCATCCTCTTTAACTTTATCAGAAGTTGTTTTAAAAAAGTAGTAATGTAATTATTTGTCCAAGGTGATGTTGTCTCTAAAGCTTAATTGATGCAGGAAAGAAGTTCAGGATTTAAATATAGTACTGGATATTAGCAATGCTTAAGTGATTTTGAAAATTGTATTACTGTGATCTTTTAGTGTAATGTATATATTTTAAAACAGACAAGAAAACTATTACAAGTCACATTGCTTGCTTTGTTACAGGTCTGCTGCCTATAATCTTCTATGTGCCTTAACCTGTACCTTTAATTTAAAGATTGAGGGCCAGTTACTGGAAACTTCAGGTCTGTGTATTCCTGCCAACAACACACTCTTTATTGTGTCTATTAGTAAGACCCTTGCAGCTAATGAACCACACCTTACCTTAGAATTCTTGGAAGAGTGTATTTCTGGATTTAGCAAATCTAGTAAGTAACACTGGTGTTCTTCAATGCTAACCATGAATTTGAAAAGATTTAAGCTGGTAGCTGTCAAGTTTAACAAGCATCCTCATGTGGCTGAGTCACAGTAAGTTTAAATTAAAAAAGCTTCTTTGAACTGTTTTAGATATTTTCAAGATTACTTATTTATTTCTTAATAATCAAGTTCTGTAATACTAAGCTAGTGTCATGAACTGGAGTGGCATCTGTTGGAGTAAAAACATTAATTTGTATGTTTTAATGTACTCTTTCTAATGAAGCAGATCCCTTTAAAAATAAATAAATAAATAAATAAATCCAAGCCCTGCCTTTCTAACTTAGAATTTAAAAAAAGTTTTGCAAAACATCTCCTTCATTTAGACAATTAAATTAATTCAGAGATCACAATACAAATTACTTCTTTCATACACCAGAAGTAAGAACATTGAAAAAAAAATATAATATTTTGAGTTCCATGAGGTTTTGAACTCCAGCAGATACATTGACAAAAGCATTATGTGGTGCTTTCTTTCAAATTTAATCCTTTCAGGTAGATTACAGTTGAGAGACATTATCAGGTTCTACTATGCTATTTTTGTTATCCCTTTCTTACCGACATAAACCAGCTCTGACTATACTGTTGGAAGCTGTTTAGAATACATTCTCAAGATTAAAAAGAAGTTATCTTAAATAGTCTGTCTATTGTATGCCTAAATGTACGCATCTATGTCACACTTCTTATTAGGATACTTAAACTGTCAAAATCTTGCCAGATTCTTACAAATGTTTCTTGGATGTTGTTGTTATGGTATGTTTCTTTTTGAAGCTTGTCTGTTTGCCCAGTATTATTTGCTTGAATCTGATGATAATTATTTTAGAAGAAAACTGAAAGGTGCTCACAAATAATTATTTACCTATGCATAGAGATCAGTGCTGATTTCTTGTTACAAAGTGAATTTTTATTTCAGGTATTGAACTGAAACATCTTTGTCTGGAGTATATGACTCCCTGGCTGTCCAATCTGGTCCGATTCTGTAAACACAATGATGATGCTAAGCGTCAGCGAGTCACTGCTATTCTTGATAAGCTAATAACGATGACAATAAATGAAAAACAGATGTATCCTTCCATTCAGGCTAAGATATGGGGAAGTCTTGGACAGGTAAATTCTGCATGATTTCTTGCAATTTGTTTATAATAAAATGATAGAGTTTTTAATCACTTAAATATTAATGCAAAAAGATAAAATGGAACTTGGCACGACCTAAGTATATTTGCTGTGTGGAGAGTCATGAGCAAGTTCTCTGATGCTTCCATTCTTTAAAATACTTCATAAAACCATTTCTGAACTCTTGCTTCTAGTACTCTGTTCCTGGCCCCCACTGAGAATTAAGAATTAGAAATATCTGGTGTTAGTAGTAATTACTTCATCAAAACTTCATCAACCTTTAGAGGTTGGACTCGATGATCTTGAGGTCTCTTCCAACCTAGAAATTCTGTGATTCTGTGATTCTGTGAAAACTCCTGAATGTGTGGGTACTGATTGGATAGAACCCAGTTCTATCATTCAGATATGTTAGGCCTAAGGCGATGAAATAACTTCTTCTGTTTTGTTATTTGCACTTTTAAAACAGAAGCATTTTGATTACAATTAGCAGCATCAATCCTTCTGTTGATTAGTAGTTGAACGCTTACCAAATACTCTCCCTATTCTCCACACAAAGTAAAAAAAAAAAAAAAAAAAAAAAAGCTGTTTTCGTATGTTATTCATGAAATAAGTGTCCAGATAAATGAGACCAGCTGTATTTGCCATGACCAGGCTTGCTCACAAGCAAGCTGACTTCCTCATTGTCATACTGTTATTATTTTTTTAACTGTCATCCAAACTGATGCAGCACAGCATCACAAAGTTGCTCTTGGAGAATGTGAGAACTGTCAAATGGATGCATAAGTGTAGTTTCTTGATTGGTCCAGTTGGACTGATAAAAATCAATATATTTTGGAAGTTTGAATCACACTGAGATGAATATGACCATTTTGTGTAGTATGAAAATCTATTAACAGGTAAATGTGGAGAACATGTTTTGCTTAAAGGGCGATTTACTGTGGAAAAATTGTTAACCACACTGGGAATAACAAAGAACTATTTTTCTCTGACAGATAACAGACCTCCTTGATGTAGTTCTGGACAGTTTCATCAAGACTAGTGCCACAGGGGGCTTAGGATCCATAAAAGCTGAGGTTATGGCAGACACAGCAGTAGCGCTTGCTTCTGGAAATGTAAAGTTGGTTTCAAGCAAAGTGAGTTCCCTCCTTGCCTTAATTTCTTCTTATATAGTAATTTCACCTTAAATAGTAATGTGACGCTGATATGCTTTCTGATGACTCAGTACAGGAAATAATGGGAAAAAAAAAAAAAACACAACATAAAACAGGTTCCAAGCAATAGAATAATTCCGATGTTAATTTGTAATGGCTGTTACTGAAAGGTTGAGCTCTGCTCTTTAACTGAAACAAAATGGTTGTTTTATTTTCAGGTGATTGGAAGAATGTGTAAAATAATCGACAAGACTTGTCTGTCCCCAACTCCTACATTGGAGCAGCACCTGATGTGGGATGATATTGCTATTCTAGCACGTTACATGCTGATGCTCTCCTTTAACAATTCTCTGGATGTTGCAGCCCATCTCCCCTACCTCTTTCATGTAGTTACTTTATTGGTGGCCACTGGTCCCCTTTCTCTCAGAGCTTCTACGCATGGTCTTGTCATCAACATCATTCATTCTCTGTGCACTTGTTCACAGCTTCACTTTAGCGGTAAGTTCTTATCAGACTTTGGATTAAGTTGATTGCTTCTTAGTTTGTTTCAGAAATATTTGAGTTCTCTTCCTCTCTTTTAACTGTTCTGAGAATTTGAAAATACTGTGTTGCTATTAAGCTTGCGTACAAACCAGAATGAGGATATGAGCTAGAATGACTATGAGCATGAAGTTGAAGCATGACTGTCTGGTTTAGAGCAGGTGTGTCATATAAATTGTGTAATGGATTTTTGAAAAAGGGAAGAAAGTACATACCAGTAAGTTTCAGTAATAAAGATTAAAGAAAAAAATGTATCTGTGCTAAAACTGGCTGATGTGTATCTTTTGAATGGTTGCATAATGGAGTAACAAAAATATAAATTACATAAGGAAATTGTGGAATTACATGGTTTCTTCTGATTTAAATGGGTTAATTGTAGTAACAGAGCCAAAACCATAATTTGATCGCAGTTTGAACCTTATAGTAATGTTGGTCTTTCAAACCGTGAGCTCTCCAGGTTTCTGTTTTCCTAATGAATATGAGGAGAAGCCTCAGAGAACCAGATATTTAGACAAGTTTCTTTCTACCTGTTTTCAGACTGCATCTTCCTGGTGGCTGTGGTTTTAACAGTCCATGCGACAGGCCACAGTTGTTCTGAGATGAGTGGCAAAGAAAACTGTTCAAATGTGCATAGGATGATTATCTTCTTGTGTATTCGTGGGAGCCTAAGGGTGTTTAAAATATGGAATGAACTTAATTGTTTTAAGTCTAATATGTAAAAATTTATTCAACAGAGGAGACCAAGCAAGTTTTAAGGCTGAGCTTGACTGAGTTTTCTCTGCCCAAGTTTTATTTACTGTTTGGAATCAGCAAAGTGAAATCAGCTGCAGTGATAGCTTTCCGCTCCAGCTATCGAGACAGGTCGTTTTCACCTGGTTCCTATGAGAGGGAGACTTTTGCACTGACTTCTTTGGAAACAGTTACTGAAGCTTTGTTGGAGATCATGGAGGTATGTGGTTCAAAACAAAATTATCCATAAAGGAGAATGGCACTGTTTACTCTTTTCTACAGGCAAGCAGTGTAGTGAGATGTACTTCCCATAATGTGTTAATGAATGCCTAAGTAGCTCAGTAGTTTCAGAGACCTAAAATAACTGAATATTCTGAATTAAAATTGAGCGACCTGGCCTAGTGGAAGGTGTCCCTGCCCATGGCAGGTGGATTGGAATTGGATGAACTTTAAGGTCCATTCCAACCCAAACCATTCTATGATTCTCTGAAAGTAATACCTTTTGTTCATGTTACACGTATTCAAACAATATAATTCTTTTTAGGCTTGTATGAGAGATATTCCAACGTGCAAGTGGCTGGACCAGTGGACTGAACTAGCTCAAAAGTATGTTGTAGACCTCAAAACATAACCCCTAACTGCCCGTGTAGTACACTTAGACTGTATAATGAAAAGTTGACAATTCTGTTTGTTGTATATTTGTCTAATATAGTGTACTCTGTTTCTTCACAGGTTTGCATTCCAATATAATCCATCCTTGCAGCCAAGAGCACTTGTTGTCTTTGGCTGTATAAGTAAGCGTGTCTCTCATGGACAAATAAAACAAATAATCCGAATTCTTAGCAAGGTATATAGGTCTATATCTGTTTTCCTTTGTGACTCATAAAACAACTAAATTTTTTTTTTCCCTTCAAATATAGAACTCGTTATAATTTCATAATAAATAATTTCTTCAAATATATTCTTGTACAGAGAGGTACCTGACTGGAAATTTAGTCTTTGTAGGCCTGGCTTTCTATTTTAAATTAGTTTGGTGGCAGTAAGTTTCATCAGTGCTGCTATTTCTAGAGTAACAGTAGTTTTCAATATTGAGCTTAAAATTTGAGACACTTAAAATTTGATCCATAAAACTCAGTATTTAAATAAATGCATTTTTTTCTGATAAGGCATCTATCTGCATGCACATTATTCACAAGTTCCTTTTTTTAAAGGAAGCTAATCATTTAGTATGTTACAACTAAATACAATGGAAAGCATAAAATTTATGTAAGAAAACTTTGAAATGAGCTACCTAGCTTGGTAATGATACCCATATTTTGTAAATAAGGTTGTGTTCTATAGGAGGTAAACAGTCCACTATCTAAGTTTCCCTTAAGTACTTTATTAGTGTTGTGTGGACATAAAATTTAATTGAGCAGCATCTGAACTGAAGAAGAGTTATTTTGTAGTTGTTGCACCCTGTCCTGCACTCTTCTTTTTCTAATACACACCGTGTAATTGTTTCAATATATTAAATATATCGCTATATCAGTATATCAAATCAATATATCAATATATATCACTAGTGTGCATCATAATTCCTAAAATTCCTTGCAAATTGGAAAAATTAACTCAACTTTTGTAAATTAATTGAGAGACACAGTTATTGTTTAGAGCTTTGATCTTTTTTACAAAGCAAAATCTAATTATGGATTCTATTTTTTATTATTATTCTTTTTTTCTACAAAAAGGGACTTGAGAGCTGTTTGAAAGGGCCTGATAATTACAATAGCCAAGTTCTAATAGAAGCTACCGTAATAGCACTCACCAAGCTGCAGCCTCTTCTTAATAAGGTAAATGATTGGATTTTTAGAATAAACTGAGAATATGTTTTGTAAATGGAAGTTATAATTGCAATTATAACTTCAAAAATATAAGGAAGTGTTGTGGTATCTGATGTTCACACTTCATTGCTATGACTACTATGACTCATGCTTGAAAGTAATACATATAGGAAGTGTGTCACAGATGTCTGTGTATGGGACCTGTGCAAGCTTTAAAAAAGCTTTAGAATGTACTGTTCTGCTTCACCAAACTGGGCCATAGCAATACAGACAAAGGCTATACCACAGTCTGCCGTAATTCTCTCCAAAAGATTTTCGGTCTTGGCTTTCAAATGTGTAATTCCTCATGCATGTCTTTCTGATCATGGCTTCTGATAAATTTTAGTCTCGTCTAATGTGGTATTAATTCAGCCATTGTGTGTTACTGTGTGAACTGACTGCCATACCAATAGGTGTGCTGTTAATGAACCACCTTAAAATTTTCTAGTGGAGTGCCATTGTCACACACATCTGAAGGAATATAGTTCTAGGGCACGGTTCTAGAAGGGGATTTCTGGGGAGCATGAATGGGTCTGCAGCTTTCTCATTTGTTAATACATTAGAAAATGTGCTAAAAAAAGTCTTACCAATATATTTGGCTGGTTTAATATGCATGTTTCACTTTCATGTACATAACAAACTTTTTAGAAGTCTTTGGCTAATCTTGTCTACAATTAGTTTCACTCTGTACTTGGTAGCTTTGCACAGACAGTCTTTGTGTGCCATCTGGATGGCACTGTGGTATTTAAAATTAGCAAGAGCAAACAGTTCTGATAGGCTACTCGCACATTTTTCCACCCTGTTAGTGTACCATGAGCAAAGTACACTACTTAGTACGTAGTACTTAGTACGTAGTACTACTGCTTTTCCACCCTGTGAGTGTACCTTTAAACGCATAACCAATGAGTGATGTGATCGTCCTCTACAAGCCTTCCTTGTCTTCCATGCTTATATCACGCATTTTCCTGCATGTGGTATTAGGCAGGGAAAATTACAACAAAAAGTCTCGTGTATCTATTGCTAGTTAGTTCTTTGAAAAATCGGCTGCATAAGGGACCCAGGATTTGCTGAATGTCAGCTCTTTCTGCCTAATTTTCTGATTTGGAGATTGAATTGCTGGGCCAGTTATATGTGCAGAGTTGCAATTCATTTTCAACCTGCATTCCAAGTTGATAACAAAAGATGCTGTCTTTCAGTCTGATGTAGGGCAATATACTTCTGACATTTTTGCAAGCAAGGAAAGGGGTATAGAAGAGAAAGGGATGGCTTCGAGGGGAGGGAATAGAAGGCTTGAAATTAATTTGCTTTCTGCTACTCACCTGTTAAATATATCAGCACTCTGGGCTCATATGAATACCTGTTTTGTTGGAAGGGATGTGTTTGAGAACAGAACCTCTGCTACTGTGTTAGTAATGCATATACGAAAACGTGTCAATCCTATTTGTCTTTCACTTACAGGAACTGACTTGAAAGTGGAATCATGGCCTTTTCCTTTTCCTTCTCCTTCCAGGACTCCCCTATGCACAAGGCCCTCTTCTGGGTAGCTATGGCAGTACTGCAGCTAGATGAAGTCAACTTGTACTCAGCAGGTACAGCACTACTTGAACAGAATCTGCATACCTTGGATAGCCTTCGAGTGTTCAATGATAAGGTAAGCGAGCCCTCTTTTAGTAACCAGCTGTGATTAATTGATAATTAATTTATGTAAGCAGTTAGACCTGTTAAAAAGAAAAAAATACTTCCTTATCCTCTTGAACAGTAGTCAAGCAACTAAAACTGAAATTTGCATTGTGAACTTGCACAATATCAACAGTAAACTGAGAAGCAGAGATGAAGCTCTTATTATTCTGTTCTAAACTGGAACAGAAATGCATAGATACATTCTAATCAAGAGTGCAATTGATATTTTCCTGTAAACTCTTAGAATTACCAAGTTTTATCCCTTAAAAAATGAGTAGAGGAGTAATCTTCAAAGAAACAAGATACTAGGAAGAAATTATTGTGAGGGTGGTGAGGCACTAGAACAGTCTGTCCAGAGAAGCTGCAGATGCCGCTTCTCTGGAAATGCTCAAAGCCAGGTTGGATGGGGCTTTGGGCAACCTGGTCTGGTAGGAGGTGTCCCTGCCCATGGCAGGGGGTTTGAAACAGGATGTTCTTTAAGGTCCCTTCTGACCCAAACCATTGTATGATTGTATGCAATACTCTTGTATCTTCTTTTTCTGGGTCAGAGCCCAGAAGAGGTGTTTATGGAGATCAGGAGACCACTTGAATGGCACTGCAAGCAGATGGATCATTTTGTAGGGCTAAATTTCAACTCCAACTTCAACTTCGCACTAGTGGGACACCTCCTGAAAGGTAAATACAGATGTGGCTGTTTATTTTTACATGAATACTCTTAATTCATAAGTAAATACAAGTCCAAGAATAAAGGGAATAAAAAGGGGTGGTGGATTTTAGGTAACTCAGGTCACAGAACAGATAGAAAATTAAACGTTCTTTGACTAAAGGACTTTGCTGGGTTTCCATTATGCATATTCTATCAAGGTTTTCAGTGCAAATGACATAAATTCTTTGCTGTCACAGGAGTGTGTGGCTTCACTTGCTACAGTTCATTATGTCCTCTTCCAAGAATTCCTTCTATGTGTGCCTGTTATTTGGGCTCATTGTTTCTTTTAGAAGACTGATTTGTGAGCTAATAGATAATATATGCAGAGACATTTGTAATTATGTGAAGTTTTTATGCAGAGGGACAGAAATAATAGTCCCAAGTGTGCAATTTATGTTAGCATTGTATTTCCTTACCCTTTATATGAAGCATCCTGAGGACACACTGAAAAATATTTATAAATATTTTAAAAATATTAATGCTTCATAAATATGCATTCAAAAATTAAATACAGTATTTGTTTTTGTAACCTCATTTCTTAGGGTACAGGCATCCTTCTCCTACCACTGTAGCAAGAACAGTGAGGATTTTACATACACTACTAGCTCTGGTTAATAAACATAGGAATTGTGACAAGTTTGAGGTGAACACCCAGAGCGTGGCTTACCTAGCAGGTAAAATTAAACAAACAAACATTCTTTTAAACTTGTGCTAACAGAAATGAACGAATTGTGGGAATTCTTATGTTATTGGGTTGATTAAAGTTGTATCAATATAAAGGAAACTTATAACTGGAAATGGACAAGAGTCTGGTTAGCCTGAGGTACATCAATCCACAGCTCTTTGTGGACTGAAGGCTTGCCAGCACAGGACCTATTGTGCAACTTTGAAAATATCCAAGTGAGGCTGAAGGTTTCTTGGTTTAAATACTGGAGTGTGTGCTTTAGAGCATTCGTATTGGTCTAGAAATAGAAATTGTGACTATATGAGGGCAAATGTTTAAGTCATGTAATTCTAACTGGCTAGGGAATATAATTCTTTTTGTATGACCTACTTTTACTCTGTACATTTCAGTAAGGTATAATTACATCTCTGTGGTCATCTTTGTACTAAGTAAAAAATCTAAATTGAGGGACTGTTGCTTACATTCTTTAATGTGTTCCTGCCATGGAAAACTTACGTTAGCTTTCTTTGAATTTTTAGCTTTGCTCACAGTGTCTGAGGAAGTTCGAAGTCGCTGCAGCCTAAAACATAGGAAGTCTCTCTTGTTGACAGATGTTTCAATGGAAAATGTTCCTATGGATACATATCCCATACATCACAGTGACACTAGCTATAGGTTGGTTGTCTGACTTTTAGATAAAATTTCAGTATCTCTTTCCTTTAGTAAGTTATCTAAAGGTAACCTGTAGTATATAGAAAACTAAAACCCATATTCGTTAAAGCTAAGTGAATGTTCAACTACATAGTGCTGGTTCCTGACCAGCATGCTTCTTGACCATGTGTGTTCAAGAGTCACAGAGGAATTTGTGTATTGAATTTGTATAGATTTAATTTTGAGATCTCTGAAGCTGTTCCAGAGTTTAAATTCTTTGGAAGGTCTTAATCTTTTTGCTAACCCCTTTTTTACAAGACCTAATTTCACCTCATTTTTCATTTATATTCTATAAGAAAATTCTGTGTCTTTTGGAGAGCTTCAGGACATATACTAAGTTAATCACTTGATTCCTGTCATTGGAAAACCTTGACATCTTACAGTCTGTCCATAAATGGCCACTGAGGTAGCTAGGAAGTCAACCTAGAAGTGACATGCAGAGCCAGTTTGTTTCAATACAGAGTGCTTTACTCAGTACCTGTCTTTTTAGCATCCAGCATGGAGAGCTGCTTATTAAATCTCTTGCATCTTGCCTTATTAGATGCTGATTTCCTTGTGTTTTTCTTATTACTTTATTTTTATCTCTTCAAAATTACATTCATAATACATAGTTATTTTTCACACATTTTTGCTAGCAAAGTAATTACTATTTCTTAATACGTATTTCTGGAAGTTTAACTTGTTAGAAAAGATGGCTTTAATAAAGGATACTTTGGCTAGTTTAAAAATTAATGCCTAAACATGCAACAGTTTCAAAGATTTTCTTATTTTAATTTCTCTGCACTTTCAGGACACTAAAGGAAAATCAACCATGGTCATCACCAAAGGGGTCAGACAGACATCTGGCTGCCAGTTACCCGACAGTGGGACAGATAAGTCCTCGAACACGAAAATCCATGAGTTTGGATATGGGGCAGCCTTCACAAGCAAACACTAAAAAGCTTCTAGGTTATTAAGATACCTAATTTACTAATTTGTCTACAGAATACCCCAGGAAGTGTTATTAGAGAAAAATTTTACCAGTATTCTGACTTCAAGTGTTTTTTCCCAAGTCAGAGGAATGTATGTAGTTTCTACAAAATGCAAATAGAGAACACTACAATTGAAGAGGAGTAATTGAGTTCTTTTGATCAGAGAGGGGAGAGGCAAAACAAACAAACAAACAAAAAAAACCCACGATATTCCAGATACCGAAGGTTCATAGTGCTAATTTTCTGCCACCAGCCCTCTGTTAGTAAAACCAAGAAGCTAAGTACTTAAGCTTAGTTGCTATATTGAATATTCTATTTTACGGTGGGAGAAATGGTCCCAAAACATTTTAGATGTTTTGGAAGCAATCATTTTTTTTTCTTTTATACTTGGCTTCTCAGTGCATCATGTTTACAAGCAAGTCTTAGTATCAAAGAAATGATATGAGTTCGTTCTCATAACTTCTGGTTACCCTTTTACATTGTGGCATATATGGAAGAAGAGGGACATTCCTTTCGTTACAATCCTGTTACTGCTTTCTTTACAGTAATCACATTTTGGCATGTTTATTCAATGTGATGTGTTGATCAGGAAACCATAGCATGCCCACAGCTTACATACTGGAATAAATTGCATGCTATCCTCATATGTATTGTGAAGCATTTTGGAAATTGTGATGGAGAGCGGCATGGTGTGACCATATTTTCTTTACCATCCCTGGAACTGGTGAAAATGTCCCCAGATTCCTACCAATATATTGTAGATAGGATAGCTTGGCCAGAAAATTGGAAATACTTAACTGTATGGATTTAGGTTTAATGTTTTTAATTTCATGATAAATTGTTTTTAGGTACAAGGAAAAGTTTTGACCATTTGATATCGGACACAAAGGCTCCTAAAAGGCAAGACATGGAATCTGGAATCACAACGCCTCCCAAAATGAGGAGAGTAGCCGAAAATGATTATGAAATGGGTGAGAAACAGGACTAATGCTTTCAGAATAACACTAATTACAAATGCTTTGTATATATATACAAAGGATTATTTCTAAATTCAGTGTTTATTTGCTTAGGTAAGGTACTACAAGGTAAGGGAGAAATATCTTTATATTGGCTTGTGGAGAATACAGTCTTCCTTATCACTGGCAATTGAGATTGGAATTAGAGTTGCTCAGTTTGCAGACCCAGAATAAGGGGCAGCTACAAAGTACTGTATACAGGAATGAAATGCAATAAGTAAAATTTGACTTTTTATGACTTACTAAACCCTAGCTGCAAATTTTTGCAGATGAAAAGTGACATAATGCCTAGAATGCCTCTCTTCATCTTCTCCCACATCTGCTTCCTGTGCCCCCATCCCCAATTGCAATGCAAGACCAGGGTTCTTCTGTTGTATCTGATGTCAGTCTGCTGCCTGACCCTGAATATGGTACTTACCACCCCTGGGCCTGTATTTCACTAAATAGGAAATTGGGGTTACTGTTTACCATTTGATAATACATCCCATGTGACAGCCTAGCGCCGCTAGTATTACAGCATAATTGTTGCTTTTATACTTTATGAAAATTCTGTTGAACTTTGAAGTTTGCATATAACTGAATTTGTTGTGCAAGAGCTAATTTTATTTTGGTTTGGGTACATTTTTCTTTGGATGAGCTGCTCTTTTTTATCTGGCAGAGACCCAGAGAATATCACCACAGCAACACCCACATCTTCGAAAAGTTTCTGTTTCTGAGTCAAACGTCCTCCTAGATGAAGAAGTTCTGACTGACCCAAAAATTCAAGCACTGCTGCTTACAGTTCTTGTAAGCCTTTTTTCTGTGTATTATTGTATTATTTTCTGATGTTCTTTTATCTTCCAAAGAAGCATGTGTGTTCCTTGCAGTGCTTCTAAATTCACGTGGATCAGAATCAGTATGTAATGTGTAAATCTGTACTTCTGTTGATTTTCTTCAGACTTTCTAGGAATCACTTTTATAAATGTATTTGAAAAATGCGTGAGAGCAAATAGCCTATTGTTTTGCAGAACTTGTCCAACAATTGATCCGTTTTCCTTTGCAGATTTGTTTTATAAACTAATTTTATATAGCAAGAAGGTATCACATATTATATTTTAAAAGTTAAGTGAACATTTTTTGAAATTCTAGCATGATTCAATTTAAAATTTGACTAACTAGTAATGTAGCTACCAGTATGAGAGTGCTTTCGTCAGATGCACCAGTACAGTTTGCATTCCTGTTATAATTCACAGAGTCAGTTGCAGTAGAAGCTATTGCCAGTTGTTCTTATTGTGTCCCACGAAGACATGAAGTCACTTGATTCCATGTCTGAAGAGGACAAATTAATGTTCTGTAGTGCTGCTTTTTCTGCAACCCAGAAGTACTAAAATCTGCAACTACAACAACAAACAAACAAAAGAGCCTGTAACTACTCAAATTCTCCTATTAAAGCATGCTAATTTAATCCTTTACATTATCATAGGCAACGTTAGTGAAGTACACTACTGACGAGTTTGACCAGCGGATTCTGTACGAGTATTTAGCAGAAGCCAGTGTTGTCTTCCCAAAGGTCTTTCCTGTTGTGTAAGTATCTGAAGCTCTGACTTGGCCTTCCTTTAAAAAGTCTCTGGAGCAGACAAGCACGTATGAGGTACTTCTCATTCGTAGGTTACTAGCTGCAATCTGTCCTTGCCTCGTTGAGACAAATGTCCATTGCAACTTGGGAATTACCCTTTTTTCCCTACATTAAATTAATATAATGTTCATGCTAGAATAGGCACCCTTGGATAGCAGTGCTCCAGATGGTCCCAAAGCACTCCTCAGCGCCAGGGTCTGGGCAGGCTGGCAGAGCATGGGAGAGCGCTGTGTCGCTCTTGCTAGGGAGCCGGGCTGTGCACACCAGGTTCTCCTGAAAGCTTTCAGCATCACTGCTGCCATTGTTCTAGTGGCTCAGCATGGCTTTATCACTTACTTGTTACTGTAGGGAGTCAAATTATGTTTCAATGTAGTCATATAGTTTTCTATAGAAGTCTCTATGTAGTGTCTCTTAGGTACTATTTTTGTACCGATTAGACTCAGATTTTTTTTTTAAATAAGTAACCCCAAAAAAATGATTTAAAGTGTGGTTCAACATACTCTTTGAATGTATCTCTTTAGATATAGGTTAAAAGTAGTATTCACTACAGGCAGTATATACAAGGGAAACCCAGCTATCAGAAGGTAAAGTGAGGAGACTTTTAAAACTGACTGATGCATGATTTTGAAATAATGGTACCTTTTTCTGGTTTTATAAAATAATAGTCAGAATATAAACAAGTTCTGTGAGTTACTGAAATCACATTTGTAAGTAACAGGCATTTTGCTTCAAAAGAAAAAATGCTATTAGGAAGCCTTGCATAGACAGCCCTCTTTCCCATTACGGGGATTTCTCTGAGCTCATGATGTCTTAAAGGGTCAACACAGAGGTAGCTTGAATTGCCTGTATTGTTACTGCCCAAGTTATAGGTTGTTTTTTGTTTTTGTTTTGTTTTGGTTTTTTTCTTCTGTTAAATCATGGGGTGAGCTTAACATACTATGTTGTTCTGTCCTCTTCTGCGTAGGCTTAAACTGACTGTCGAGCTTGATGGGCATGATATAGTGCAGTAACAGTGTGATCAAAGCCTGGGTTCTGCAAGGGAGCTCAAATGAGGCAGTACCCTTGCAAGTTTACAAAACTGCTTTGAAAGTTCACCTTTGACATGCACACAAATCCAGGGAATGATTTTTTTGGTTGAAAACGATAAACATATTTGCAATATAAAATGCTAGGAAAAGAGAATGCTCTGATGGGTCCTGTTGTTACTACAAATTTTCAGAAGTGTTATTCCTTTTAACATCCTTGCTGCATTCTACTTCTAAAATCACTGAACTTTTGAAAATCCCACTTTAGTTGCTGTTTTTTAAAGTAGTTGTAAACTGTATTCTTATTTTGTAGGAAAAAAAAAATAAGCCACTGTTCTTTTCTTTAGGCATAATTTATTGGATTCCAAGATCAATACCCTTTTGTCACTGTGCCAGGATCCAAATTTGTTGAATCCAATTCATGGGATTGTTCAGAGTGTTGTCTACCATGAAGAGTCTCCACCCCAATACCAAACTTCTTATCTACAAAGTAAATATTTTTATTTATTTATATTTTAAACTGCTGAATTTTAAGTTAGATGTGCTAATGAAAAGTTTCTGAATTATTGCAGCCTTAATGAAAAAGCAAGTCAGCTTTGCTTTGTGGATGCTCTCCAACTTCATAAAGCCAAATAATAGTTAAGTGTTCGCATATTAAAAAAACAGCTACTGACATAACCATTAAAACTGGTTTTTGTAGTTATGCACCAGCTATTAAAAGTATAATACTCAGTATTCTGTTACCACTAACCAAATTATATGGTGGTGATGAATGGTGATCTTTAAGTTAACCTTTTAAGTTATGGGTTGATTTAATGATGGGTAAATTTTATAGAGCATCATTTGTTTTTTAACACCTAAGCTTCCCTTTCATGTGATGCTTGAGCACTTAAAACCTAAATATTTTTTATGATCCTTAATCAAAGACTCTCCAGGAAGATTCATAAGAAACAGATGACTATTGAGAAAAAAACGTGTTGATATAATTTCCAAAATGAGACACACATTCACAGGTTAAATTTACTTTTTAAAATATCAAGAATTTACTGCATGACAGTTCTGAGATTTTGAGCCTTTTTAACCCATGTATCTAATAAATTAGAATTCCATCATTTTATCTTATTCAGTTTGGACAAAAATGTAGTATTTTCAGTCTCCAAGTAAAATATTGAATTTCCATGCTGAAGTAAATCCAGGTAATCCTCCATGTACAGTTTCTAGTTGTTTTCTGTCAACTGAGAACTGTGTTTTTGTGGTAACATTCAATTTGTTGTTGTAGGTTTTGGATTTAATGGGTTATGGAGGTTTGCTGGCCCATTTTCTAAGGTAAGAATAGTATGCTGTATGTAAGTTCATCAGTGTTTTACCCTTGTTCTCTTTATAAAGAACATTGATGCTCCAGGAGGGGTGCAGATAAATGGTAAATTACAGAGTTGATATGAGCAATTAGTACCATAACCCTCACTTCTGTGTCTAAAACAGTTTTCTAACCTGCAGTGGATATTTTCATAGACACAGTAAAGTTAACTTAACCAAAGCTGGCTAAAAGCAGTCAGGTGTGTAAATGCACCTTTCCAGCATTCCTAAGTTCACCACATGTACATCATTCAGAAACTCTTTATCATCTCTGTCTTACAGTTTAAGGAATTAAATTGATAAGAGTTATAATTCCATAAGAATAAATTCTATGTTACAGCAGAAAAAATAAAAGCATTTACCATCTGTACTGCTATCTGTTCCCTCTAGTATTGTAACAAGAAGTAGATGAGCAGGATAGGTAGCGTTCTGGATGTTCAGTTATGGGGCATGAGTAATGAGCATGGGGCATTAATAATCTGTTAGGCTTGGGTATCTGTGGCACTTAATGAGTGAAACTTTTCTGGCTTTGTAGTTCCCAGCAGTACTGAAATCACACCTACAAGTGATCTTTAATAAGTGTGTTTAGATTAATCTGGAAAAGACCACAAATCAGTTCTTGCTTATACTTACCTCAGACGCTTTTTAAAATTTCCAGGCAAAACCAGCGTAATCTTAGAGTGAGTTCTGGGGCAAAGCTCATATTGACAGAAAAGTAGAAAGAAAGGAATCAATCTTTTTTTCCCCCATCACCCACAGCAAACACAAATCCCAGACTATGCTGAACTCATAGTGAAGTTTCTTGATGCCTTGATTGACACGTATTTGCCTGGAATTGATGAGGAAACCAGTGAAGAATCTCTCCTGACACCCACATCTCCATATCCTCCTGCAGTGCAGAGCCAGCTTAGCATTACTGCTAACCTTAACCTTTCCAATTCTATGACCTCGCTCGCAACTTCCCAGCACTCCCCAGGTCAGTAGCTGTTGTGATACTACATAGGTAAGGGGAATTTATTGAATTTACTGTTTATGCGGCCAAGAGCTCAGTCTTATTGTCTTTTGGGGTGCGTTTATGCATCAAACATCATTGCATTATTGAGTCAAATGAATATTAAACTGTTGACTAAGATAGTACGCTAATATTTCAGTTGTTGGACTTTGTCCATCAAAAAAGCTGTCTTCCAAGTCATTATGCATGAAGAAAATAACATTAAGTGCATCAGAACAAATAGGTGTATCTTTCTATGGAAGATATGCTGCGCTGAATCCTAGAAAATAACTATAAACATATAATCAAGTGTTTTGCAAGGAGAACAGTATCTGTTTAAGCACTACAAGCTAGCACCTGTTAGGAAAAATAATCCAGAGTTCTGCCGTGGACAAGAGTGTCTGGACTGACTCAATTTCAGTCGACTGTGGTTTCTGGCCAATACCCTTACAGGCAGCACCATACGGAGGTCAAACTCTCCTTGAAGAAAAGAAGTGTTCAGGTATATGAGCGTGGAATACTTGGGTCAGTTTAGACTACTGTATTGCCAAAAATGTGCTGCTGATCAAATGGCAGTGTTCAAGAAAAGTACAAGCATCTAAGGATGGAAACACCGAATTCCTTCTGGCTTGAGGAAAGGGGAATTACAGGGAAATGCAGAGGTTTAATACAGCAGTGAGTATTTTCACTTTTTGAAAAATGAAAAGAGTAAGAAGTACTTGGTATAGCATATGGGGCATAAGCTAGAGAAAATTAAATATAGGAAGAAAATGGAATGTATGTCAAAGAAATCTCCATGAAGATTCCTGCTGAAGTGGTTTTGGATTAGTGGCTGATACATTAAGGAAGTGCTTTACTCTTTGTCGTGAAAATTATGTTATCTGATGACTGTTGTGGTTCTGAACACTGAAATCAATCAATGGTTATTTGTTTTTTTTCTAACCTTGATGGAAGGCTAGAAACCAGTTGTATTTAGGTGTGATAATTATGGAAGTGGGCTTTTTATTGTTTTTTGTTGGTTTGTTTTGAGTCTTGTTTGTTACTTGTTTCTGTCAGCCCTATAAAATAAGTCCCACTTAGGTGAACGTAGCTCTACTCAAGAAATTTGGTCTTCAGGGTCATCAGTTCACTCTCAGATGTGAGAACGTTTATTGTTGAATATTATGAATATTGCAGAGGGGAGACATAGTGGTTCAACATGCAGACATTAGACCATGTTGTCATCCCGTTTGGGGATGACAACAAAAAAAGGCATCCCATTTGATTTGAGCAATAAGAACAGGTAAAAGTTGAGGTTGGAGAAGCTTTGCAGATTACTATTTTACGGTGTCATTTATTTGTTACAAAGGCATAATGCAACCACTGTGTTATCATGCAATTCATCCTGTATAGAGAAATATTTCTGCATTATCCATACCTGCACTCTGTTAGGGTTAGTTAACAACCAGATTATGGAAAAGGAAGGTGGTTTGATAGAAACATTCTCATTTAGCATACAGCTAAAAATTATCTGTGATGTTAGAACAGGCAGAAGGATAAAACTAAAGGAGGAAAAATACAGATGGCCATCAATGTGAAAATAAGTACGTTGTGGACAGCCTCTTCCCATGTAAATGTAGCATCAGTGGCAACTCCAACAGTTATAAATTGTAATGAAGTACAGCCTATGAAGACTACTTATTTGAATAGTCTTGAATTCCTTCAAAAAGTTAGAAAGTGGATTTGCAGGTTTGTATCTCTTGACTTCGGGTATTTTTTTTAAGCAGTATTTTAAACAGGAACATTTTAACAAGATTTTTGGCAGATACAGGAGGTCATACATTTAAATTTATTAAAACTTAAATTTCGGAGTGTTTAAATAGAATAAAGTATTGCTTTGTATTCATTTTCTGTAGTCTTGTACTAAGAACACAGATACGCTGTAAATTGCATATAGGCAAAAACTTTCTAATGGGTCCATTTTTGTGCAACCACACTGGAGGCATCTTCATAAGGAGTCTGCCTGTAAAGGTATTTCAGGCTAGTGAGAAACCGCCTTAAGTGATTTACTATTTTATGAAAGTCTTGTGTTGACTGATTATTTTCCCATCATCTCTCACTGGTTTTTAGTGTCTGTCTTATTTGCTTGATCATTCTTGATTCATTCTAGCAATTTCAGTGCAAAGCCTTGGTCAAAGATCAGGGGATCTCCAGCTTTCTGAAACAGTGGGCCGGGTCACAACGTGGGGCATTTCATCCTGCTCCTCCATCCCACATTTATTATACTGCTCCACCTTAGTCGATATACAGTTTCACTAGTTTAAAGTGTTATGTTAACCAGGGCAACTTTGCATGCTTTGCTTTTTAAGCTGCTTAATTTTATTAAAAACGTAATTGGTCTTCTGGCACTTTATACAGCTCCATTGCTGCATACAAGACTTTTGTGTTCTTGTACACTGATGGTGGTGTTTATTCATTCTCTCCTCACTGTAGAGACAAGAATGAGGGAGTAAGCATATCTGCCAAGATAAAAATCTTTGGTAAAAGAATTATAGAATATAAAGTAAATGTGGGCTGCAGGATTTCTTAAAACAGCACAGCAACTATGGGACTAATACGGAATGCAGACCTGCCATCCGCTCACCCTGATTTGAGAACGACTGAACAAGAAAATCAGGTCTCTAGCAGTGCTGAGTTACTTGGTCACACCGAGCTTAAAAAACAAACAAACAAACAAAAAACTTACATCCAAGTATTTTTTTTGTTATGCTAAGAAATATATTAAATTGCAGATAACATGAAAAATAATATTTATTGCGTCTGGAAACATGTAGGCAAGGTTGTTTATAAATGTTTTGTCTGTCGGCATCTCCACCCCCTCCCCTTCCCCATGTCATGGACATTATTCACTTATGTTTTTTCTTTCATTCTGTGTCTGTGAAGCTTCTCTGCCTTGCTCTAAATCTGCAGTTTTCATGCAGCTTCCTCATCAAGGTACATTCTACTTCCATCGTATTTGCACGAGATACTGCTTGATCTGCTTTAGGGTTGGGCTTGTGGCATGAGAAGTAGTTTACTAATCCTTTGAACACGGGAATGGCTTCAGTATAAGAGCTAAGCTGCTGAATTTCTTGTGTGATGCTAATAACATTTGATGATATAGCAGACAAAAAAAGTCATTAATGTGTTTAAGAATAATATAAATTTGGTAATAAAGAAGTGGAATCTTGGTATGCAAAATTATTCTGTTGCAGGTATTAAGGTAAAATGTAGAACTGCCTCATATTAGCTGTAATGTTAAAGATGACTTCCTCTGAAGCTTCAGTTGCACAGCACCAGAAAGCAGGCGTAAGTTCTTTGGACTAAATTGACAGAGGCTCACTAAAATGGATACTCATCAACACCATTTGATTTCTGCTTCTATATGGAGAAATATATATATAAAAAGAAAAAAGCTGCAGAAGACTTTTTTTTTTACTTACACGCGTGGGTTGCTTCCTATTCTCATCATAGATTGTGGCTTTTGTAAGCTCACACCCACACAGGGAGCGGAAGGATGACAGCCCGCAGGCAGCTTCTGGCTGGAGTTTTGATTTTCCCTGTGACTGTGGAATAGTGGAGTGTATTTGCTCTTCTTGCTCATGCCGATGAGAATCAATCTCTTACAGGAATGAGGTGTAAAAGTGTGGAAGGTATCATTTGTAGTAATAGGATTTTGCTCTAACCTTTTTATTTGCTGTCAGACATCCTAACTTTTGCTGCTGGTTGTACTTCGAGCCTCTCCCATTAAAATACCATTCCTGCTATTCATCCCAGTGCTGCACGTGTACTCTAAGTGTTTGGTGTTGTTAAACATGCCTCAGACAATCATTTTGTTGCAGAAGTAATGTGACAGCTACACAAAGATATTGCTACATGAATGATTAACTTGAAGTAGAATCATCATAAAAGTAATAATTGATGGGAAGTGTCTGTGCTAAGCCCAAGTCTTAGATTTATATCTTTAAATGACAGACTGTCCAAAGGTGGTAGAGTAAGGGCTCATAACCCAAGGCTTTCACGTGTTGTTGTATGTCAGCATTAAGCTCACACTGATGGGGTTTGTTCTGGAGGGTTGTTTCACGAGATTCTTTTAGTACAGCATAGTAAGAGTTACCTTGTCCTGCAGAGAACATCTGAGGCTTCTAGGAAAGGTATATGCACTTGGGTATAAATCTTGTCTGTGGTTTCATCCTCATCTTGTACTCTGTAAGCCTCCTCCTACCTCTGTCTGGGGAAGCTGCATTTCTGCAGAAGCAGCCATCGTTAAAATTGCCAGACCCACCTGTTCTCTGTGTGTTTCCTGGTAATATCCTTCTTAGAAAGCTGCTTCTGTAGTTGTTCTTGTTTAAAGTTAATTCTTGGTTCTTTTTCTTCCCCTCTTGATTTGCCAGGGTTTAAATCATTATTATAACTGGTGTCTACACTCAACTCTTCAAGTGAGTACCTGCATCAGTTCTATTCCTGATGTATCCAAAATAAGCCTACTTACCCCCTCTGTCCATACCTGACAGGCAGTGAGAAAGTCCTTAAAACCTACTTACACTTGTCTTTCTCTTTCTGAGCCAGGGCTCAGTGCTGGGGGGATTTTGATGTCCTTGTATACACACAAATCTTTTCTGGTAGCAAGAATCAACCTCTGCCACTGCAAACTTGAGTTAAATTTAATTTGCTTGTTGTTCTCAAAACTGTAGCTGAAAAGGGCTGTGTGGCCTTGCATTTAGGATTTTCAGTGAGTACATGTAGTGATACGGATGCTGTGAGGATGGAGCAGAACCCTTCATCTGCTGGCTGGCCGTTCTGTAAGTACACGTAGCTGGTCATCTGCAGGCCTTGAGCCAGAGGATTGTTCCCAGGCCAAGCTAACCAGCCTGATATCCCAGCAAAACTTGGGCTTTTGATAACTGCATCGAATTGGTGTTGTGTATGATTTTAATTGTAATCATATCTCAACTGGCAGATACTGAAAACCATATTCCAGCCCTGTGACTGCTAATGTCTCATTAAGGCAAGGGTCTGCACTGGTAAGAGCCCCGCGGCAGCAGTGCTGCACATCCAAGTCAGGCACCAACTGCCCGTCCCTCTCAGGCAGGCTCTTTCCATGCTCTTTGCAGAGTGCCTTCCCTCTGTAGGTGCCTAAAGAGGGTGAACTTGTTTCATTTGTACAGACTTGGTGTAACTTTATGAAGCATTCAGTGCAGATCTCCAGTTATGTTTTTAAATCAGTTTGTCAAACAGGACTTTCTTGGCTAGCTGGAAAGCCTTGTTTACCAGAGCGGTCTCCAAAAGGGATGATGCAAATGGTCTCCAAGCTCTGGCCCTAGCGTTTCCTTGCTCTTAATTTAGGAAGGCTTCTTTTTGGGGTTATGTATGGAGTATTTTATTTCAAGTACCCACGTACATTCTACCAATGAGCATTTTGGAGTGTGTCCCTTCTGCGAAGGAGGAGCTGTGTCCGCAGGGAGGTGCTGACGCTGCCGTCAGCTGCAGGGGGTTGTCAGCTGCCGAAACGGAGCGCTCTGACCGGGATCTCACCGGCCTCTTGGTTACGAGCGAGCTTCCAAGCGTATTTGCAGTGATTTTTGTTGTCACTATGAATGTCAGTATATATTTATGGTTACAATACATGTGTATAGGTAAACCGAACAGCAGTATTGAAGTGCAGATGTCGCACGTCTCCGTTCGGTTCACTCTGGATTTGCACACTGGTTTTGCTGCCCAGGTTGTGCTGTGGCATGCAGTGGATAAGAAGCTAGGACAAGCTACTTTGCATGTGCTTAGCACCTATTTTCAAATATTTGCATTTCGATTGCTATTACATGTAGGTGACTGGTGCCTGGAACAAATTGTGAATGAGAAAATGGGATTCTGTAATGGTCTTCAGATCAGGCGGTTCCAAAGGTATTTAAATGGCCATCTGAAATGCATCCCTTTCTCCCCAGGTTGTCAGGTGTTGTTACAGTGCAATTTCAAACAGCTGGAAACCTTGCAAATATGATACTGTTAGAACTTGATTTTAATGGTACTACTTGACAGACTGTTGGAGAACGGAAAGGCCCGCTGCTGATGGCAGCACGCTTTGTCAAGGATTTTCTTGTTAGAGTGACAAAGGAAGAAATTCATCTTCAGATCCTTAATGCACATTCAGCTTAAGTAGATGAATAATGCCTACCTAAAGCATCGTTTTAAAAAGTAGGTTCTGAGAAGAAAATTTAGCAATTTCCCAGACCTGGGCAATTCAGTGCATCTCTGATGTGCATGCATCTAAATCATATTGATCATCTCCTTTTTCTTTACGCATATATGTGCTATTTCCAATATTAAATAAAATTGTTATTTCTCTTTGGCTAGAGATGACTTGATGGATTCAGTGACCAGTTCATAACCCCTGTGTATTTTCATAGTTTTGTGACGTATTGAAACAATTCAGCCCGTGTCTGTGGGAGTATTTCGTCTTTTATTCTTGGACGCAGCTTGAACTAACAAATCCAGTCTGCAGCTTAAAAAAAAAAGTTAGCACATGGAGGTGTTTGGTCAGGTCAGAGGCTGTGCGTTCCCTGAGCAGAGAGTCATACGTTTGATCCTGAAAAAATGATTTTTCATATTACAGAACTGCAGTAAATCAGCTGTATCAGATCTCTCATTTACGAGTCGTCGTCACCAGTAAGGCTGTATTACGTCTTGCTATAACAGTTACAAGTTTTTTTGGTTTTGTTTTTGGTTTTTTTTTTTTTAATAAATTGTTCCTCAGATGTCTGAAGTGCTTTCCCAGCTAGGGCAGCACCGCTGGTCGCTTGCGTTACGAAGGGCTGTTTCCGCACCGCCACCTGTACGCATGGCAGAACTGGGCCGTGTCTCGAGCACAGCGTCACCGACCGTCACCGTGTCGCCGGTACCTGGCCGTTGCGTGGTCCGGAGGGTGCTGCCTGGCAGGCACGGGCTCCGTGCACCCTGCGATGCCTTTATTTTGGCGTCAGAGGCGTCACAGTTTGTTGTACCACATAGGTGCCTACATGCTATCCCGTTTATTTGCAGAAGTATCTGTCCTTAGAGCATTAAGCCGCAGGGTGGGCAAAGCGGGGCTAACCTCTGTCTGTGTATTTCCCCAGGGATCGACAAGGAGAACGTGGAGCTCTCGCCCACCGCCGGCCACGCCAACAGCGGGAGGATGCGCCACGGCTCCGCCAGCCAGGTGCAAAAGCAGCGAAGTGCTGGCAGCTTGAAACGTCACAGCATTAAAAAGATTGTGTGAAATTTGGGTTTGGTTTTTTTTGAAACTGACTGACGTACGTGGGCCTCTTGCAAAGGGCCCCCCACCAGTTGTGATGCTGCACTTAATTTTTAAAGTTCCCATCCTGTCAGCCATGTTGCCAGATGATCAACTCCTGAAACATTGCCTGAATTTTAATGCCTTTTTCTTTTCTTCTGTTTTTGATTTAAGCCAGTGTTTCAGAACCGCTTATAGATCCTGACGGACTTTGTAGCCGAAGAAAGCGTGGAGTTCTTTAACACTGCAGTACAGTATCTTGTCCAAATATGAAAGCCATTTTCCATAGACGGTTCTACCTTGCTTCTGTGATATGCCTTGTTTGTTTCTTCTCTGAAGGAAAGTGTTAATACTTAATCCTGTTTGCACACTTGTCAAGGTAGTGGCTTTATGAGCCGGGGAAGTTACTATAATTCTGGTTTTAATTCAAACCTGTAGGATTTTTAGCTGTGGACTTTTTTTTACCATGCTTAAAAGAAACTTACGATAGCCGCAGTACAATGAGCTTAACCAGAAGTGGTTGATTAGATTAAATTTCTAGTAATTAGCAATAAATTTAAAGAGGACAAGGAGGCCGCATGAGTCTCTTCATTCCCCAGACCATAGCTTCACACACTTGGACTGTATATGGACCAGACTGGACAAACTGGCTTTTTTCCAAAGCAATTTTTTTTAATTTTTTTTTGCTGTACTTTAACTGCACTAAAGAAAGTTGGATAGTGGAAAGAAAATCATCACAAACTGACTATTATGGTGTCATTGTAGCAATGTTGAAAACGTATTGCTTCTTTCTTCCATTTAGCCTATACTTTAGTTTTGCCCTTCCCACCAATATGCACCTTCAAGAAATTCCTGGCAGAAAAACCATTGGGGTATGGAGGGGAAAAATTTATGAATTAACTTCCAGCTCTGGGAGGTTTTTTGGCAAAGCTGCTTTTGCGCTGCCCAAGCAGTGACATAAAAACAGTAATGTTTGCTTAAGGTACATGAACTTAAAAAATAACTGACACTTTGTCAAATCCAGGTTACGTTTGAATGTTTGCAGTGCAATTTCTGGTATCAGTACAGACGTTTGCAGTCAAACCTGTCTTGCAGAACTTTCAAGGGGGTTCAGTTTGCAAGGGTTCGTACTTGGGGGTTATACAAAACTGAAATTGCTATCACTGTGAAAGCCACAGTATCACTTGTCAGCCACAGTAGTGTATTAGCAATGGATGACTGTGATAATATGCTGCTATGCTGAGTGACATGTAAAGATGTGGCACTGGGTGCTACAGATGCTACCTGCACGGACTGAAAACGTGCAGAGTGTTGGATCTCAGCGGTGAACAGAAATTCTGACAAAAAGGCCTGTCATCCAGGTGCTCATCTTAGGGCTAAGTATATCTACTGCTAACAACAGCTATACTTCCTAGTTTGAGATCCCTGTTGTATGTTAGAAATTAACAATTTATAAGTGGCTTTAAAGGAGAAAAAAATATCCACTATATAATAAAAAGGAAATCCTCTAGTGTAATTTTATTAGTGGCTTTCAGTAAATCAAACTCCACAGCTAAATTGTTAGAGAATGGTACAATTAAGTGTTCAGATTTTATTGATATAGCACGTAATTCACATGTATCCACACAGTAACAATGTAACATTTATGTAAATAAAAATGCCTTTATTGTATTGATTCATAAAATAACAACTTAATTTTTTTTTAATTCGTTTACAGTCCTGGAAGAACTATGAACACAAACTTAATATGCAAATAGTTTGCCAAAACAAGAGGAAAAAGTAGAATTAGCGATCTTGAAATAGATACATTGGAAAATATTAAGACTTGTGCAATTAACCAAATCTTTTCTTCTCGATTGTGTAGAAGCTGCAGTAGAAACATGATTACTGAACTGATACAGATCTATGAAAGGGATTATGAGGCTAGAAGTGAATTTAGGAATAGAGCAGTGACTCGTGCCATGTTTTTAAGCTGCTATGCATTTGTAATTTGGGGAGTCACTGATTTAAAAACCTTTCTCATCTCATACATCAAATTGCTAATAGCTGCCTTTGGTGTCACTGTCAGTTTGCTCTTGGTTATACTGAACCAAGCTAATTCCAGCCCTTTCCATTTTAATGAAGACAATGAATTGTTGAAGCCTGAAGACTTGTTCTTGCCATAGGTTGGAAGAAAAAAGAATATCTTGTAATTTGCTGGTAGGAAAAGGTAATTTTCAGTTTTCTCCTATGAGCGAATTTTCTTTAAAAAGAAGTAATTCCAGATGAACTACCAAATCAGTTTTGTTAGGACTGAGTGCATTGCAACTCTTCCAGTATTTTGCATTGCTTATATAAAAAAGGTGTCATTAAAATAGAATTAAGCAGTCTTAGAAATACAAGTAATGCAAAATCAAAATGGACAATTATTAAAATCACCTTTTGTGTGAGAACTAGAACTAGAAGCTCTCAGTCCTGGCTGAAAAAAAAATATATATATATAAAAAAAATATAAAGCAAGTCAATACAATTTAATTTGTTCTATATCCTGGAAGGTAGGGGAGTCATTTAATTTTTTCACTGCATAGTTCAGTGAGAGGACCTGAACTTTTTAGAGCAGGGGTGTCAAACGTGTTAGGTAAAGAGAGGTGACTTTTGGTGTAATTATAGTCATGGAATCATAGAGTGGTTTGGGTTGGAAGGGACCTTTAAAGCACATCCAGTTCCAACCCCCTGCCATGGGCAGGGGCACCTCCCACTAAATCAGGTTGCTCAAAGCCCTGTCCTGCCTGCCCTTGAGCACTTCCAGAGCTGGGCCATTCACAGCTTCTCTGGGCAACCTGTTCAGTGCCTCACCACCCTCACAGTGAAGAATTTCTTCCTTATATCTAATCTAAATCTCCCCTTAGTTTAAATAACTATTCCCTCATGTCCTACCACTACACTCCCTGACAAAGAGTTCCTCCCCAGTTTTCCTGTGGGCCCCCTTTAAGTACTGGAAGGCTGTTGTAAGGTCTCCCCACAGCCTTCTCCAGGCTGAACACCCCCAGCTCTCTCAGCCTGTCTTCATAGGAGAGAGATGCTCCAACCCTCTGATCATCTTCCTGTCCCTCGTTTGGACTTGCTCCGAGAGGTCCATGTCTGTCTTAATTTGGGGGCTGCAGAGCTGAACGCAGCGATGGCCACTCTAGGTGGCCACAGTCTAGGGCCAAGATTTAATTCAGGGCCGTGTGTGCCCAGATACACAGCAAAGTAATCTCCCAGTGCCAGTATTCAGGAAGTTCGCGCTTAGATCAAGGGGGAAAACATGGCCTTTCTTTAATAATTAAACTTTTGTTAGTAACTGGTTGTTCAGTGCCTTATCATTCATCACTTAGAAAGCCTGCTCCCTGTAGTAGCCCTTGCTGTTACCTTGCCTGTTTGGTTTCTTTTTCACAGCCTTCTTTATTTGTTCCCTTTTCCTGTTCTGAATGTTCCGCACCTTGCTCTGCTTCCTTCCCTGAGCACCACTCTCCATTGCCAGTCCAGCCCGCTTCAGTTCGCTCCCCATCCTGTCACTCCATTGACCTTAGTGATCAGCAGTTGGTTGCTGCTGCTGATGCTTCAGGCTTGAAACCTGATCTAAGAAGTGGGAGACTGAGCTCAGACCTTCCAGTCACTGCTTCAGGCAGCCTGCAGACTACAGGGCACTCACCACTGCACGGGTTACCTTAGTCACGGTTTGAAGATTACCTCTGCAGCCATGGGGTCTGTGTACTTTAAAATGAAAACTTAATTTCAGAAAAATCTGATTTTAACACGTGGACCATATAACTACATAATGGGGACTGTATGTTTGACACCCCTGTTTTAGAACATGCTATCCATTACGCACTAACTACAGTACAGTACTGTAAAGATGATTAACATTTTGTGTTTGTATTTTCCCTGACTTAAAAATAATTCAGTAGTATTTGAATAGTGCATAACCTACCTGTTAATTATGCCGATGTTTCTGCTTTAATGTGCATGAGGTTTCCAAGAACAGGAAACATTTCAAATAAGTATTTTGGACTGAGCACCTGGGAGCATTCCAGTGCTCTATTCCTAACTGGGTTGTAGGTTTTAGGGCTTTTTGTTTTGTTCTAAGGTTAATTTTTCCAAATGTAATGAAGCACGTCTTACTGTTATGCAACAAACTTACCACAAAAAGTCACTTTTAGTGTTGGTCCCACAATTTTTTTTAATGCAGTATATTCACCTGTAAATAGTTTTTTTGTGTAAAATTTGACAGAAAAGTATATTTACTACACTGTAAATACATGTGACAATATATTGTATTATTTTGCTTTTTTTGTAAAGCAGTTAGTTGCTGTATATGTATAACATACAAATTTGATTATTCTAGTGTTAGTAACTGTTAACTACTACTTCTCCTTCCTGCTGTTGCGTTACATCATTTAAAAAAAAACATGCTGTGTACTATAAACCTACACTGTGTATGATATCTTACTATTTCCATTTGGGCCTCAACTTTGAAAATGTTTCCTTGATTCACAAGCCTGTTCATAGCGCAAGCAATTGTGCATCAGCAGGCAAGAGCCATGCTGATTCAAACACAGTTGGTAACTGTAGGCAAAAATGGTAGAAACCTGGTTTCAGATAATTGTTGTTCACCCCACTCCCCCCTCATGTATGTACGTTCCCTTTTTTTGAAGTAAAATGTAAATTCAACCTGCTTCAAGTTGTTCGAAGGTCATTCACTTGTGGTATGGGATGAGGTCGGTGTATTCTGAACTCCTTTTCCTGTTTGTTGGACCCGTGATAGTTGGATGGGTTTGAAATTGAGATTTGAAAAGCCACACTGGGGAAAACTAGAATCAAGTTTGAAATCCATTGTCTTGGATTTCTCTTTCCAGACAAATGTGCTTCTGTGTGTGTGATCTTGCATGGTCCTAAATAACAACAAAATTGATTGCCAGCAGATAACTGAGGACAGAATTTGGACAGAATAAAGCCCATTGTCATGAATTTCACGTCACTTCAATAATATGATCGTAACTGAAATAATCAGAATATTTCTTTTTTAAATGTAAATTTAATATTTTAATAAAACAGCTGCTTGGTCTTTAAAGAACATTTCAGTATAATTTGTCTATCTGGGCTTTTTCTAGCTTAGAAGCCTGAAGTTTCAATTGTCAGGCAACTTTTATGATACTCAAATCTATTTTTCCTTTTAGGAGACTATATTACTTTCCTATTAAAAATGTGTAAGTACTTACATTCTGGCTTTCTGAATCATAAAAGGATGTAAAAACACAAAGTGTGACTGCATTGACTTCTAAGACGTCTTATTGTTCCTGCATAATAAATACATTATTAAGCCTGCTCAGTTGAAAGTACAACCAGTCGTGCAGGCGTGTATGGCTCAGCTGCCTCGCTGCCACGTTCCTGGGGCCAGCAGGGACTGCAGGAACAGACGAGCAGCAGTCTCTGAACTCCTGTCTTAGAGGAGCTCTTGGATTCACATTTGCTGCCTAACCAAACAGTGTCAAGAACCCTCTCTTCACACATGCAATGAAGTAGACTTCTGCTCTCTAAATGAACCCCGATATTAGTGCAGACAGTGAGAAAACACAAGCTTTGTCTTTGTCTCCCCTAGGTGTGTCGATTGGCCACACAAAAACAACCAGGTAACACAGACAGGCACAAATGTTGTGCTGAGGCAGGTATGTCTGAAGGTAACGGCCAGGATTAGCCCCATCTCAGGCTGCTTCACAACTGCGAGCAGCTGGTTTAAGAAAAGGCATCGGACAGAAACAGAAGGCGCCATCCTATCTGTCCTAGTAAGCTGCTGGGGGCAGAGGGTGTCGTTCTTTGCTGCAGTTGGCTGACCCCAGAAGGGCTTGGAGACGTCTGTTGCCATGACCAGATACTGTTGTGGGTTAAAAGCTACTTCAGAAAAATGCCCACGTGCATGAGATACGGGTAAAATCTGGTCCTGTACATCCTCCCATAGGGATGAATTCTACTGCAAGTCGGTCACTTGCACGATTGTCAAATGCTTTTTATTTTTCTTTCCTCCCCTTAGGTCCATCTGGATTTTAAAGATGGGCAGAAAACACGTGAACCTAAATAGATATAACATGCCCAGGCACACAGTGTCACAGAAGTAAAAAATAAAGCCAGTCTCTTGTTATGGAGAGTGCTACTGACCATTCCCTTTCAAAGCAACCGTGTTCTCTTCCCACCAGTAAAACTCATGATTTATATGTGTGAATCCTGTGTGTCTTGGAACATTGGTTGCTTTGGGTGACTGCTGGTACGCTTAACGAGTTCTCAAATGAAAGTAAATCCCAGGGTTGTGTGGGTGGCGAGCGTAGAATAATGCCTCCTGTGATGTGACTTGTTAAAACAAGTACAAGCTTGCTGTTCAAAGCAGTAATGGAAAAAAAAGTCTGGCAACTACATCTTTAGGCTTAGTCAAATGATAAAACTATAAATACTGACAAGTAACTTTATGTTCAAGCAACTCCCACTGATCCATTAAAACAATTTTTTTTCTCATAGCACACTGTCCTTCAGAAACCTTAGGTCTACTCCACTGCTGCTACCCCTGGTTAGCATTCTTAGAGAACAAGATCTGGGTGCTCCATAGAACGGCTTTCTTGAGCCAAACACAAATTGGTTGTGCCGACCACGGCCTTTGAAGTCGCAGGTAAATGACGTGGCTGGGTCCTGAACAGGCAGATCAGAGACAGACCTGACTGGGACTGAGTTTTCCACGCTCTAGCTTATTGCCTCAGCCTCCTGAGGCTACTTCGGTTCAAGATACAGATATAAGATGCTAGGTCAGTGGGGCAGTGATGGCCTCTGCCTTACCTGTCCCGGGCTCCATTCCTTTTACCTTAATTTGCTTTCTCTCGAGTGCCTTCACGTGCTGGCTGTGCCCTCCCTACCTGCACTATCAGCCAGGGTTCCCTCCCCTTCTTGGTGAGTCTGTTTCCATTTACTAACTGCTCCCGACCTCTCCTAGAGCTCACTGCAAGCCATTCTCAGAAAGAGGCCTGCGGTGCATTTCGTGCAGTGCCAGGCAAGTGAAAGGCAAGGCCTCCAGCTCCTCACACTGACGGCACATGCAAAAAGGGTGCAGGGAAGAGCTCTGCACAGTCTGCAGGACCCACCCACCCGTCTACACACAGGCATGACTGAACACGAGCCAGACGCAGGGCACAAAGTGGCTGTGAGCCAAAGAGGTTGGTTCAGAGCAATGCAAAACATACAAAGGCATAAAGGCCCCACAGTGCAAACAGGCGTGAGGCCACTGAGGTGGAAGGACAGCAAAACAAGGGGAGGAACTTCTGTATTTGCCCAAAACACTTGGCATCTAGGTCTCTGTGAAACAGCGATCAAACACAAAGGCCTTGTCGGTGCTGCTGAATCCTGCTGTACTATGGGTTACTTACATGAAAAGCTGCTCATGGAAAGAGAAGAGGCCATCACCAGTTCTGTGTATTCTGTCCTTCGGAAACCTGCACTGCATCTTGTCCTCCAGGTCTGATTCTCCTCTGCTCTCCCTCCAGCCAGGCCCATCCCTGTTTTTAACTCCTGGTCTCACATAGTTCCTGGAAGAAGGAAAAGTTACCTTCTGAAGGGCATACCCTTCCTCAATGGCAGCGCAAAGACAGCCGCGCTGCTCCAAGCCAGTCCTGCACAGAGGCCGGCAGGGCTGGCAAAGGCAACAAAGCCTCGCTTCACGGCAGCTCTGCTGCTGCTGCTCAGGGCCAAGGGGTCCCTCGTGGCCGTGTGAGCAGGGACCTGCAGCGTTGGCACAGCGCACCCAGTGCTGCTGACAGGACTGTGCGGGCTCGGCCAGATGAAACCAGGCTCACCTGAGAGCAAGGAACCTGCTCCAGCACTCTGAGGATTCATCAAACACCCTACAAAGAAATTTAGCAAGTACGCTTCTGTTGGCCTTACTTTTCCAGTTCTGTTTGAGATGTTAATGGGTAGACCTGTAATTTACAACAAAGGCACAGGTAAAGGAGGCAAGAATAAATTGGCCTTGAGGGTGCTTACCTGTTCCTTTCTCATTTTCAGTACTCCTTTTATTTCATATGGTGCCAATCTTTCTTACCAGGAACATTTGTTTGCTTTTTAAATCATCGTGAAGGTTGAACTAGCAGCCTAGAGCCCTGCTTCCCACTCATGAAAAATTCAGAGACACGGCCTGTTTCTGTAGGACCGTGACTTGTCAGACACGGAAGCAGTTATTCCTTCTTTTAGCAGTGTTTGCTCTATTTGACTTATCATTATAACATTATTACTCAAGAGAGCATATTTTTGGTTTCCCTACAGTAAATTTGGTGGATTTTGCCATAAGAGCTCAGCTGTGTGCTGCACACAGAGAAAGATACTCTTTCTGTCCCAAAAGCTTGGTGTTTATAGTCACCAGGTCTGACACTTCGTGACCTTTGATAAATCTCTAACATCTTACGATCGGGCACCATAAACCTGAATTGCCCAACCGTAACAGCCAAGGATGGCCGTCAGTTAACGGCGTTCTCAGCATACGATCTGCAGATTAAGGACATTAAAAGGGCAAAGTCTCAGCGCTGTGGCACGCTCTTCACCACGGGCGGCACGTTTTATGGCCTGTAAGCAGATTTCAGCATTCATCCCCGACTGCCCTCACCACAAAGATTTGGGCAAAGCGGGAGCTCCTCACAGAGCAGTGCCTGGGGGCTGACAGCCCAGCTGAGGCACCTCTGTGATTTTTCTGCCCCTCATTTCCTCTCTCTAACGCACCGCTCGCTGCTGCACGTGTAAACAGACAGCCGAGCGGCTCCAGCTCCGGCCATCCCGTTAGTTATGCCGAGGAACTGCCCCCCCCCCCCCGCCCCGCTGCTCGCAGCACCGAGGCCCCCCTCTCAGTTCCCTCAGGCGCTCCCTGAGGCGCCGCTCAGGGCTCGGAGCGCGCATGCGCACGGCAGGAGGAGGAGGGGGGCGGGGGGCGGGGGCGGGCGTTGCGCGGCGCTCTCGCGAGAGGGGCGGGGCGCGGGGCGCGGGGCGCGGGGCGGGGCGGGGCGGGGCGGGGCGCGGCCGCATGTCCCAGCGCGGGGCCCGGCCGGGCGGCACGTGGGCACCGGGGGGTGCGGGGGGCGCCGGGACGGGCACCGGCAGCGGCACCGGCAGCGGCACCGGGGCGGCTGCGGGACCGGCACGGGGAGGGGCAGCGCCGTCCGTCCGTAAGTAAGTGCGGCGCCGTGCGGCGGAGAGCGGCGGGGCCCCGCTGTCAGCCGGGCCGGGCGGGGGGCTCGGGGCGCTGCCGGTGCCGTTCCCGTTCCCGTTCCCGTTCCCGTTCCCCCCCCCCGGGCCGCCCTCAGGCCGCGGTGGCTTCGCCCAAGGTCAGCGCCGCCGCGCACGGGCCCCGCCGCGCCGCCCCGGCGCCGAGGTCACGGCGGGGCCCGCCCGGGGCCCGGCCCCGCTCCTCCCGTGGGGGCAGGCGGCGGGGGGGGGGGCCTGGCCCGCACCGTGCCCCCGGGGCCGCCGCCACTGCGGGTGCCGGGGCCGGGAGGGGCGGAGGGGGGCGGCCGGGCTCGGGGCGCCTCGGCCCGGCTCGGGAGCGCAGCGGCCCCACTGTCAGCGCTCGGCCCCGGGGCTGCACCGCTCCGGGCTCGGGTGGTTTCCCCCCTGTCGAGGTGAGGCGGGGCCGAGCCCCGCGGTCCCGAGGCCGGGCCCGGCTTTGGGCGCTCCCCGGGCAGCGCGGCGTGGGGCTGGCAGGCGGCTCGGGGGCATCCCGGCAGCGAGCGCTCCCTGCGGCGGTGGGAAACGGCCCCGAAAGCTGCCCCCCGCCGCCAGTGGTCTGCTGAGCACAAGTGAAGGTCGTGGGGATGGCAGCGGGGGAGGGAATTCCGCCTCCCTGCGCTCCCGGGGTCGCTGCTGCCTGCGGAGGTTGGGGGGTGGCCGCAGCAGCACCTGCGGGGTGTTATCAGAGGCGCCGTGGACTTTGTCTCGGGTGAAAGGAAACGGCTCGTCGCTGGGGAAAGTAGGATCGGGAGAAGGTAACTTCAGTTTTCTCCTGTTTGTTTTGTGCCTGTGAATGATCTACCGAGTTACAGCCCGCAGCGTGCGCGCGGCGCAGCCGAGGAGGAGCACATGGCGCTCTGGAGCGTGGCACAGCCCCTGGCAAGGGAGGTAGGGCTCAGGTAGGGCTTGTCAGCGTGTGCTAGAGCTGTCAGGGCAACGCAGCTCAGCTCGCTGCTCAGCCAGAGTCCCTGGGTGACCAGGTCACTTCACCTCCTCGTTCTTTAATGAGCTTCCTGGGTAGGGGGTGAAATGCTGCACAGGTGGCTGCCGGACTGCTGTACCTGTCAGGGGGTGCTCTCGGAGTACCTGGACTCTTTCAGAACAAGGACAGTGCAGCTTCACTGCGTGCATCTTGATCGTACGGTTTAACTCTTGATTCATTGGTTTGCTTGTATGTGTCACCTGGTGCTCTGAAAAAAAAATGAAGTTTTTTGGTAAGTTAAAGGGAGCAGGGAGCCTGGAGGGCTCAAGCTGTGCTTGGAGCTTCCTCGAATCCACCTCTGCGTTGTGACGCTGGCTGTCCTGGTACCGCTCGGCTGGCACTTCATCTGACACCTTGTTTCCTATGTTTCATTGAGCTCTTGAAGGACTTCTGAAAGCTCTCATGAAATGTCAGCGTTGGGGGATTCAGGCAGGTGACTCTCATCATGGTTGTACAGTTCCTTGTACAGCAGGGCTGCAGATGGTTTGCTGTCAGACACAAAAACAATTGCTACTATTGCAGGATCTGCATGGGATGGTGCTGCAGGAACACGTGTTTTTACGTTCTGATAGGTGCTGCTTATTTAGGTGTGTTCTCCTTAGTTGTGCTAAGTTTAGCCACCTGTTTGAGAAACCAGATTCCTCCTTAAAGCTCTCCAGAGAGGCTTTGGGATACTTGCATTGAAAACCTCCCTCTCTTTCATCAGCTGCCTAGAAAGCCTTGGCTTTACTGTAGGCATTCCCTGGTGCCTGAAATTAGACAGCAGGAATTCCCCTCACCACCCACAGTGCAAGGTGGAGGTACCTGTGGTTCAGACCCACCTGGGTACGCAGGTGCCTGGCTCCTGCAGATTCTCCTGGGAGCGGGCTGTGACGGGAGTTTGTGTACTGAGGTCTGAGCCAAAGCTGCTCAGAGCCAGCAGCAGTTGACTTGCTGTGTTGAGACTCCTGTGTTCATTTTGAAAACATTGCAGGCTGACTCGGGGTGTATTTGGGAGCAAGCGTGTTTTTGCAATAGTAGAGTTATCTGAAGAGCGTAGTGCTTTAAAGCAACATACCCCTCTTATCTCTGACTCTCATCTTTCATGTGTGTTTAACTGGTGTGAAAAAATGATTTAAGATATTTCTGGTGTCCAAGGGAACTGTAGTAAGCTAGGGTTGGTAGCCCCGCATGCCCTTAGTAACATCTAGAAGTCATTAAAAACCATTAATTACTTCTAATTGTGTAGTGTTTCAGATCTAATGACTAGCCTTCTTAAAATCCTGACTTCTAACTACAGTGCTGCTCTGCAACGCTTTGCACAAATGGCTGGCTGGTGAAGTTACTCACTTGGGGCAGCCACCTTGAGATGCCTGCAAGAAGCTGTTCATTAGCAGGTGCTTTGCTTCCTGAAAATTAAGGCCATTGAGTTTGCTCCTTACAGGAATTGTAGAAGGTGTTATATTTTCATGTCACTCATGGCTTTTGCAGACAATCTCTTCAGCTGTTTTGCTGTTTTATTGCTGCCCCCTGCACAGATTATTCAATATTTCTGCTGCTGCATCTTGTGCCTGAGGTGGAAATCGACTGAATTTACAGCCCCAGTACATTACTCATAGCAGAGTTGAATACTTCATGAAAGATCATTTTAAAATCACTCTTTATTTTACAAATCACTGCTTGTAGACCTTGAAGAGGTCCTGGGGAAAACTGCCTTTGACCTCTACTGCCACCTGGCAATGAGGATGAGAAACTTACCATGTGCTCTAGCTGGTTTTGAACTCCCTGTGTATAAATAGCAGCAGTTCCTAGCAAAAGCTCATGATCTGCATGTGCCTCTTGTATTGGGGGCTTTAGCTTTGTGTGGGGATAAATCAGTGAATGGGAAGCTTCAAGTTTCTGGAACAAGGATTGGAGAGGGAGAGAGACATCTCCCCATAAAACTCAGGCATGTGATCCTGCAGTTCTCCCCTTCTGTAATCAGGAGCATCCTTTGTGAGCTTGGCTTTGTGTTCTGCCTTCTGCTGAAATGTGAGGTTAGAAGAGTTCTGTGGTGTCTAGGGGGACAAAAACGCAAACACCAATTCTCTAAAATGTTTCGGGTTGAATGGAGCGTAGTGTCTTGTTCAGGATGGGCTGCTGGCTGGCAGGAGTACCTGTTCCTTGTTTCCTCCAGCTCTGGGCGACTGTAGGAACGTCACTTGGCCTACCTTCGCTTTGTTCTTTAAAAGCGGGCTGTCAAAGCCAAGGGAAGGATGCAGCCTTCAATCGTAGGGGAAAGCCGTTTTGTGTATGGGAACAGCCCCTAGGTAGTTCGGGTGAGGGCTTGTAAGTGCTACTGTAATACAGATCAAAGTGAAGCCTGGCTCTCTCTGATTAGGTCTGAAGTATGTTGTGTAACTTCTTGTGTGCATTAACAAGCTTGCTACAAGTTATCTTCCTGCTTGTTCAGTCTAAATATCTGAGTGAAGCCTTTGCTGTTCCCTCCTGATGCAGATGAATATAGTGCTTTTTTCACAAACATTTGAAATCCTTCCTCTCTGTGCACTCCTGCGGTTTACTCACAGCAAGCCAGGCTCGAGGCATGAGGCTTCTAACCAAACAACACCACTTTTTGCTTTTCTGTTTTAGCCCAGCTTTTGTTTTGAGAAGCTGCTTGTCAAGGTCTCGTTGCTGTGTGCAGTATGCTTTCTAGTGAGCTGGCCGGATGCTGTTCCCCAGATACCTGTTTGGTCTCAGCACTGCCTCTTCTCGCTGTCTCCTACAGCTGTATCAGTGCCTTGTGATGTAAACCTCACGGCTCTGTCTCCTTGAAAATTCAGGTCTGTTTTTTTATTTTGTGCAGCACATATTGGAAGCATTTGGCTCATTTAGTTTCTGTTCCTAGGTGTTATGCATGCCTGTTCCTTGGAAATCAGTGTAGATGCCAGGCATTTTACCTTAACTGGTGCAAAATCCATAAGTATTGGATGCAATTTTTCAGAAGTTCCAGAAAATATCTTTTTTATTTTCCAAGCTGGGTGAACATGCAGAAAGAGTGAAAGATAAAACTTGGATTTATGGAAGATGTTCATGATGTGGCAGTAGATCATGAAGATAATAAAAGCTGCTTTGCCTGTCCTGCAGACGACTCATTCTCTTCAGCATTTTATGAAAAATGCTTCAGAAAGAGTTGAATGTAGACTGGTAGGTGTGTCGGGGAGGAAAGAAACTACATTTGGAAAGGACCCCACAAAACCCCTGCCCGGTAACGTGGGAGATGCAGTAAGGATAGGGCCAAGCCAGAGCAGCCATGCTGACTGCTGCTTATCTCTGCACACCAGACAGGTCCCAGTGGGCTCCAGGCAGGTGAGGAGGAAGCTGTTCTTGCGTGTGTCAGCTGGCCGGGGATCTCTGAAGGTACAGGGTATGGATAGCAATGCCTGAAGCCTCAGCCTCTTGGCTGCAAGAAGTGCTGCTCGTTGCCCAGTCAGGGATATCTGTGCACAGAGTGGGTTGGGCTGAATCCGAGGACTTTTCTCTGCTGTTTAAAGCAGGCTGATAATGGAAAGGTTATGTGGTCTCTAGCCAACATGCTAAACTTTTTCTTGTTAGCTCAAAGCAATAGGACATTTGGTCTGGATCTTTGTCTGGAGCAGACTCAAAGTGGCAGACTTTACCCAATTTTGAGGAATAGCCAGGATTCAGGTGGTAATAGTAAAACAGTGCAGGCACTGTTTGTGAAGTTCACTTCTGCGTCTGAGATATCTTCCTGACAAAGCAGTGAAAAAATTGATCTTACCTTTCTCTGTGATAGAGATGGATTCACTGGGACACACTAGCTTGGCTGAGGAAACTATAAATAATGAAACGATTGGAGCAGAAAGGTAATAAGATATAAAGTGAAGTAAGGAGCTTGATAATCTGATAGGGTTAATGTTAATTACTAAGTGTAACCTGTGGCTTATTGCATAGCAGGTGTGATCAGCTCAGGGCCTTGCATTAATCCATGCAGCAGTGCAGGTGGCAAGGGTTGCTGGTGCTTGCTGTTCACATATGTATGAGCTTCTTGGTGATTTCCAATACACCTGCAAAAAAAAAACCTACAGTTTGGCTAGACTGATACTTTTATTGTAAGCCTCTGCTTGTGAGAGTGTAAATACAAACTTCTCTGAGACCTGTTTTGGCTTAGAAATATTGCTGCTTGAGCTGAGGAGCTGTGCTGGTCCGGTACTTCTTAGTCCCTGTTTCCATGCACTTTTCTCCCACTGTAAAATGAAATATTAATAAAGCCTGGGCTGTCAGCATAGCAGCTTCAGCTGTGAAGGAGTGGAGTGAGCTGTTGTAGGAACATCAGTGAAGCTGATTACACTGAAAGCAGTTTTTATCTTAGAGATAAAAGACAGCCTGGTGTTTGTGGTGTTTCTTGTTCCAGTGCTCTGGTTTAGGTCTACAGCAACCAGCTTTTTCAGGCTTCAGCTTGTCATAATTTATCCTTCTGCAAATAGGACTGCTGGTTCCTTAATACTGTAAGGTTGTAGGGTGGCTTCATTAATAGTTTTCCATCACAGAGGAGATGGCTTCATGAGCTGTGTAACCAATGTTAACTAGGCTGTAAAAAGAAGGTATTGCTTAAGGAGTATCTCTTGCTGTTCTTGTCTCCCAGTGCTGGTGTTTGAGGCAGGAATTGCTGCAGAACTCTTCACTTTAATTAAGTAAAGAGAAAGTCATCTGTTATTTCTTTTTAAGTAAGTACCATCCAGTTTGAGATCTTGCTTGCCTGGCTCCTACCTGTCTTTGGCTGTTTGCTACTGA